GGTGCCGGAGCCAGTGGTAGAGTCGTCGCGGATGTTGTCGGCGGCGCCGGAGTCGTTCTCGTGCTTCTGTAAGTTTTGAAGGATATGAAGGCAATTTCAGTGAAGTGATGAGGCATGAAAAAAGAGAGAAGAGACGGACGTTGTGGCTCTTCTTGAAAAGAGGCATGTTTGTGTAGAGGATCGAGTTGTGATTTGGGGAAAATGTGGGTGTTGTGGGTTTGTGGTGGTGGGTAGTAAGTGAAGAAAAAGAAAAAGGCTTTATGAGCAGAGGTTCGAACGAGATCTGGGCGAAGGCGGCCGCAAGGAACCAGGAGGTGGTGTGGTATCACTCCACTGCCCCGAATGCGGGGTATGGGAACGGTGTCTTCCCAGGGAAAAAGGGGCACCCTGAGCAACCGCTTGGGGAGAGGGAGATGCAGACGCCGGGGACGAGAGGACCACCGTTTCCGGAGCTTTAGTACGGCCTCTTTCCCTTCCTTATTACCTTTCCTATGTCTAACTAGCAGACTCCTTGCGGCGTTCATACATGTAGTTCAACCGACAGCATCCTGCTCTCCATCTCACACCCACCGCCATCAATTCACTTACCCACTCTGATCGCCAACTACCTCGAACCTACTCCCAAATTGCTCAACGTCATCAGGGAGAGTATAGTGAGTGGACATCAGAAGGAACTGGCGGATAGGATTTTTGAGAAGATAAAGGCCGGGGAACCGCTCACGCTGGGGAAGAATATCTGCAAGCAGGTGTGGAAGATATTCTGGCAGGGAGAGCAGGGCGATGGCACCGAGGGTTTCTGATCTTTTCCGGGGTCGCTTAGACCATTCTATTGGATATGGGCTGGAGAGGGCTGAAGGTGCTGAAGTCGATGAGCGGGAGGCATGGCACACATGGAGGGTCGCGTTAGCAGATGCTTGTATCTTGAGGTTTAATGTTCGCTTCGTTAATTATGCTATTTGTTCTGTACTTATGCCTGCACCAACATATGATGCTCATCCTTTCATGAGCAATGGTTCGCAGGTCTTCGTCGTGAAGATTATCGGTCGGTCACGGTCTGCTATTGGCGCCATCTTTACAGTCGGATATGGTGTAACGGCTAACATTGCCGCCTCTCACGCGGCAGCTCGGGGTTCGATTCCCCGTATCCGAAGTCTCGCATTCTCTTTGACGAATCAGTTTTTGTAGTTTTCTGCTGGTGCGGTTGCCTACCTATACTGTATGTTGCCAGTTTGACCAGATGAGTATGATGCTCTCAGTAGTCGTCAAAAGGGGCAATATTATGTGCCCTGCGTTCAGCGCTCGGAAGTCCACGAGTTCGCATACAGCTGAAGTGGCGAACGCAACTTGCCTCACGCGATGACCACAAAATCAGCCACACAGGCTCCCTCGGGCAACTGGCTCGCTCTCCAAAAGGCATAACCAATTATTGACCTCTTCATCTTGGTCCTATCCATACTTACACATTACTCCTTCCTTGTGAACAGAAAATCGGACGGACGGAAGATGGGGAAAATCGAAGAAAGCGCCGAAAACTGGACCATTCCACCTCCAATGCCGCCTCTACCTCTGTGGCACCTTCTTTTGCTCGCACCTCCCACTCATCTCCAGCTTCCACTGCAGGGCCATCTAATACCAGTATTAAAGCCGCAAAAACTTCGCTACCGTCCGGCACCGACCCCTCCCTCTTTACTGACCGCACAATTCAAAACAACGAATCCCTAGGCCACCTCCGACAACTTATCTTCGGACTCCTTCCCTCTTCAACAACACCGAATCAAATAAATGACACTGACTCTAAACAAGGTGGTGCGCCAAAGAAATACCTCGCCGTTGATTGTGAGATGGTAGGTGTTGGTCCGAACGGGAGCGAGAGTTCTTTGGCGCGAGTGAGTTTGGTGGATTGGAACGGGGCGGTGGTGCTGGATGAGTTTGTGAGACAGAAGGAGAGGGTGACGGATTGGAGGACGCAGTGGAGTGGGATTAGAGAGAAGGACATGACTCATGGTGTGTTTCTCCTCTACTCCGCTCCAGTTTTTTGCTCAGTGTGGCGGCGGCCTGTTGCAACAGCCACATCGTTTGAGGAAGTGCAGACGAAGGTGGCAGATATCATCAAAGATCGTATACTCATCGGACATGCTATACATAACGACTTGAAGGTGTGTCCTTTCCTCCACGGTTGTCGGCTCTATCATTTTGCTCATTGAAACCCGTTCTCCTCGCCATTTTGTGGCACCAGGCCCTTCTACTCTCGCATCCCCGCAATCTCACCCGCGACACCCAACACCTAGCACACAAAAACGGCCAATCCCGTGGCTCAAGACCAGCCTTGCGAAATCTCGTCCGTGATATGTTCGCCGTTCCGATTCAGGGAGGGGAACACAGCTCTGTAAATATTATTTCTCACCTTCCTTTCCCTTCCGCGCGAACCAACTTTAGACATGAACTGACCATCGTGTGTGTGTGTGTGTGTGGATCAGGTCACCGATGCCCGCGCCACAATGGCAATCTACCGCCTCCATCGCAAACAATGGGAGCAGGCATATTCCGTCGTTCCCATCCGCGTTCGTACCGCACCCTCCCAACCCACAGCATCTTCCCAATCTACCACCTCTGACACACCAACATCCAACTCAACGTCGAAGAAACGATCCAGACAATTCGGGGACGACGACTCTGATGTCGATTCGGATACTAATACGAAAAAGAAAGAAAAGTTCCCCGGAGGTGGACGCAAAGGCGTGTCTTCAGGTCTGTCGGTGGTCGTCAAACGAGGTAAAGGTGTAACTGTGAAGGGAGGAAAAGGAGGCGGCGGTGGTGGGGACACGGGCGCTGAAAAGGCGAAGTGGTGGAAGGAACTTGGGAGCGGGAGTGCTGGATCGAAGGGGAGTTTTCGAGTGACGAAGTGAGATTTCAGGCAATGTTGCGGTTAATTTGTAAGCTTTGATCTTGGTTACGCTCAGGTTTACAGGCAGACTATGGTAGCATTCCTCGAACATCCTCCACTGGTGGATCATCTCCCCGCCTTGCGTGATCCGACTGAGCTGTCCTTCCACTCGAAGAGCCCTCTACAGTCCAATGAGCTCTATAAAGGCGTAATCGTACTTTTACTATATCCTCTAGGATACAAAAAACCATAAGCTACATGACGACCAAAAAAGACTACTTCACAGTCTCAGCCTCAGCCCTCAGAGCTTCGGCCCTCTCCTTATCCTTCTCCTCTTCCACCTGCATCGGCATGATCTCCGGAATAGTACGGACGACGATGTACATCAATGGGGACGCGACTACAAGGAGGCCGAAGTTCAGACCGCTGCAACGTCGCACCACACCGTCAAATTAGTTCATTTATACGAATTAACAAAGAGAGAGTCCGGAGGAGTGAGACTATAAAGAAGGAGACTTACAATCCAATGAAAAGATTACTCGCGTGCGAGTTGATACCGTAACTGACGGCCTGGCCAACGGCCTCAAACGCACGGAATACACCAGCGTGGCGTGCGTTGGACTGGACATCGGTTGCGTAGCAGGAGATCAACCAATACCTACACGCCGCAAGAGATAAGTATCCCAGAAAATAATGGAATCAGACGCAGACACACGCACATGTACGACTGTCCCATGGGTCCGAAGGTATTGATGAAGAAGTAAGGCATGAAGGCCCTCGCCCAGCCCGGCGACGACCTAAATTCAGTGACATCCAAACGTTAACATCGCCACGATGCGTTTTAAGAGCAGGCACTAGTGCTCACCAATCGAACGTTCCGGGGTTGTTGGCATTGAACCCAGCCTGAACTACACAGGTGTAGATATAGATCCCTACCGCGGAGGCGACGACGATGATGAATCCAAGCGTGCCGCGGGTACGTTGCGAAAGGTTTGGCCTATCGAGGACCCATCCGAGGAAGAAGCAGCCGAAGATGCAGAATGCAGGCGAGATGAGAGACGAGAGGGCGCGAGCACGAACGGAGAAGTAGTTTGAGAGGAAGGTGCCGTAGACCTTATTGGGCGAAACATGTTAGTATGTGAAAAGAGAGAGAAAACTAGCGTGCATGCTTACAGATATGTAGAAGAACGAGTAGAAGAAGAAGCCGATGAGTAGGAGTGTCTGTAGCAGGAAATATGAGTTGAGGGATCCGCGAGTTTAGGGAATGATGACTGGAAAACATACCCGCTTGTCGATGGCAGCAGCCCACAACTCCTTGAACTCTTTCTTCCAGGAGTGGGTGCCTACTGCCGTGTGAACACCCGAACCGTCTGACCTAACCACTTTCTCTGGTGGTGAAAGCAAGAGAGAAGCCGGAAAGCCTATGCATTCGAGACCTGCAATTGGGCATTAGCGAAAGCGAGAAATTGATCTACCGTAACGAGATCCGACATACCGACGAAGATCAGGTAGGTAGATGTGGCGATACCTCCCGATGAGTCTGAGTTCACACTGCGAAAGACAGACTGTTAGCGTCCGTAACACTGGTGGCAGTAGTATGAGGGACATACTTGGTGGACAGACTGATGGCACCGCCGACAAGTTGACCGAGGTTCCTCGAGACGATCTAAGAGAAAAAAGCGAGGACAACGCAAAATGTTCAATATGACACAAATTACCCTATCGTCGTAAGGGATAGTTACCCATAGAGCCAAATAGCTAGACACTTCACGTGAGACCAGGAAGGGCAGAGAGGAAGATTTAGAGATACGTACAAGCCTCTCCGGTTCTTCTCGGGGTAACTCAGAATGATCACGGCCTCGGCGACATACCACAATCCCATACCTATCGAGCAGCGTCCCATGAGTGAATGGCTCTAGGAAATCTTGAGATGTATAACTTACCAATACCAGCGAGCGCTTGACCAAGCTAAGTGTAGCAGGTCAGAATGGGAAGTCTCTGCGTGAGTTCGCTTGTGAACTTACAATGAGGTACCACTGGATTCCATACTCAGAATTGACGTATAATGATGAGCCCTGAAGGGACGTCTTAGTGAGAGAATCGACAGTCTATGGCGCAAATGTAACCTACCGTGAGCGGGAAGGATATCGCGCCAAGGGCCAAAGACCACTTTACGCCGAGACGGTTGATTATCGGTCCACCGACCAGACTGAAAAATGGGTAAATATCAGCTGAATATCACCCCACAGGTATGCAGGACGATGCTTACCATGTCACAGCCATGAGCTGTTCAAGAGGGAAAACATTGTCAATTATGAACAGCTCCCTTCTACAAACTATGCAAGGTGCTCACTGCATAGTAGACGCAATTGCTAGCATCTGTAAAAGGACGATCAATATCCGTCTAGTTATAGTCTCACGGGATGTGAACTTACTGGCGACGTATGGTGTGGCGAGACTATGTGCAAGCAGCAAGTTAGATGTCAGCGACTAGGTTGTTAATGACATCGATACAACATACCCTCCTCCACCAAGTCCGGAGAGTGCTGGAATCAACGTTTTAGTGATACCTCGTCACCCGAGGATGAATACAAGCTCACCGTCCGCCATGGCAGGTCCCGCAAACGCGACGGCACCCGTAACCAGCATCTGAAACAATGTTCCCCGGTAGAAAGCCTCCCACTTGCTCAGTGGCCTTTTCCTCTGCGCCTCCAGAATATCGACATCATAGCCGGAGCCTGCGTCAGGCTTTGTCTTCTCAAGGGACATGCTGGACATTGGGGGAGCACGGGGTAGATCCTGAGGCCTGAGGAAACGAGACTTCACGCGGGCTGGACGTGAGTGGACTGGCGAGGCTCCAACAAAAGAACCTGAGAAGTTCAGCCTCGAATATTATATGTTGTCCGTGCTCTCCTATAACCATGACCAATTTGAAAGGACGCCGTAGGCGACGTCGTGGCATCAGGTGTCGAGGCGGCAGGCGCTGAGCGTCTATAGTTAGGTTGGAGCTTCCGATAACTTTTAAAGTGTTCTCCCGCGCGCACGCTGGCCGCGACACTGGACCTGAAGATCAAGAAGCGCCGGACCACTCGACAAACGGTGACTTCTGCTCCGATGATCGTGTACATCCTTCAGGCTTCAAGCACGATCCACGGTATATGTCGCATTGTGTGCCAGGTGTCCTTATCACAGTTGGAAATGTGGAGCAGGTACATACTCTGCAGTGACTGTCCGTCGGCGGGGCGGGGCGTGAAGCTTTGAAGAGGAGCGACACCAGACGACACCGGCTGTTTCTGTCAAGCATTGTGCCAATATCAGGAACAGTGAGACCCAGCCGGTGGCCATTAGAGCGTAGGTATTGCCTGAGATCAAAGCGGCGAATGGCCGACGCAGACCACGGCGAATGTATCGGGACGGCGAACAAATGTTGGCATAACGTTGCGGTCGCTGCAGCGTGATATCTGTTTGGTGTTGTTAGCTTCGGAGGCCACCGGAACGTAGCGACATTTCCGCCTTCCCTCCGCTTACGCCGCGCCACGCGGCGCTAACTTTCTTCGCCATGCCTTCGCCCGGCCAGGGGAAGCTGTCACAAAACGAACTTTCCTCAGGTCATCTGCCCTGTTTTTTCTCCTGCTGCACATGTATTTGTCATCTTTTTGGGGCACTCGAGCGTCCAGTCTTCCAAGTATTGGTACAGGTGAATCCACTCAAAGCCTACAGCCGCAGCGTCCAGAGGCTGCCGCGGCCGCGGACTCATTAGGCCCCGGCATTTCATAACCTACAGGCTTTGTGCCGTCCTATTTCGTCAAAACTTGGTTTCTTTCGCCCAAGCCGTTTTGTTCGCCTGACGTGAAGAACCAGTTTATTTTATGGCCGTTACGAGTCTTTGAACTTGGAGGACGTATATCAGCCCAGCCGTCCAAAGCTTATCTATGTGTCTCCAGCTGTGAGGGTCCTCCATCGGAACAGCTCACTGTCGACTGACGGATCCGATCGATTGTGCATCCGGCCAGACTTTTCTTCGAACGTTTGACTTCGTTCGAGCCCCTGACAATACGCGATCTCTCGTCAAACGCGTCGTGTATACTTAAATTCCCCCCTCTCTCAGTTCTTGACGGTAAGAGTCATCTCCCTCGACAAGCGCCATCGACTCATTGTTCACGACCAAAGATTCATTATGTCACCTGCAAAAGACATTCCGTACGTCAGGATCACTAGCAGTTCATGCCATGATCTCATCTAATATGCGTTCTGAACTGTTTTCTTATAGCATCTTGATTGTTGGCGGAGCAGGCACATTTGGGTCCTCTACAGCACTGCACCTTTCGCGTCGAGGGTACACCAATATCCACATCCTCGATCCTTATGCTTTGCCCAGCCAACAGTCCGCGGGTAATGATCTGAACAAGGTCAGTCTAGTTATACATCAACACCTCATACTACCAACTTATATGTAACTGATGCGTGTTGTGGTAGATCTGTGGTAACGACTATAGCAATGGGATGTATGCTCGTCTGGCCTCACAGGCTATTGATGCATGGAAGACGGACCCTCTCTTCACTCCTCACTTCCACATGACTGGCAAAGTGCGACGCTCCTGCCTGCTCTCTGTCGCATCATTGCTGATTTTGTTGGGCCTTTGCCTCTTACAGTTGAACGGCGCCTTCGGATCACAGGCAAAACTCGATCGCATGCGCAACCGCTTCGAGAAACTAGTGAGCATACCAGGCAAGGAGAACGAGTTCGAGTGGTTGGATAACGAAGAGGAGATTGTGGCCCGTGCGCCACACTTACAAGGAGCTGATATCAAAGTCCGTGCCTACTCTCACATCTCCCCTGTGAGCGACGTCCTCACTTTTTTTCTGTGGATAGGGGTGGAAAGCAATTTTCAACGCTGGCGCAGGTTGGGTGGCCGCGGCCGACGCCATAACTGCCATCGGTAAGGAACTGCAGTCGTTTGGTGTTCAAACGAGCTTCGGGCCATCCGGAACGTTCAAGAAGCCTATAATTTCCGACGATGGCAAGACTTGGATTGGTGTGGAGACCGAGGACGGTTCCAAATGGTTCGCTGAGAGGATAATAATGGCCACTGGTGCGTGGAGTCCGACCTTGGTCGACCTGGAAGGACAGTGTGTCTCCAAGGTACGTCTCGTTCCTCTTTTCTGTGGAGCTCCGATGTCAGGGGTATTGATGGAGTACGATATAGTGTTGGGTGTACGCACATCTGAAACTTACCGATGAGGAGTCGGAATGGCTCAAATCGGTTCCGGTGGTGTACAACGGCGAACTGGTACGCTGCATCTGGTTACCTCTCTAAGCTCCTGCTTAACATACTCCTTTTTTCAGGGCTTTTTCTTCGAACCACGAGACAATATTCTCAAGCTCTGCAACGAGTTCCCTGGCTTCACGCGTGAAGTCCCCGCTGTCACTCCCTATCCTGGCGAGTCGAATGACGACACCGGCGTCTCCGTACCACGTTCACATGCGAAACACCCCACGGACTTCATCCCGAAGGAGAGTCAAGAGGATATTCGTCGACTCATCAAGACCCTCCTGCCCCGGCTTGACGATGGACGCCCATTCGTTGGAGGAGCGATGTGCTGGTGTACTGGTACGTTTCGTTGTACCATCTAGGCTGCCTGCGATCATTGACGGCCACGTCTAGATATGCCCGACGCGAATTGGTTGATCACGGAGGATCCTCGGTGGAGTGGCGTCATATGGGCCACAGGCGACAGCGGGTAAGTGTGCCATCCTTAGCTAGTCTGACCAATGCGCCTTTCAAGCTTAAAATGTATCGCAGGCATGGTTTCAAATACCTCCCAATTATCGGGTCCTACATATCCGACCTCTTCGAAGGGAAGGTGCGTAACGTCCTTCTGTCCTTTGTCAGATACTCAGTCTGACTATGATAATGCTTTATTATGTGATCTAAATTTCAGCTCGATGGAGAGCTCAAGAAGACGTGGGCATGGAGACCAGGTCACGGTGATCCTGAAGGAACTGGGAGGAAGGGCGAGGCGAGGGATCTCAAGGACTTAGACGGGTGGGAAGGTAGTGACCCGAGGACTGACGTCTAATCTGGCTCATCTGTATCATCTCCCCGGTGTATCGATGCCTTGACTGTCGCGAGACATAATTTATGAACACATTTATTCAAAGTGGCTGTTAAAGTGGGAGACCTCAGTCAGATGCGAAAGTAGATCACACCACACATTCAATGTCGAGAGGTCGCTGAGTTCATAGCTTTCCATTTCCCCCATATATTATGGGTCCATGGTCATAGTCTACAACACAAACGTCTACAACAATGCGATATTACAGAGTACACTCTACGGACCGATATTGTTACTATTTTACCGCGCTATGCAGCAGCACAAGCCCCCTGGACCCTGGGCAACGTGGTGGGTACTTCCCTATCTCCTTCTCTCCGACATTTTAGACACAGAATATCAGGGATCTACTGAGGTGTCTTGCTGAAGAGCCAACTCATTCCTTCGATGGTCTCTTCCTGGAACCTCTGCGACAATTTCATGGACCGGAATAGCACTTGATAAAGCGAAACGTCAGGCAGGATCCAAGGAAAGAGAGTAGAGAAAAACTGACTGTGGAATGCATGCGGCACACCAGGGTACCTATAAAACAGACGTCCAGTCAGCGCAGCGGCAGGAATCAGCATAACACAAAGGTCCTACATCGTCATCTTAGTCTCTACACCCGCCTCCTTCACCAACGCATGATAAAGCAAGCCCTCGTCACGGAGAGGATCCCACCCACAAGACATAAAGAACAACGGCGGAAGATTGGCATGCGATGGGAAGAGGAGGGGACTGAAAGATGGATCGTATGGATCCGCAGGGTTCGCAAGTTCTGTAAGAAGCCGATGTGTCTCATGAGCGGTGTGGCGAGACAAAGAAAAAGCGGCCACATGACGTACTGTTAAACCAATACACCTCCTTCTTGCTCAGAAGTGGAGCATCTTTGCACTCCTCCATCGACCTGATGCACGATTTGTACCTGGTGGCGAACATAAATGACATGACGCGGGGAAGAAATAAATATACTCACTCTTCAGGCATAGCCTCCGGATGACAGGTTGGAGGGTACTGAACAAGCTGTCCGGTCAAAGGCGTATTCACCAGGAAGGGATCATCGCGAGCCCAGTGGGTGGCAATGATGGCCAGGTTGCCGCCAGCGGATTGACCAGCGATAACGAACCCTTTCTTGGGATCGGCATTGAACGAAGCGGCATTGGCAGCCGCCTAGTCACTGGCGCTTAGACCATGGTAAACATCATGATCAAACGGATACTCACCCATTTCAGACCGGCATATACATCCTTCGCGCCCGTAGGAGATGAATATTCTGGTGTAAGCCTGATAAAATAACACCTTCAAGTCTTTTGTCCATCGACTAATAGCGGAGACAAATGAACCTGTAGTCTATGGAGACAGCACAAACTTGCAGCTTGTCACAGATAATCCTTAAGTCGTAGTCGTCCATTTCGTAGTTGCCAATAGCCCAGCCCTGCCAGTCCGATCAGACCGGTCTCTCTTCTCTCCAAGGAGTGGAAGAAGAGACGCACCCCGCAGTGGACCCAATACAGCAGAGGATACGTCTTCGTCTTGTCCGGGTCGGAGGTAGGCACATAGGTCCGAACATGCATGTCAGTACCTTCTACAGGGATGTAATGATCCTCTAGCCGGCAGCGATCCTCTATGCCGTCCGAGCACAACGAAATCAGAGACGGAATACAACCTTGAAGGTATGTGACGGATTGGCTGACCTGACGGCAGGCTTGGCTCGAGGAATTTGTTCAGGTTAGGGATGATGATATCGTCCCAGAAGGCGCGACGGGCCTCAAGAGGAGGAAAGGGGTCGGTTGGTTCTGGAAATGCCGCCCAGACGGGCACAAACTCCGGGTGGGCCGTGGAGAGGCCCTCATCGAGAAACAAAGTGATAGCCATGGTTAGAGGCTACGATTTGGGGAAGACTCTGACCACTCGAACACGCAGAAGCACGGATAGGAGAGTATGTCTGGATCGTAAGGTTGGAGCTAGAATGGTTGCTGACTGGAATGGATAGGCCACTCAGGAGGGAGAGGTTGATGGAGGGCATCATCTTTTTCCACCCTACTTTTATACCAGCAATCAGAGACTCAGCGTCTGAGTCGGCTTCGACGGCAGCAGCGGGTCGGGAGAACTCGTAGGACTTGAACGTGGGCTGGAAATGCTTGTGTGTGTGGTAGGTTGGTAGCGTCTACACTCCATAAGTTTCCAAACTTCGATTCAAAGCTCCTTTTGGCAGCTTTGACCAAGTGGCCGAGAAAGTCGTCGATTATCAAACGTTGCTTTGACCACTACCGCGACCCACGCCTCGGTTACGAGTCTCAACAGGTAGTGCGGACTGTTTAGAGTTCATGCTCCTGTAACGGAGAAGTTCGGGCACTGCTGGCCTCCCTCGTAATTTTCTACCGAGATTAGAGATGAGTATGTGGAACAACACGCTCAAACGCAGCACTCGCGATAGCGTCAGTCAAAGCAGAGTGCAATAGTCGATAAACTCTCCTTCTGAGTCGTGAAAGACTCTAGAGTGAAATCATTTATTGCGATGAAGGCACGGTTCACAGAGCATTACGATGACGTGCGGGTCCCCACCGTGGTGGTCGGAAGAATGAGCGCCGCAAGCAATACTACTCAAAACTTCTATCCCCAGCGCCAGACAGGCTGCGGCAGCCGAAGGTAGTGAGATGGGCACTTGTGACCATGTTGTATCCCCTGTTGCTCACGATAAATCAGGATCTGGTGGAGGCTGCAGAATTCGACAACGACGGGATGTGACGAGAATATCGGTTAGGCATTGATCCAGCAACGAGCACTCGGGGGAGACGCTGAAAGGGGATATCGCACACTTTCGCACGACGAGTCCATTGAGCGACAAAGGAGATACACACACCATACATGAACCCGAAACCCGATTGACCGCATTGAGAGAAATTACCGAGCTATCATCCATATTCGTCTACTTACATCAAACATCGTGAGATTGCTGTATTCTACTAGCAGCACCTAGACTCCAGGACGGCGATTAGTGCCGAAGGATAATTGCTTCGGTTCGGTCCACTTCATGAGATACGTGCATTCGTCTTCGTCAATTATTCGCTCTCCGAGATAAGCGCAACAATCATCCTGTAAAGTCCGCGATACTCGTCAGCTTGGTGGCAAGGCAGCTGAGGAGAAGGGGTAAACGCACCGGTAGAGGTAGTAGAAGAAGGAAAGAAGGTAGAAGCCAAGTTTGATAAAGCTCTCCTTCTTATGCACTGATAGTGTCCTGAAGATTTCGGTCGCGTCGTACATGTGGTTTTTGTTCTTGATCCTATTTCGTCAACGAAGCGGGGTAAGCCGCGGTCAGATACGTGTTTGTATGACGTTATAAGGCTTGTGTGAACACGTACTTATTCGCGTTGAATACCAGTAGCGGCGCGTTCAGGAGAAAGGCGATCCATTGACCCGAGAGGAGGAAGAGTGTTGTGAGGAATGCGTGCGCGATATTTTCCGGAAGAACAAACTGCAGAAGAGACAATGAGCTCTAGTTAGTAATGTACGTGAAAGGGTAGAAAAGTGGTACGCACTTGATTCAGTTTGTTACAAAGGTCTATGGGATTGATGTAGTCGCATTCGAGATCCGAGAACATGATGATCTGTGGGGAGTATGGATGAGTGAAGGGTCAAACACGATATAGAGAAAAAAGCGCACGAAAAAGACCATGGTAAAGAGCAAGCCAGCCGCCATCAGCACCGCGAACAAAAACAGCCATCCTATTCACGAAAAGACACGAAATTGTTTAGGGTGTTCCACATAAGTTCCCGAACACGTATCGCGCAAGTCCGGTGTCAGAAACAGGTCACGGAGGAGGTCTAACAAGCGCCGCACCTGCACCACCCATTTCGAAGAGTTTTCACAAGCAGAAGGAGTACAGAAAAAGATGGCTCGAGAAGTCGTAAGCAAAGCAGAGAAACTGCCGGGGAGTAAGATAGACTGGGAGAAGGAGCAGGCAGCGAGCACGATGATTTCGACCGAGCTACATCGCGTGCCGTTCAACACTGACGTTTGCCCGTGACAGTCACAGTAGTCACATTACACAAGCGTCACATCGGAAAGCACAGCTTTGCACACACCTTTCAACGAAAAAGTACCCAGTTGCCTTTGCCTTTGAAAAGGGTAGACTGTAATAAGCTGAGCAATTTCAAGGTTTAAAACTTGAGCCACGTAAATTCACTCATTAGCGGCAGGCTCCAAGTCCCTGATACCAATCATACTACTTATCCTTGACACTTAGAAGCCTTATTCAAACAGATATCTAGCTATTGCGCGTCGATGATGCTGAGCTCTACTCTTTCCCCTGATGAGGACGTAAGAAATATATCAGGTCATGGAACGCGGACACCGTCCGCATTCGGACGTGCGTTTGCCCAAAGAAGGCACACAAAGGCCGGGCAACATGATTTGAAATTTGAACGTGTCTCTTTGTCGTCACCATGGCTCCGAGCTCATTTAAAACTCAGACACCCGGGCGTCTCGCGATTTATGGTCCTCTCATCCCAACACTGACCACCATGGCCATCCGTAACCTGGTGAATCTTGCCTTGTCTGGTGTTTCTGATGAGGTGGACTCAAACGGTAACCTCGTCTTGGAGTCTCCTAGCATACTGGAATGGGATGGGGAGACTAGAAGAAATCTCTTCGTTGTAAGTCCCTTCACACACTCTCATCACACTGTCCTCGCTCATCGATGCCTCAAGGCAATACCATTCGCCTTCGAGCCTCGCATATTGAAATGGAGGGAAGATGTCGCCAACGCTCCATTCGCTGACCTTCGACCGGATGAGGCAGTTCGCCATAACTTTTGTCTTCCCGTCAATCGACTACCGAACGAACTTGTGTTGACCATCTTCGATCTCTACCGCGCTTCTTACGGCGATCCTTATACAACAACGGAATCGCATCCGGTCATGACCCTCCTTCAGGTTTGCCATCGGTGGCGACATCTAGCCATGGAAAGCCCGTCACTTTGGACCTCTATCATCGCGGACAACGCCCAGATGTCTCGCATAGCCCTGGAACAGTCGAAGGACTCCCCTCTCAATGTGTACCGTTTCGACTATGAGCCCCGCAACGACGCGGACGATGCTCTCGTGCTTGTTCTACAGCCAGAATATTTCCCCCGCGTTCGTGTGTTAGAGCTTGCTTTCCAATCGGACACCCGCGAATGCATGGAGAACATGCTGGACCGCTGCTCCGCTCCCGCCCTCGAGAGGCTATTTATGGCTTCAGGAGACTCGCAATTTCTCGATTTTCAGGCAACCTTCCTCAATGGCGGAGCGCCGAGGCTACACCGAGCAGAATTCAGGAACTGTGCCCCCCACTGGGGTCCATCGCTTTTTTGTTCAGGCATAGTGGACTTACTGCTGACCGACTTTCTGTGCCCTCCAACTTCCTCCGATATGGATGCGTTCGTCAAAGCTCTGGCTCGACTCGAGTGTATGGAGACCCTGTTCATCCAGTTTCAGGATTCTCAAAATAATGCGGTCTCCAACTCGCCGCCCCGACCAAATGCTTCTCCTACCTCTTTGCCGAATAGCCTGCAATCTTTGAAAGTCACAGGAACAATTACCCACTGCGCCAGACTTCTCACCCATCTAGCACGCGTTGCAACTATCCCAGTGGTCGGCCTAAACGTCGAGCACAGGCCCGACCTCGAGGATTGGGCCAAAGAATGTTCCCGGCTGGTCAAGGAGCTCCGCCGGCAGTTCAAGCCTATTTCTTACGACTTCGTCCGTATCGATGGATTGGACGGCTGTGGGTTCAGCTTCGAAGCACTTGAAGAAGGTTACCTTGAGTTCTGTTTCCGCATCTCTTATCCACCAAACGCAGTACCCTTCGAGACTATGCTAGCCTGCTCTTCCTCAATCGTTCGCCGGTTGCCTTTCACCTACCCGTTCAACCTTTCCGTATCTTCTCTCAGTCCCATCCCTAGCTCCTGGCTTATCTCCACCTTCTCCCACCTCTCGTTCGCAGTCGAAGAGCTCTATCTGACCGGAGAATCACTCGTCGACGAGTTCAGCACGATTTTCGGCATGCCTTTGGAATCGACGACGCTAGGCAAGGACCAGTACGACGAGTCGGATCCTTCCGTCTTTTTGTTCCCGGCACTCGCATTCATTTCGTTGAAAGACGCGAAGCTGGACTTACTGCTCTACGCGGCGGATGACGGCCCTTTCGAATCTGGGTCTCTATATCAGGGCCTGGAAGCCCGTCGTGCGGTAGAAGGCTTGGGTCTCCATCGCCTCCAGATCATCGAATGTCAGATTTCCGCCCAGACTGTAGAAGACGCGAGAAGGGTGGTAGACGTCGTTACCTGGGATGAGGAGCCTGAAGTCGTCGACGACGATGCGCTGGTAGATGATGATGGTGAGATGACCGATGAAGAGGTTGATGACGACGAGCTCGAGATCGATAAGGGTGGAGATCGTGGACCTGACAGTAACGAAGCTGACAGCCAGGTCTATTATAGCGAGGAAGAGGGCGGCATTATTTATGTTAGTGATTCGGAGGATGAGAAAGCAAGTGAGTACTGGAGCCTGGATTCGGTCTAGCGTTAATTTGTATGGGACCTTAGCCCATGTTTTTTCAGTACTCATGGTGCTACACATAAATGTATTAATATAGTCAAACCTGGATTGATTCGCGCCACATTCATACTTGGAGAGGTGCCACTGCTGCGTTGAACTTCCCCGGTATCTTCCGCTCGTCAAATCGCGCCCATCTCATTGAAGCGACACATACGGTTGGTTAGTTCTTGACCATAACGGCTGCAGTTCCTGGATCTCGGACGTTTGTCTCTGGAAGTAACTTCTTGCAGGTATCAGGTGCTCTCAAGCATGGTCTAAATTAGAATGTAATGTGTTTTCTCCTTCTGTATCCGAGGCTTCAAAGGATCAACCTCTTCTCTTTCCAACTTTGATACCGGAGCAACAACCTTCACTCACGTTTCCCCTGAAACAGTTATAGTACTCACTGCACACACAAATACAGTCATTCGACTTCTTTAGCCTGCTGACTCGCTCTCCAAGTTTCGGTATTCCCATTGATCGTACGGCAACATGAAGGGAAGAGGGTGGCCGTCAGCTGATGCTACGTTCGACTGGACATGAGAACACGCAAATTCCTCTGTCCGTCTTCGATGCTCCAAAAATATGGTCACCTGTAGGGTTTATTCTATTGCTCATACCTCTAGGGCAGCGTCATACCTAACGGGCAGCCGCGGAAGCGAGTTGTGTTCTTGTACACGAACGGGCCGCATCGCAGCCATATAAACCAGCACCTGGTCCTGCCACTGATTCAGAGCTAGAATTGCTCTCTTCCCCTATACCCAGCATCCCTTAACCGTCTAGCGCACATGTCGGCCAAGGACGATATCAAAGGTGGCAAGTCAGAATTTGTTGGGACAGAAGAGGTCGAACACTTGGAGAAAAAGCCTTCCTCGTCTTTGGGCGATACGAAGGAGGATGGCTACCTATTAGCGGCAGATGTGAGGCCTTCTGCAGAGAGGGCATTGGTTCGGAAACTCGATATGCGCCTTCTTCCGACGATCATCCTCATATTCATCATGAACTACATCGACGTGAGTTTACTTCCCATGTTTTTAGACGTCGCATTGTGCCGATGCAGAGATGTTTCTTTCTCCGCTACAGCGGACGGCAGTGACGAGTGCTCGGCTAAAGGGGTTGCAGCAGGACTTGGGTATGACCGGTAAGTTATATCTAAAGTCAGAGGAAAACTTCCCTCTATTCACGTCTTTTCCATAGACATACAGTACAGCATCATTCTGGCCATCCTTTACGCAAGTTACTGCCCCATGCAGATACCGAGCAACATTGTGAGCGTCTTATCTGGTCTTATATGAGGATGAAACCAACCGAAATCACCTCTAGATCCTCAATCGTATCACTCGGTAGGCTCTAACACCTATAAAAACGAATACAGCACGTACTCAATCGTCCTTTGAAGTCCATCTTTATATATCGGCACTTGCGTCGTTCTTTGGGGCTTGACTAGCACAATGGCTGGTGTGAGTCAATTGATCTGCATCTTACTCATGCAGCTGTTCATTGTGATCTCTATGTAAGGTTACCCACAATTTCATCGGACTTCTTCTCTGCCGGATTTTCATTGGTATACCTGAGGTCAGTCTCAGACCATCTGGTGCTCCTCCGGTTCATTAACAGCTATCGACGTTCCCGTTAGGCCGCATTCTACCCCGGAGCTATATACCTGCTTTCTCGGTGGTACACTCGCAAGGTACATTTGGTTTCGCTCGCGAGATGAAGTAGACACTTACGAAGATACGATACAGGAACTCGCATTCCGCTCCGCTATACTGTATGGTGGATTGCTGATCTCTAACGCCTTCGGATCAGTGAGCTCCTCGCTCGTCACTTTTGAAATGCATACGCTGACAGGTCTCGTAGCTCATGGCTGCTGGTATCCTCTCTGGCATGGAAGGTGATCGGGGTATCGCAGCATGGAGATGGTGAGCTCTGCAAATATCTCTGTCGTTGCCCCACATGCTCATTTTAAACCGTGCAGGCTGTTCTACATTGAGGTTAGTTTCTCGCTCAGCTTGTCTTCGGTCTTCTAGTGACATGTGCTTTTCTGCTAAGGGCTCCATAACTATGTTCGTTGGCTTTTGCGCGATGTACGTATCTTGACTCATCGTACGCAGATGTCGTCCTTACCCTTTCATCCCCAGGTGGCTCCTCCCGGACTATGTATGCTCCTCTCAGATTTTGAGAAAAATATTTGCTCAGTCTTTACTTTTACCTGATTTTATAGCCAGTCAACACTCGCTGGATATCCGCCGCAGAACGTCGTTTGGCTCAGGTACGCCTCGCAGAAGATGCCGGCGAAGCGGACGAGGATGTTGCCACAGACTCGTACGTTGCTAGTCTTTTAAAGAGTACAAATCGTGATCAGTCTAACTTGTACACATTGTCTCTATATTTTTAGAGCTCTAGGAGGCTTTGTCATGGCAATCAAGGATCCGAAGGTCTTACTCTTGGCTTTGAGTACCTGTTCGCAGCTTTTGGGTTTGAGCTTCGTGAATTTCTTCCCGACGTACGCTTTTCCTCTCTGTTCTGATATCTGGAAGATTGGACACTGAAGAGGTAATATAGATTGACGGCGACACTAGGATTCAGTACTACGATCAGTTTGCTACTGGCCGCGTACGTATGCACCCTGGGTTCCTAACTAGCAGATCATTTTTCTCTGACGGTGATGGCATGACAGACCGCCATGGCTGCTCGCGACCATTGTGTGTTGCGTCAACGCCTGGCACGCAGGTATGTTCTCTACTTCCAACCTCTGATATGTGGATGCCTCTCATGCTATCTTCTCGTTCAGACAGGACCGGAGAGCGTTACTTCCACATCGCGGTACCTTGGTGGGGTGTCATCCTGGCCTATATCATCGGGGTCTCAACAATGGTCACTGGAGCTCGATATGTCGCTATGGTGAGATCTCTCTTATTTGCCGTTTTTAACGTACGCTAACGTGTTGCGCATTGGGAAGTTCCTCATGGCCATGGGCTACGCCGGTTTTGCTCTGACGCTCGTATGGGTATCAAACGCCGTCCCTAGACCACCGGCGAAACGAGCTGCAGCAATCGGTATCGTTAACGGCTTCGGAAACATCGGAAACCTGTGAGCTCATCTGCGACCTTCTCGTGTGTATATTTCGCTGACTGTAGCCGATACATTGTGGCACCAGCATCGGCTCTTTTACTTGGCCATCTGAGTGGGGACCCGACTACCACAACTCGATGTACATTGGCATAGCCTCACTCGTGTTCAGCTCCGTACTTTCACTCAGTACGTCCCATGCGTCTCTTCCCTTGATGATAATCGTGTCATTTGAGCTGATTGTTGGTGTGCAATCTTTGCAGTTGTGAGACAGATGCTGATTCGCGCCAACCACCGCCTCGCACAGTCCGAGCTGGAAGATCTCACTGGCGCGAAACGACAAAGAATTGAGGACGCGGCAAGGCTGGAGGGAATTTCCGTGGAAGAGGCGCTGGAGAGGAAGAGAGGGTTCCGGTACCTGTTTTGATTAGGAAGTAAAGGATCGGGGCGTAGGAAGGGAAGACATGAGCAACAGACGGAGGGCCACGATGGTGAGAGAGAACATCTTGTCGGGTGGGGGGAATGTACAACATGTACGAGCAATGTGTATTTTAGATATCATGAACCTAGGCACCACACTTAGGTCGAATCTCTGCAAGAGGTCAAATGAGGTCTTGTCTGCTGCAGTAAAAGCAGCAAAAAGACGGGGAGCACCTATAGTCTTACTTCCGATACGGGGAATCGAACCCCGAGCTGCCGCGTGAAAGGCGGCAATGTTAGCCGTTACACCATATCGGACATATCCATTGTCGAACGTGACACGACATGTTACGATTCTCTTCAAAGTTGGAGCACTTCTATGTATCCCCCAAGCTCATCCCCGCACTCCTCTTACACCATACTACAAGAACATGTACAGTGAAGATTAAGTCTACATCCTTGAGGGGCTGAATCTACTCGAGTCACGCTCATAATTTAGTCCTCCCAAATCATTTTCGGTCCATTGTAGTCTCTTAGACATGACATCACGTACATTAGTTATAGCGTGCCATCATTTCTGAACGTTAGACCATCATTTTCTGTCAAAAAATACAGGAGTTTCGCCGCATGCACGACCATGCAGCATTCGAAGGTGCTGCTACGAACTGATGGTCGCAGTAAGTTGCACTGCCTCGAAGGTTTGAAGACCAACAGTTGAATTGAAAATGACGAAGTGCAGAAACAGTACAGTATAACCATGAACAACGAGATTTGTCTCGCTAATGCACTAGCCCAGCCGGGGACTTAGCCCGTTCAGTGCTTGGCACAGTCGACGAGGAGTACATATACAGCATCGTACCAGATGAGCCAACCACGCCACTACTCCTCCCATTTCTTAAAGTCACCATTATGGAACTCGAGATGGAAAACGCCTCGCGGAACAAAGACGTCACCCTCATCGACTCCCAGACGAACCAAGCTCTTTACCGCATCACGAACTTCCAGAACTCTATGTTCCAAAGCCCCAAGGTCAACGTTATATCCAGGTTGAGTCGGGGGTCGAGAGAGGAGAGGCTGGCGAAACTCGAAAAGGGGTGGTTCAACGACCATATAACGATCAACGCAGGGGGGGCGAGGTTGAAGGCGAAGAAGTTCTTTGATGTTGCGGTGTTTGGAGGGTACGTCGTCGGCTCTTTAGTTGGATTGTCCGCAGACATCCAGTCATATATCATACTTACCTCTGCCACAGACACTATTCGTTCACCGGACCAGATGGGCGTACCCGTTACCGGTGGGAGCTCCAGAACCATGGCTTGAGGGTAATAATCCCAATCATTTGACCGCTTCATCGCACTTATGTTGACGAAGATTTCTTGGTTTCAGTTGACGACTGATGATCGAGTGCGTACCCTCGTAGCCCATTACAGAGAACGTCGGAGAGGTCTTTTGGGGATAGGAACGAAAGCCCCCGCACGGCTGGTCGTGATGCCTTCGAGTCTGGATATGGTGGATATGATAGTGATAACATTAGCATACGTCGAAAGGAGAAGGCAGGACAGAAATACCAGTACGGCTACTTCTGCTGCTGCTTGAGGGCATGCCGATGAGGGTGTTCTGAGATAACTGGACTTTCACGGACTTTGGACATTTATTACGATACCCTATATTCACACCCACCGGATTGTAATTGGAGGGCTTTTTTACCTGCCTGCCCTGTAAACCTTGGAGTTGAAAAGACCATGGTACTTATCGCTAGATCGGGACGTGTGGCCACGACAAAAACACAAAGAACTCCAGTAACATCAACCACGGACAATCCTGTCAAAAAGAGTTCCCGCGACATCCGTTATCCGGAACAAATGCTGAGGACCTCTAGGATAGAGTAGTAGGATGTGCTCGACCGGTCGTGTACGATGAATAGCGTGGAGGAAACTTGAACAAGACGCCGACTTCTCGCTTGGGGAAAAAACTCACCAATGTATGACGACCATCCCATCAGGACAAGAGCATGGTGTAGCTTCATCACACGGAGAACAATGCAGAGAGCGCAACGATCCAATATATTCCAACGCAAACGGGCATACATCAGCTACAGAACCTGAACATAGACGGTATGAGATGTAGGGAACCACCGACCCTTCCGCGGCCACGAAAGTCCCAGAAGAGGGAAAGACGACGCGAAAATTGGGTGCTGAGACGTTCCCAGATTTGCTCGGGGCATGGCATGACACTCGAACGGCCGCGTGTGTTGTAAAGGCAGCCATGAGCAACATTGGGGAAAAGTAAGCCATGTCGCCGCACGAAGAAGAAAAGCGGAGCGCGAGGTTCGCGAAGTTTTGTACCCAGCACGATCGTGGGAATTGATGCCTGCTTTAGGGTGAGTCGCGCGCGTCTTGTGCCGACTCCAGCGGTTTGCGGACATCGTCTTCAGCGACGACGATGCTAATGGCAATTATGGTAGGTGATATAGAGCCTAGTTTGAAGTTTTTCTCTCTTGGAAATAATCTGAGATTATCTGCTATTTGTCTGTCGGCTCAATCGATACCGCCCATCCGCCACATTTGGCTACCTCGCGAGCTTCCTATCTCTTGACCTTGTCGGCACATGGCTCTCTAGTTCTCGCCATCTGCACTTACCTCTATTCAACGAGGTCTTGGGATACCCAAGCTAGCTTTTCATACATAAACTTGCTCGCCTACCTCTCTTTCATAGGAGCTACTAAACGCATAAGCAATACCCTGCTCTGACGTGCCATGTCCGCCCCACACCCTACGTTCTACCTCTGCATCGATTGCGGCGGAACCAAGACTGCTGCCGCCCTCGCCAACCCCAGTGGGGAAATCGTCGCTCGAGCTCTAGGTGGACCGTCCAATTTCGCCTATGTTGGCCTCGACGCTTTTCTCATCGCCATCTCCACCGCCGTCAACACCGCACTCTCCCACGCCCTCCCCCATCTTTCAACTACAACGACGACGACCTCTTCTGCACCATCCGGAGGCCTGATAGGTGCGGGTACTTATACCATCGCCGCAGCATGGCTCGGCGTCTCAGGAGTCGACTCCCCCGCCAGTATCGCCCAACTCACGCCAGCCATCTCAAAGCTCCTGAACATCCCTGCCGGCCCTCGTCTCGCTATAACGAATGACGTTCAACTACTCGCGGCACCGCTAGCCACCCTTCCCGATGTCCATAGTGCCGTCGCAGTCATCGGCGGCACTGGCAGCATCATCGTCAGCTTTCGCGAATCCTCCAAGCTCACCGCCGTCGATCTGTCAGAGTCCCAGTCTGGTAGTGGAGAGCCCTTACAAGAAATAGCTCGCGTCGGAGGATGGGGTTGGATCCTCGGTGATGCAGGTGGAGGGTTCGACGTCGGACGTACCGCGATCCAATACCTCTTGAAAGAGCGAGACGAACAATCCGCCGGTCTACACCCCATCCCTTCCACCCCCGGACCTCTTCTCTCGAGCGTATTGCAGCGGTTCAAGATCAACGATCTGCTGGAGATATTGGGAGCGGTGCATGTTGCGGACCCCGTGTCTGTTGCGCCGGATGGCGGAGAGGCAGAGTACGATTATACGGCCTATCCGAGAGAGAAGAGGTTATCCGCCCTCTCGCCGCTTGTGTTCAAAGCGGCGTACGAGGACGGAGATCCGTTGGCGATGGAGATATTGAAGGATTGTGCGGGGAAGTTGGCCGCTCAGATCGACACGGTGTTGAGTCGTCCGGATGCTACTGAACCAGAGGTACGTTTTCTGCCTCCCACATCATCTCCCCGACCGCTGCTCTATTTCTCTGTTACTCGAAACTCATCATCTATCATATTTTTGATTGATTCAAACAGGCTCGTCGCGTGCCCGCGTCCACATCCGTCGTCAGTTTCGGAGGATCCTTGGTCTCGCTGGAGTCTTACCGCACACTAGTCCTCGACCAGCTGAAGGAAGTGGGCCACGTGTTCAGACACGTCGAGGTCGTCAACGATCCATCCTCTGCTGGTGTGAAAGGTCTCGTTGCGACATGGGAGAAAGCGTGAGGGGAAAAAGTCGGGTGTGCAATGTACTGTGCTTTATCTGTTGTAATCTTCATAGAGTACGTTATTGGGGGATTGATTGGGTACATGAAAGGAAAATGCTTGGGCTTCCTGATTTGGAAGCTGGTGAGGGCGTTTCAAGAGGGCTTGACTGATTCCGTCGGTCACGCGGATATTGAGCAGGGATGTCCTCTTGGAAGAAGGACAGTGTTATTGACCAAACGGTCACCAAGGTGAAATAACGGATTACAGACAAACAAGAAACAGAAAGTGAGCGGTGCTGCGATATATGGTCATGAGAGGGCACGGAATTATTTCAAGACGGAGCTTTCAAACACAGACCCGTAAACCAGAGAAAAGCCGGTAACATAAACGTAGAAGGAAAGCATGGAGGAGGAAAGATGTCCATAGGGCAACGAGCCTGAAAGATAGGAAAAGATGAACAAGACATCGAGTTTAATCCACATCCATTCTCCCCTCACCGCCCCGACCACCACGCCTTCCGCCGCCCCCTCGCCTGCCCCGACCACCGCGGCCACGACCCCGTATGGGCTGCTGAATGTACTCTTTCGGATCTGCGCCTGGTGGGGCGACAAGGACGTGTGCACGAGCACGAGCGTCTGCATCCGTTAAGATGTCGTCCGAACGCATTTTCCTGTACGTCCAATCAAAGGTCAGAAGACCGTTTATATAAGGAAGGAGAGTGAGAATGACTTACGATCCGCCAGAACTCTCGCCCTGCATCAACACATCAACATCCTCCAAGCCAACACCCAGCCTCCCGCTCAGACTCGCATTCACACCACCAACGACCTTCACCACCAACGTTCGACCGTCCGCGACCTGGCCATCAAAAGTCGTTACAGCCTCCTTTGCGTCCTTCTCGTTCTTGTACGTCAGTCGGACGGTGACCCCTCCTTGCGTGTTCCTGACGGCGGAGTTGGTGATCGCACCACAGCGCTTGAAGATAGCCTGGTGCAGCACGATGGAAGAGCCGCCACACAAATCAGAACAAGAAAACGGTCAACATCCCACATTCAAAGAATTATACAACCCAAGAAAATGACAACGTACCTCAACGTCAGCTGCAGACGTCCCCGCTACCAACCCAGAAACATCGACGACGTTCCCCCTGTTACTCGCTCCTTTGATCTGCAACGGTCCCCCCGCCGGCTTCGCCCCCGTAGCATCCCTGAGTGCCCTATCCGCTAATCCAAAATTCAACTTCGGCGGGCTCACAGTCGTCGGTTGACCAAGCCTAGCGACGAGCGACTTCGAATTGGTGTTGTTGTTGTTCTGGTTCGAGGATGTGCCGGGGTACAAGTCGTGCTGCCATGTCGAGTTGACGTCGCCTTTGGGTGGACGGTTCTGTTATGTTATGTTTATGGGTATCGACGAAGAGTCAGATATGAAGATAAAGTTGAGGGGGGACATTTTTTTTCTCATGTTAGGTATGATCCTGTTGCAGTGAGGTCGACTTTGGAGGTGAACGCACGTAGGGAACCGACGGGTTTCGTTTGACGCGAGAACGGACTGGGCCGCCGGAGGAAGAGGCTGGAGAGTCGAGGTTCATACGTTCGAGTAAAGAAGCCATATTTTGCGGTGTTATGGGGCAAGTCTGAGGGTCTGAGGAGAGGTAAAGGGAGAGAGTGAGGCTGCGGTGCTGATGGATGGTGGTGGTCTGTGCTTGACCTCGGGCGCGACGCGAAAGGAGTGTCGTCACGGTTCCCGCTTCCGTCACACAAAAAGCATCGAGTCACGGTGGCGGTGGCGCGAGTGGCTCACGATAATGTCGTCGAGGACAAAAAGTCATCGCAAGACAGGAGGTTTATAATTGTACAAAATTATAGTTCGGTGCATAAGCTAACAAGAAAGATGGTCGGATTGTCTTTGAATTAATACAAGTATCTAAACCCTCTCCTCCTCTCCACAACCTCCTCGACAGATATCCCCTCAAGCCTTGCAGCATCTTCGAGCTTCTCCCGGTTCTCCTCTTTGAGCATTTCCATGGACGAGCTTTCGAGTCGATTATTATCCTGAATTGTCATCTGTCTGACCGCTACAAACCAGACAACAGTATCAACACGATATCGAGATGGCCATGTGGAGAGGAAACAGCACGCACCGAGACATAAGAGACAACTCAAAACAATCGCGGAAATCCCGATGTACATCGAGTTATGATACTCGGGTCCCCACTTTATCGGCCATACGAAGGATCCTATCCTATCGCCACCAACACACACCACTCGAAATCAAAGAATTGCACGTTTCAGAGTGGACTGTCATCACTCACAGGGTACCGATATTACCAAACCCACTAACGGGACCGATGGCTGCTGCTCTCTTGGCGGGTGGTCTCGGCACTGCATTAGCCACCCAGACGAGCGATAGCGAGAGGCCTGGATAGACGTGAGCAGACTGCGTTATATCCCTTCTAAGATGATCTGAGACGAATGCTGACCAGCATATCCCGTGGCCAATAGAAACTGATATAGCGCTGATCAGTCTTCACAGAAATTTGGATCGCCACGACATCAAGCGGTCGTACCATAGCGACGTAACGCGCTCCTGTGACCATCGTTGACACTCCGATGATATATCCAATGATCATGCCAAACCAAGGGATCACGATATGGAAGTATCGTTCTCCTGTTTTGTCTATGATTGCGAAAAGTCAGTATTGGAAACATAGCATTAGTTAAGAAAACGTACCTGCGTGCCAGGAGTTGAGGAATGTGACAATGGTGCCCAGGATCCATGGTGGCCTACGCAGGGCCGTCTCGTCAACAAACAGCACCAAATGCCATAATTCGGACGCCGAGAAGCTCACGCGACCAGCAGCAGGCTGATGGTGGTATCGAACCCAAGTGTCGCCGTCAATCTGAGTCAACAAAGAAAAACACGGGAATACGCATGAGCTTCGAGCATACTCAGTTAAACAACGTAAGACCCGTACTGACGTTGGAAAGAAGTTGACGAAACTCGAGCCTAGTAGCTGAGAGCAAGTAGCAAGAGCCAATAACAAGACCTTTGGGTCCATAATCGCCTGAACGAACCCGTTCAATACCCTATCAATTGAGCGCCGTACCCACGATGTCAGTGACCACGATCCAGCTTGATTTTACGGGAAATCTCAAGACTTTCGACGTACGACTCTGTGGTGACATCGCGGTCGACTTCTCCTCCCGCATCCTCAGACATGCGCACCTGGGCCAGTCGACGTTCGGGTGCACTTAGCCATCTCGTATTATGAGGCTACAAGAGTGTGATGAGTTGATTTGGATGGTTTTCGGCAGCTGAAATCTAATTGGCGCACATAGTCGGGAAGGAGGTACCTGTGGGGTCAGGAATAAGCCGATAGCTGGACTGCAAACATATGTGACGAACTCGCATTGCAAGGAAGCCAATGGTTATCGTGATGGACCCCTGTGGAACAAGAACATGCGGGTGAGCAAAGGCATCAACCACATCGGTAACTGACAGACCTCGATGTAATACAACCTGTACAAGCTATAAGCATCCACTGCAGCGTATCGAAGAATAGAAGCACCTCACCATCTCCAACCCGCGATACCTCTTGCGCCATTCAGACCGGAGAGAATACCAGCAGCCATCAACTGTGAGACCATTGACTATCAGGATCAGGGGAGGCTCAAGAGCAAAAAATAGGCCCCTGCCCTTGCTCACCGAGCCGAAAGCATTAGAAAATAACAACCCTCCATAGAGCAGCGCCGATCGGAAAGCTAGCTCCTGCAGAAAATGCCAGACTGTCAACCGACAAATAACGTGTTGATGATGGTTGTTTCCCCACATACCTTGCGAGTGTACCATCTCGACAACATGTAGAATGCGCCGGGATAAAACACCGACTATGGCGGCACGAAAAGTTCAGGTATTGGAGTATTGGTTGAAGATGATGTAAACCAACCTCTGGGACGCCAAGAAACAGACGACATAGGAGGATACCGGCGAAGTTGTGCGTAACCTGATCGACATATGTAGATTTAGGCTCTGAGGAGGAGGAGAAGGACACTTACGCCAGTCAGAGTGCTTATCATGCCCCACACTATCACGGAGGTGCCAATATAAATAGAGGGCCTTGTGAATACACGCCGTCAACACGGAACGTTGAAGATATTATGGATATCTTACCGGCTGATACGATTGATGAACTGTGAATGGAACATCAAGTTTATGGGCGGAAAAGATGCACTTGAAAAAGACGAGGAACATACCATATTACTCGGTATCTGCATGGGGCAATAAAGCGCATATAAAATGGCCAGGACAATGTTATATTGTATGTCTATCGCAGGTATCATGCAAACCTCTCCTTTGAAAGTCTCTTGAAGCTTTACTCACCCGTCAAGTGGAGATCTTCTTGAAGGCCTTTTAGGCGAGCACTCGCTACATTTGTTCTCTAGCAGAGAGGGAAAAAGAATAATTCATCACGAGAGAGTTATCGACAGGAGTTGTACGTACATCGATATAGTTCATGATAAAGATGAGAATGATAGTCGGCAGAAGGCGCATGTCCATCTTTCGGACCAGAGACCTCTCTGCTGCGGGTCGTACGTCGGCTCTCAACAGGATCCCATCATCTTCGCTGTCGTCATTCGGCGACGCGGATGATCCTCGCTCTGAAGAATTCTTGATACCAACGGTGATACCGAGCTGTGACTTCTCTATTTCGGTGCCACCCATGGTTGCTCACCCGTGTTGCTATAGGCCGCCGGAGGAGAAAAGGAAGAGGAGCAGACTGCGACGAAGGTACTTAACGCTCAACTGTGACAGTGCAGAGTCTCATATATATAGCTGACCGAGCTACGTGGCTCTGAGACTGCATTCATGCCATCCTTCAGTTTGCCTTGACTCAAGGTGAACTGAGTCTGCGCAAAGCTATATGGAGAGACGCTACTTCCGTGCGGAAGAACATGGTGACTTGCTAGTCGCCCAAATGACGAACCCGTCCAGGCTCATCCATCCGACATGTTCTCATGTCGACGATAAGACCCCGTCAAACTGATGAATGAGCAAGTTCTTTCCCTTGCTAATCACCGTTCGCCTGCGACTTGAGAGGAAGAGGTCTATGAATTGGTGGGATATGTAGATGACTCGGGTGCGATAGTGTGTGGGCGTACCTTTCACGAGCTCGAGCAATAAGTTGAAGATATTCTCGTTATCAAAACCCAAGCACTTGCTTGCATATTGTTTGCAGAGCATGTTTCACGCTGTCACGAAGAGTGGAGTTCGAGGTGGCTTGTGCATGAAGGACACTGCTCGCCCTGGCGCCAAGTGGAATGGAAAATGCGTACGAACGCGCGATCACATGGAGTTTCACAAGCCAGGTAAGTGCAGTCTCAGTACTAGTTCTGCAGATGACAGGATATAAATAACAATAGAGTGCCAAGCCCTATATCGGGAAGAAATTTCTACTCATAACAAGATGTGGATTGAACGAATGTCAACGATCCAAGTCACGGTGCTGTCAGGAACAAGTCAGGAAGGAAGGAAGATTTGATACTCCGAAAAGGCGGAGTTTATATATCACCCCACCTATAAAGCGCGATGTGCAGCTCTGTGTCCCCCCACCACCACGCCATCACCCTCAACGCAATCTCAAGTTTGCTCAAGCTCCAACATCCAGCGCTGTCACAATGGCCCGAACAAACAGTCGCAACCGCGTACGAACCAGGAAATCCTCTCATCGTACTCACCAGTCCTCTAAACTCGCGTCTAGCAGTGTCTTACAGGCTCCATCACCGGCTCCAAGGACCAAGCCGTCACCCAATAGTGATTCTCTCCCTCAATCTTTGGCTTCCCGCATCGGGGCTATTGCTAGCAAGAAGCAACTCCAGCAACTGTACCGTCGGCGGCCTAAACAGTCTTATCAGCATGCTGCTGTCCGAGCGAAGAGGACCCAATGGGCCAACATCGCTCGTCAGACGGCGGCCATTGTCCTCGGTGATGGGAAGTACGTAGAGACGAGGCGTTGTCCCGTTCCTACTTTGAGCCTATCACCGAGTTCAAATGCTGACCTTGATATACCATCACAGTCTGAGACGACCTCGACCTGGCATCTTGTCCACGACATCTCCCGCGAGATCAGAGCATCTAGCCAGGGGACCCTCGTTTACCCAGTTGCTTCGCTTGATGATTGGGCTACATCACTCCCAGCTCGAGCTTCCACCGCCAGAGTAGAGTTCACCAAGCGATCGCCGCTCACCGTGGCCCGTCGTCGATACATTCATCGACCGACCGCCCCCGTCGGCGTCTTGTCCTCGACATCGCCCCGCCGTCCAGGCGGTTCTTACCTTAGTGGCGCCTCTGAACCTGACTCCATCATTTGTCGTTCCTCCTCCCTCATCGCAGCGCTCACCTCCGAGCCCGCCAAACCATTCTATGCCTCTTTCAAGCACCACATCAGGCAGCACCCTTCCGACTTCTTTTACCTCTCGACCCTCGCCTACACACCATCAGTCATTGGCTTCCGCCGTGATGACGAAGATCGTTTTATCTTCAATGATCCAGACTTCAGCCCCGAGATGGATGCCATTCCCGCCGACCCGACCACAAGGTCTCTCGAACTACCGCCCGCCGTCAACGGACAGAATCGCAAGGCTATGGGAGAGTACGTCGCCCCGTACCTCATGAATGTCGTCTCTGCCGTTCCCGTCAATGTCCATGCATGCCGTTCTGTCACTCGCTCCACCACTCAGTCCAATGCCACCCATACCTCTTCCGAGACATCGGATTTAGGACAGGACCTTCGAGTCAAGGTCCGTCAGATCATGAAGGATCGCATGGGGCGCATTCTTCGCCTGTTCGAGCTTCAAGGCAACCGCACCGTCGTCCTTGGTACCTTTGGTGTCAACGACGGCTTTGATGTCGAAGATTGTGCCCGTGCTTGGGCAGAACTTTTGGTCTGCCACGGAGAAGAAGAAGTTGGAAATGGAAGATTCAGAGACGTTTTTGAGGAAGTTGTCTTGACAGTCCCGGGGAGGCTATATGGGGCCTTCAAAAAGGCATGGGAGATGAGGGTGTTTGAGGATGATTTCGTCAGGGATTTGCCGCCGGATGCCGACGACGAAGACGACGCGGATATGGAGGAGGTTCTGATCTGATTTATTACTTATCATTCGTTGATTTTTGCTTTTGTTCCCTTTGTCCTCTTTGTTCTTCGTATCTCTCGGTCACTTTGCCTGTATACTCATTTGGATCCGGTTTCGTCTCGTCTTCAACACGATGGGCCCCATGCTACATATACCATTCCGCTTCTACGCCGTGTATAAGTAGTCGAGTGTTTGTATCGTTATCCTCTTTATCCGTACATTGTGTAAGCCTCCAATTGTCGAAATGCCTCGAATTACTCCGTCCCAATGGCTGAGCATCAACCTTGCGGTATATGCTTCAGATAGCTTCGGCCTATGATATTGTAGAAGTCCTCTTCATCCAGGAATTACTTGCAACTCAAGCACCAACGATGCTCGATCCTGTAAATCGAAGGTGAGCCTCAATACCACGATGAAACTCCTCAACGATGTCCTGCAAATCGCACAATGGAGTTCAGCCTGTGAGATTCTCTTTGAGTACGCCATAAAATCGTAAAACACAACACACCTTCGCCGGCTTAATATCATTGACGAGCCCCACCCCCGATCCCGCCCACACGATTGACGCATCCTTCTCTCCCCTCTTCTCTGCCTCCTGGAACTTCCGTCTCAGATGTTCGAACTTCTGTTCATCTTCAGACCCTGGCGCTAATACTCTCAAATCCTCCAAACTGCCTACGCCACCAAGCTCTTTCAACTCTCTGATCGCCGGGATAGTCAAAGCTCGACCGTCGATACCCTCGGGCCATGTTGTTCTCCCCTGCAGCCAATCGAAGTTGAAAGACCGTTCCGTCGCTGATCCAATTTGGTCTCCTCGTCCGGCTGCCAGTATAGCATCCTTATAAGCAGGAGGGTAGATCGATTCGGGCGTGGCCAGGAATCGTGTGCCTACGACTGCACCGGCGGCACCGAGTGTCAGACAGGCTGCGATTTGAGAAGACGTGGTTAAGCCGCCTGTGGCTAGGAGAGGGACGAGAATGAGCTGGTCGTGTGTGAGGGCCGATATGACAGAGACGAGGAGGGTAAGAAGGGGCGGGGCAGTGGAGAAACCGTGGCCACCTGCTTCGATGCCTATATAATCGTGATGAGCGACTCGTCTGCGAATTGTACTAGTGGTGGTGGCAACAACAAGGAAAGAGAGTACCTTGTACCGCTAAAACATCCACACGCCACTGCTCAACGGCCACACGCGCCTGCTCCACCGAGCCTACCTGCACGAATATCAAGGTCCTATTATTCTTTTCATCGTTGTTTCCTACCGCACGATCATGCTCTCGAACAACATCTATCCATCGTTTAAGGTCATTTCCAAAGGAAAACCAGATCGCACGGACGTGCGCGTCGAGTGCAGCTTGGAGGAACTCGTTCATGAGTTTATGTGGTGATGCAGGATCTGGAGCTGGAGACTGGGCGTCGAGGATCCAGCCTAGAAAGCCGGCGCCAATGGGGAGAAGCCCATCCATTTTTGAGAATGCGTTCTTTGCGATGGATAGTTGTTCTTTCCAGTGGGAGATATCCTGGCCAGGTACTACGTGGTGCACGGGCAAGTATCGTTAATAAACCGTACAGTCTCTCGGGAGTGAATGTGTACGTACCTGGCGCCATGAATCCGAATCCGCCGGCGAGGGAGACTTCACTGGCGAGAAGACCACCAGCCGCGAAGGCCATAGGGGCGGAGATTACGGGCGTTCGTATGCCTGTAAATCCAAGTGAGCAATCAATGATTGAGCAGCCTTATAGACGTACGTACGTACGTACCGAGAAGACGTGTCAAAGGGGTCGTCAAGCTCATGTTTGATTGGAGCGGCAGTCCTTGACCGGGCTTGAGAGTAGAGTGGGGCTTCAAGTAAACCGGGAGATGTACAATTCAGGAGTCGATATCCAGCTCGACCTGATTGTGGGGATGAGTTTATAGTCTACCAGGGCAGGGCGCCAACATACTACCTTGATGCAGTCTGCCAAGCACCGACGCAAATCGCACAGGGGCTACATCAGATATATAATCGATGGTGTAGTCCCTAAAGGCATAGTCACTGTGGATAAGTTTGGGAAATTGAAACTGTTTGGGCCAGCGAACGGGTCAGGGGATCGACATCTAGTAGACCGAGATTGGACATAGAGGATGTTCGGGTTTGACGCAGAGAAATAAGTATGGCCTCAGGGACAGTGTCCTCAGGGTTCTTACCGAAAGGAACTAAGGGTCAAGACGCCGTTGCAAGAGGAGGTTCACCGGCCAGGCGCTACTAAGCGGCATCTTGATTTGGCGACGGTGGAGGACGGTACTCTTGTGAATCTCGGGCTTCGTGTCCATCAGATCGAACTCGTATTCATAGGCACTGTGTTGTCTTTTGGAGAGTACATATAGTACAAAAACGTACAGGAAGATGGAAAGGTTTAAGAAGTGACTTGCCATGAGCGTCGAAGGGAGGTGGATGATGGACGATCTTCGACTAAGTAGTACTGAAAGCCGCTAGGAGTGCGCAGGAAAACAAGCGCAGATGGTACGTCGGTCTTCGCTTGGTGGATGTTTCGATCTCGACAAACGTTCTTCGTCGTCATCGACAGCGACCAGCGTAAACGCTCTATTAACCGCACCGAACATCAAAGTTACGGAGAAAGGAGGCGGAGATAAGCGGAAGCCTAATCGTTGAAGTAATCACAACGGGTTTACAACGGGCCGTCCACCTTCGTCCGCCAGCACGCAGACTGCACCATGAACAATCCAAACGTCGATGCCGTTCTTCATGATCACACTCGCTTCGTTGCCTTCATTCACAGTTATTCCGCATGTTCCACGCATGTCGGCCATTACGGCCGCTGATAACCTGAGAGTGGGTGACCTGTATGTGGAAGATTGGGTCACTAAGTAATGGACCTGCTGCTATTGGGACTATCCTCATGACCGCTTCGTCCCATCGGGTGACGAAATTATAACAGAATCGACCGTAATTGGCTGCCAGGTGGTCCGTGGTCACTGGTGACTCTAAATGTTCTCCCCGAGAACAAGCCCGAGCCCGACAAGGTCGTCTCACCTGGTTTCGTCCGGTACCCGGTTACTTCTACCCCGCACTTTAGACCTCCTTCGCCGTCATCTCCTATCTGGTCTCTAGCTTGAACTTTGGTCTCTTGTTCTGTACCACACCCTCTACGTCTATCTGTAACCGCAACCTCACAGGAGACCACCAATCCTATACTCACACTCGCAGGATCAGCTATTCTTTACGAGCACATTATTCAATATGACCATCTACACCTCACCGTATCCCCCCGTCCAAATCCCGTCCAAATCCATCTACTCTTACCTCCTCCCGAAGAATGAACCAAACTTCGAGCCCTCGCTCCCGGCTTTCATTGATGCTCCCACTGGACGCGTCGTGTCACGAGGAGAACTCAGAGAGACGACTCTTCAGATGGCATTTGGACTACGAGAGGTGCTCCCTGCTGGTAAGCAATGCGTCTCTGAACATGGCAACAGTGTGATGGATCGGCCGGCGTAGTTTGGCTGTCAAGTGGCGTTCTGCATATCAGGTACTAGCGTGGCGGGATTCCGAGTGATGGCAGGGCACACTAAGGCCTATCCTCACAGAGCTCCTCTTTTTCCTGAATGGCTCGGTATCATCCATTGCTGCCAACAGAAATATGCATGCAACAATTTAGTCCGTCTATGGGCCACACGCGTCCCATGCTACAACACCCTTTTTGGTCGCCATTCCTTTTTTATACCCTTCCCGGCCTAAATAACTAATGCCCCAATCTGAACAGACGTTCGCCTTCACCGCGGCCAAACGGCCCTCATCTTCACCCCAAACTCTCTAGCCTACCCATTAGCTCTCCTCTCCCTCATCGCCGCCGGAGGCCGGGCCACCCTCGCTAACAGCGCCTACACCGCACATGAGCTCCTCTTCCAATACAGAGACTCACATGCGCACCTTATCCTTGTCGCTCGGGATCTGGTACCGGTCGTATTAGAGATGTTCAAGTTAGCTGGGCTAGAAGCAGCGGAGGCGAAGAGGAGAATTATATTGTGCGAAGCGCCACCTGCTACGACCGCAACGTATTTAAATGCAAAAAAATGGGCAGCAGGTGTACAGAGCGTGGATGAGGTTGTTCCGGGGAAGGAGAATGGATGGGGCTGGACGTTGAGCGATCTCGTAGGCAAGGGTAAGTTGGAGGAAGAAGAGAAGTTTGACGGTGAAGACGCGCACGAGACTGCATTTTTGTGTTATTCATCTGGGACTACGGGAAAGCCGAAAGGTGTCGAGGTAGGGATTATTTCAATGACCTGATTAGTTATGCCGATGTTAACGCAATGCTGTCGGTTTATTCTGGTAGACAACACACAGAAACCTGAACGCCGTCATCTCAATGGTCGATGCTTCTTTCCCAGGCCTGCAGGCGAAGAAGGATGTCCTCTTGGCTGTATTGCCCTACTACCACATCTACGGTACGCCCTCCCTTCGCTTCCTAATTTTTCTATCGGATTCACACCGCTAACTCCCACATTCGCTCCCCGTCCCGCCTTGCATCCACAGGTGTCGTCAAACTCCTCCTCTACCCCCTCCACATCGGTGTCCCAGCCGTAATCATGGCCAAATTCGACCCAACACAGTACTGCGCCAACATCGAGCGCTACAAAGTCACCGCGAGCCTCATAGTACCCCCGATCCTCCTCGCTCTTGTCCACCATCCAGCGGTCGAGAAGTACAACATCTCGTCACTGAATTATCTCAGCTCTGGAGCTGCACCATTGGGCGGTGATCTCATGAAGGCCGCATTGGCGAAATTACGCAAGGTTGGGGCTAATGTCGATATCGCACAGGGTCAGTCTTCTTTGTTATTCCACTCGCACATCATTCACAACTGTGTGCTAAATACTGATTGATTTGTCCGCACAGGCTATGGTCTCACTGAGACCTCACCAGTAACACACTTGGTCCCTCGAACAGACACCATCCGAAAGATGGGCACCATCGGCCCCCTTCTGCCCAACCTCGAAGCGCGGATAGTGTCGGATTCTGATGCGAACAGCGGTGAAGGAATAGATGCGCCGAAGGGCGAGAGGGGAGAGCTATGGCTCAGAGGGCCGAATGTTATGAAAGTTCGTTTCTACTGTCCATGCTTTCTTACGCGGCGCCTTTGAACTGTTGTCTGATGGAGTGGCGTCTCATTCGAATATAGGGTTATCTCAACAACCCAGAAGCCACCGCCAATGCGATCACGAAGACGGGATGGTTCAAGACAGGTGACGTGGCTGTGGTTGACGAGGATGGGTACTACTCCATCGTAGACCGAATGAAGGAATTGATCAAGTACAAGGTGCTTATAGCCTATTTTACTCCTTTCTTTCTTGCTTCAACTGTTTTTCTGTTTGATTGACTTTTCTCGAACGCAGGGTTTCCAAGGTATGCGTATTTCTAGGACTTCGGTGACTAGATGGAACTAACTTGTATGGCGCCCGTGATCGTACACAGTACCACCTGCAGAACTCGAAAGCGTCCTTTTGCAACACCCCGACGTCGTCGACGCTGCTGTCATCGGCATAGAGGATAAGCAACAGGCCACTGAGTTGCCGCGGTACGCCTTTCTCTTTCTTATCCTTCTCGTAACTTGCTCATTCGCCTTCTCTCAACAGTGCCTACATCGTCCACAGATCCGGATCCTCGCTTTCCCCTGCCTCAAGAACAGAGTTTACTTCCTCACTCCAACGATGGATCGAAAGCCGAGTTGCGAGGCATAAATATCTGAGGGGCGGAGTGGTCGTCATTGATGCAGTGCCAAAGAGGTGCGTTTCAGACCTTCGTACTGTCCCTCATGCCATCGCCATTCAACGCTTCGTCGCCCCGTACTTGAGCTGACACTTGGTGATGTAGCGCGGCGGGTAAGATACTCAGAAGAGAACTTCGAGAACGGGCAAAGAAGGAGCTCGCGGAGGCTCCGGTCAGGGCGAAATTGTAGATATCACTCTCAAGTTTGCGGGTCTATCTGTAGATGAATGCCTTGGCGTGACGAGTCGAGTAGAAGAGATTTTTATGTGTGTCATTGCAACTTGTATGACTCGGATTCGTGGTCTGAGCACGAAGGAGATACTCACCACATTACAACATAATTTGCGGGATAAGATGCCTTTGGCCAGGCTGCTACTGCTTTTTATGCCGCTCGTTCTATTTAGGGTCCTCGGGAGTACACAGATAACACTTACCTCTTCCATCAACTTAACTGTTAGGCAGTTCCTGTCCGTAGCAAAGCATAGTAAAACACAGACGTCAATAGACAACAGCGAGCCGTCCATACCTCCGTACGCATACAGCGACATAGTCTGAGATAAACAAGACGTATCGAGAGTCAAATACTGCCTACATCAAAGCACCCACGTCAGAAAAGAGTGTTGCACATATACAAGTGGATGAAACATATCTCACTCCCTATAATACGATTCCAGTAGCCCTGTACCTGCACCCACCAAGGGTCATACCACTCCCTGACGGTGTCCTTCCCGGCATAAGTCACGTCTCCATCCCGTGCTCGACGAAATACATGAAATAAATCTTCCTCGGCATAGACCAGGGTGGCCAACGACGGAATGATACTGAACAGAAGCTTCGCATTCGCGAGACCGGCAGCCGAAAGATCGTCTATCTCGGACATTCTCACTATCTTGAACGGACAGGGGAAGGGAACCAAGCGCAGCTCCCAGGTCAGGATCTCCAACGACGGAGGAAGCGATGTATCTTTGAACATGTCGGGGTCCATGGTCTCTATAGGATCGTACTGGACTTGGGTGCGGATGGTGCCCGTACGCTGCACATGGGTGAGGTTCAGGTGGCGCAGAACGGGAGTGTGACGAAGGATCTTGTTCAGGATCCATGGCAGGGGGCTATCGTTGTTATTGAGAGATGGGCCATATAGTGAGAGGATGGTAAGGTTGGTGCCACAACGCAAAAACATGTCCTCGAACGAACGAAGTACGGCCGGGTTTTCCCTACTGAGAAAATCCCCTAGGCAGTTGTACCTGATAGAGAGACGTGTCAGGCTGGTCATGCATGATACCATCCTGATGTGTTCGAGAGGAGGATGAAGGGTGGCGGTCTCATATGTCCGAAGACGAGAAAGTGCGCCTACAGAGACATCAGGGATGTGCAGGTGCGGAAGAGTATCGACCATCACACCATATCGCCAGGTAGTGATTTCAGGGTGAGAGTCCAGGAAGCGAAAGAAAGAGGCACCAATCTCAACAGAACACGAGGTAAATTCGTTCAGGTGTGGGCTGATGGCAATGGAGCACTCTTCTATATCTTCGATTTCGCCGCAGTGAAGCGTTAGGCGCGAGAGGCGGGGCATGGCGAGGAGAAGCGTTTTAATATCGGCCACTGACATCGCTTGGTAGTCCTCGGTGATCTCAAGGGATCGCACGATGGAGCCGAGATGGGGTAAAGACATTATGGTTCTGTAGAAGGATTTGAAGGAGGTAGGTACATCGATTGGGACACTTGCGTCAAAGTTCGGCCCAAAGGTTCGATAACGATGGAACTCTTCGGCAGCAGCGTCATCGGAAACTCGGACATGACGATAAAGGAGTGGTTGCACGATATTTCGTAGAGAGGTTGAGGTGAGAGCCAGCGCAGCTAGGTCGGGCGCCGGAAGATTTTGGAAAATGCCAGTTAAGAGCTCGACGGGGATGTCCATAAAGAGTCCAAGTTCACACTACCCATAAAAGTTGAGAAAATAACAGTGTACTATGTGGCGCTTGAATGAGACGTACGAAGGGATTGCGCGCTATATCTGCACTAGAGATCGTTCGTGCGTTGAATCGTACTACGGCAATATTCCTACGAGTTCGGGAGCGTGAATGGCTTCCAAACGGCCTATAAACAAGATGTTGGTGATTTAGATATGCTTTCCACCTGAGACATGATGAGTTTGAATGCACGTCCTACCTTAGGGAAACGCGTCCGGTAGCATGCAGGTTGCATGCAGGAGCAGAGTTCGAAACAGACACCCCGGGCGCTGCCGAACTTACTTCCTTCCTTCATTTACGGGTGCGAAAAGGGTTGGCTGCCTATCGCATTTGTGATGCAGTTAGGGGTCGCAAGTATGGGGCGTCTTCAGTTCTGTAAACGAGCGCAAATAATTAATATAGACCTATTCTTCGACGGACTGACAACATTCCTTCGCAGTCCCTGTATTAACTACTGATGGCGACAGCGAGGAACGTGTAGCCTGCAAGCACTCTACCTTCCAATCATCCTGCGCTTCAAGTTTACTTGCTATAAGCCGTGGCCCGACTTATGACCCAACTTGCTTCAGTCCCTCTCATCTTTGTTTGATGGAATACAGAACGGGAAGTATGGAGCCCGAAAAAAAAGACAGTGATAATTATTCTATACTCTAATAATTTGACTTGATGACGCCCTATGCAATCCAACCAGTGGACCACAACGAACCAAAGAACGTAGACGGAAGCGAAACAGGAGAGCAGCGAGGCGAGGGCTCGTGTGTAAGTACAGGATGGGAGGGTGGGTGATACAACATAAGTATGAGGACTTGATCGATACGCCACTCATAAGTTAAGGCTACAACCAATACAGCAGGTTTTCGAGGAGGCGGGAACAATGAGGACGCGGAAATGAGGGGTCGCTTGGCGCGAAGCAAGACGAAAACAGCGTGGCAAACAGAAGGGAGGAGAGGAGGCCGTTTAGGTGTATTTCCATGTGACCTTGACGACACCGACGTCTTCGTTTGCGAATTTGTCGAAGAGGGAAGGGGACATGTCTACAGAGAGATCACAAGTCGACTATTAGCTCATGGTCATTATCAAACGACAAGTCGACGTACCGAGGTCACCGGAAGAGCACCCTGGGCATTCATCCTCAACAGTCGCGGTGGACGTCTTCCCGTTTGCGGTAATGCTGATTTTCTGAGACGACGATATCAGTATCAACGATTGACATTTGAGAACGAGACTGCTATATGCAGACACTAACCTTGCCGCAATGCGCCCCATTGTCATAATCCGCCGTTGCAAGTGCCACAATATGATCGGAATCAGAGTTGGTGTTGCCACACTGTTAGGAATCGTTAGCTCATAAGTTATTCGACAGAGGCAATGGATCTGAACGAACGGCGCCCAATCCTACGGCGAAGAAAGTACCGCGACCCGACTTGCTACGCGTCTCGAGGGGTGAAGCGGCGACCATCGAGCAAAGGGCAAGGACGAGGAGTGTGGCGGTGGAAGTAAAGCGAGCCATGGTTTCGATTTGAGTGAGTGTGGCTGGAGAATTGACAGTTGGTGTAATGGTGGTTATGAAGTAGTCACAGGGAAGGTCTAAAGGATCACAAGTGAACGTCTGTTTGTCAAGTGAAGGTTGATGGGCGAGCAAGCTCTAGTGCAGACTGAGGCAAGGCGGTAAAGCGTGAGGATCCGAAGAGATGAAGACAAGGGGACACGAGCGGCGAGCTTTATATACGCTAGGGCCTCGTGCATCAGTACATAATCGCTGCCCTCGAGCTGACAAGAATTTAAATGAAGCGCTTGACCTTGCGGACAAAAAATGAGCAACGTTGGAGCCGGGTGTGATGGGGGCCTTTTGTGGCGTAATAGAGAACAAATAAAAAGGGCACAAAAGCGCGGGGACCGACCACTGTCTTCGCCCAAGCATGCAAACGTTCTGGACCAAAAGACTGGATTTGGTTGACGGATGGATGGTAGGTGCCTCAACGGGATGTCCAATGCACAAAAAAGTTGAGGACAAGGACCCTCGAAAACTTGGACCGTCGGGACATAAGACGGCGGCACAAGCCGACGATGCACCGTGCCGACGCTGGTCCCGTTCGGCAGAGCGGAGGCGAGAGATGCTGAAAGACCGGAGATGCTTTGAGATGTTGAAAGGCCAGGAGCAGGAGGCGGACTGCCAGATCTGGAGATGGAAGCGAACAAGGACTCAATGGGGACGCAGCCACAGAGACACGACTCCATCGAGGGCCTCAAAGTGAAGAGAGCACGATCTGTGGACAGAAATAATTATGACGCCAGCTTGGCATCTAGAGCAGACCTTTTTTTGGGCGCCATCAACGGAGATAAAAGAAGGGCTTTAACCTCTAAAGTTTTATTCCTGTCACTGTAGTTTGGTGCCTGCATAGCTGGGGGTACGCTCGGGACTGTTTTTGTGTCTGAGCCAAGGAAAGACCTGGAAAGACTCGAGAGACACAGCTTGGAATATTCAGGTCAAAGCGTGCGGCGTCGTTTGATCAGGACATCGACGCACTGGCCCTGGTCGTCCATTGGCCATAGAAACATCGCTGCATTAGAGTAAGTACTAAATAGTCCTGAGAAAAGACCCAAGATGATTGTCCAGGCGTTGGAAAAAGGTACGGTTGAGGATGTACGAGGACAAGTAAGGAACCGGGGTAGGTCCGTCGAGGTCGAGAAAGAGTGTGGAGACGGAGGTAAATTATAGCAGAAATATGAAAAAAAAATACGCATTGGCCAGTCAGTGAGCATGTGGCGTCGTGGCTGCCTATACTTTGTGGCGACGTACGCCGAGACGGTCGAGCATCTTTTTCCGGTCCTCCTCCTCCCTCGTGAAACTGACAAGTGCACGGCGAACCGCTGGAAAGCATTCTGCAGCTGATTCTCTCATCATGCTGTTTGTCGGACCACGTCGGACGAATACAGCACTTCTGATTTGCAGTTCACTAAGCGTCCCGAGGCTCGACCAATTTGACTGGTCGATGTTCTTTGTTCCCAGCTCAACTTATCATAACTCGTGGATTTACTCGGACGGTATGCTATGACGCTATTCATCTGGATGTTCGTGTGCTGAGATGTATGTAGCGCCCGGCTCCATCGATTCGTATATCTGACCATGTATAAGCCCGTTTGAGTTTGCCTCGCTGGATATCCAATACTCTACAACTGAGCTCACTCTACGGCCCTCCTAAATCGAAGGTCTAAATATATATTTCAACGAACGACCAAATCCAACATGAGCTTGACCACATCTCTCACCCGTCTTCTGGGTACGTTCGACTGTGATCCTTGACTTAATCCTGTTCTGCCTCTCTTTCTGAAGCGGATGACTTCCTAGGCATCCGTACACCCATTGTTCTCGCTCCTATGGGAGGCGCAAGCGGTGGTCTTCTTGCGAGCCAAGTCTCGCTAGCCGGAGGCTTCGGTTTCATGGTCCCAGGTAAGTACTCACTCCCATCTACTTCAAGCTCCAACTCCTCCGATGGACGTCGTACTCGCGACTTACCTCTCTACACCTCACTTACGCAAACGATTCCAGTTCCAGGGCACAATATTGCACAATGGAAGGAACAACTCACCATCGCACGCAACGCCTTCTCCACCGCCAACGCCACCCACAAATCCATCTCCTCTCCCCAGATCCCACAAATCCTCCCCGTCGGCGCCGGATTCCTCGGCTGGTCAATGGACGCCCAATTAGCCTCCGCGTCCCAATCCCAACAGTCCCAAGGCACCAACCCATCCAACCCCTTCCTGCAAGCCGCTCTCGACTCGCGTGTTCGGGCCATCTGGCTCTCCTTTGGGAGCGACCTCAAGAAATGGATCGACGTCGTGAGGGCACACGACGAAGCCGCGGCTGAGAAACATGGTCAAGAGGGAAATCGGACGCTCATATTCGTGCAGGTGAATTCGGTGGAGGAGGCGGTCGTGGCGGTCAAAGAATGGGGTGTGGATGTCGTTTCTTTGCAAGGTGCGTAGCACTCCCCATCATGCTCGACGGCCTCAACTGTCCATACCCCTAACCGTAAATGTCATACGTACGTATACCCAGGTATCGAAGCAGGTGGCCATGGTTCCGCCACAGCCCCACCCCTTCAGTCCCTCCTAACCTCCACCCTCTCCGCCCTCTCTGCTCTCCCTTCTCCCTCCTCCAGCACACCCCTTCTCGCCGCAGGCGGCCTCACCCACGGTTCCCAAATCGCACCCCTCCTCACCCTCGGCGCATCCGGTGCAGTCCTCGGCACGCGTTTCCTCGCCTCTCCCGCGTCTTTGTATTCTCCGGCCAAGAAACGGGCTATCCTCGCCGCGAAGGGGACTGAGTCGGAGAGGTCGTTTGGGTTCGATTGGTTGCAGGGAAGGGTGGGGTGGCCGAAAGGAGTGGATGGGAGGGGGTTGAGGATCCCGGCGGTGGATGAGCTGAAGAAGTTTGAATCGAAAGGAGATGCATTGGCAGAAGGAGAGAAGGAGGAAATAAGGAAGAAGTTTCAAGAGGCTGAGAAGAGAGGGGATGAGGAGGGTCTGGTTGTTTGGGCGGGAACCGGAGTTGGGAAAGTCAACGAAGTGGTGGACGCGAAGGTGAGTGAATCCCGTTCGGATCTTATTGAATTTTAGTGCTGACGAGGATGTATGGCTGACGCTCTCAGGATATCGTGGAGGAGCTGCACAGAGACATCGTGGCGAGCCTTCGGGCAAGCGGGTCAGCTATTGTATCTGATGTGTGAGCTCGTACTTGTGTACTGTCCGTATGGTGTACATCTATCATCTCTAATCCTCTGAATGTCGATGAACTGGTTATTGTGAGTGACCTGCTGTACTAGTACGCCACAACTTCAACTTCGATGCTGTCTATCACCGTGTCCTCCAGATTTATGGTGAGTTGATCGATTCCTCGATGATAGTGCCAAGATGAAACCTATCTCTACTTTGTCCCTATCTTCAATACTTTCGCCAGGCAACCTTTTCTTTCAAACATTGCGCGTCCAGATAATCCAGCGGCCTGAGTATTAATCACTAAGTAATTCCCAACAGTATCCAATATCCTCTAAATGCTACAAAAGCACAACAAAAGCTATCGGATATGGTGTAACGGCTAACATTGCCGCCTCTCACGCGGCAGCTCGGGGTTCGATTCCCCGTATCCGAATTGTAGTCTGTGAATATCCTTTTTATGCGAACTGTTACCTACGTCTCGCCACGGCCAATCTTAGCATTCATCTATGCAGAGTTTATTTGGATGACCGTCTAACCAGAGTCTGCGTTCTGACTCGATCTGTCACCGTTCCTCAAATATCACAAAACTCTGACCAACCATTCAACTGCCGCGACTTTGATCATGTCCGCCTACGGTACCATCACCCTTCCCTCCCGTCCCAATACCCTCCTCCCCACCACATCCTGGCCCTGTAAATCCACCTCCCCCTTCAAACACCTCACAGTCCACCACCTCACCCTCTCCGCTGCCACTACTCTCTCCTCCCCATCGGCGACAGATTCAAACAGCGACACCCTTCTATCCTACACCCATCGCATCTTCGCACAAGTCCTCGAAGATGGACGAACATATCCTCAAGAACTGGCAGAGGGGCAGACTTGGGAGAGTTATACCCGCGAAGCATTCGAGGCATATTTTTGGGCTGCGGATGTGTTTGTTGCGATCGGGAGTGAGGGTGACGAGGGTGCCGGTGAGGGCGGGGAAGGAGTGGAGGTCGAGTTGGATGTTGAGAAGTTGAGGAAGGGACGGACATGGCAGGAATGCGTTGCTGGATGGTACTACGTCAAGCCGAATTATCCTGGGCGGGCTTCGCATGTACGTCCTTTGTATCTCTCGTCTGCATGTTTACATATCTTTATGGAGGTGCATCTTGGGCGTGAAGTTCTGACGTGGGATATCGTGGTTCCAGAATTGCAACGGTGGCTTCATCGTTCCACCTGTTCAACGGCAGAAAGGCTACGCCAAAATTCTCGCGAAATCGTACCTGCACTACGCTCCTAAACTAGGTTATCGGGCGAGCGTGTTCAACCTCGTATACGTGAACAACATGGGCAGCGTCAGGTGAGTCTCACCTCCCCCGCATACCATCTCCCTTACTCTTCGGTCGTCCACAGTTCATCCATGCATAATGCTGACATTTATCATACTACAGAACCTGGGATGCCCTAGGATTCACTCGTGCAGGCCTCATCCCCCGCGCAGGAAGACTACGTCGCGCGGACGGAAACGGCGAAGAATGGGTCGACGCGATCGTTTTCTACAAGAGCTTCGTAGCGGATGAGGAATGGGGCGCCGTCAACCGCGTTACTGCACCACAGTAAACCTCTAGGTGGAATGTTTGATCTGGACGGTGATAGTATCGGGCTCTGTAGAAGTAGGCGAGGATATAGGTGTGTCTAAGGCGAGATGGTCAGGAGTAAAAACTGTATCGTTTCGTGGTGAGTGCTCCTTGATATACGGTCCATGAGCCGTAGCGTTGACGGATGTTGATCTCCATTCTCAGTTGCAATATTATATCAGAGTCACTAGATTCTTACCACTCAACAAACATGGAACAAACTGTGTATCCAACATATCCACACAATTCAGGGAACTTGCAAAGTTAATCTGAGTCTCGTTTGAGTCTCGTTGCCGAGCGGAGATGTCGCCCTCGAAGCCCCTGTGGCACCGTCGCCACACTCGAGTGCTGCTCATCCGACGCTGTCGCTTCTTGAACTCTGAAGGGCCGATCTTTCACATTGTTTTACAGCAAGACCTTGCCCAAAATGTTTAGAATCCCGCTTCACCTATATAACAAGTAATGAATCCCTGGATATCCTGGATAGAGTGGCCCTATACGTGACTCGTATGATCATCTCCCTGAATCTCAGCTCAAATGATAATAATCACCTATCCGAGCTATCATCTAGACCTTTCCTACAGCCAGTTTTTTCTTCACACCCATTGACTCTATGGTACAGCCTTACTCGTCCTCCAGATGTGACTGATTACGGACCGCTACAGAACCACTACGCTATAAATAGTTTCTAAGTTCTGACTCGATATCTTACTGCTCACACAAGTTATATATATAGATCCAGTCACCGCGACCCAAATACGTCCTAACAGCCCTCTTCATCATGTCCTCTCGTTCTTCTCCCCTCCTCCCCACCACAATCTGGCCCTGTAAACCCGCCTCCTCCTTCAAACGTCTCACGGTGCACCACCTCACCCTCTCCACCGCCACCGCACTCTTGTCCTCCCCATCTTCCACAGACTCGAAAGGCGACACTCTCTTCTCATATACTCACCGTGTCTTCGCACATATCCTCGAAGACGGACGGACGCATTCTCAGGAACTCGCGCCGGGGGAGACTTGGGAAAATTATACACGTGAGACGTTCGAGGCGTATCTCTGGGCTGCGGATGTGTTTATTGCGATCGGGAGCGATGGAGGTGATGAAGAAATGAATGAGGGAGGGAAGGAAGAAGGAATTGAGATTGGATTGGATGTCGAGGAGGCGAGGAAAGGAAGGACGTGGGAGGACTGTCTTGCGGGATGGTATAATGTCAAGCCATATCATATTGGGCGAGCTTCGCATGTTGGTCCCACATCTCACTTTCACCCAACCCACCTGCATTATATATTCCTCGCTGCGGTGATCGGGCGAATGAGTTGATGGTTCATTTATACGTGAAAACCAGAATTGCAACGGCGGCTTTGTCGTCCCTCCAACCAAACGACAACAAGGCTACGCCAAAGTCCTCGGGAAATCGTACCTGCATTACGCTCCGAGACTGGGCTTCCGAGCGAGCGTGTTTAGCCACGTATACGCCAATAATCTAGGTAGCATTAGGTGCGTGTCATTCCACCCTCCGTCCGCACTCCCATGCCCTCACCCTGAATCGACGCACCACCTTGGTGTTTCTTGATCTCTCATCGTCTATTTATCAACCATGTGTGTTATACTTCTTGCGCTTCCAACAGGACCTGGGACTCCCTAGGCTTCACCCGTGTGGGCCGTGTCCCCCGCGCAGGTAGGCTCCGTCGTGCAGATGGAAAGGGCGAAGAATGGGTCGATGCTATTGTGTTTTACAAGAGCCTCGTGGCGGAGGAGGAATGGGATACTGTTGCTCCCGTTATTGTGTCGCAGTAGACGTTGACTTGGGATAGAATAAATGTGAGGGAACAAATGGAAGAATGTGCTTGTCTGTGTTGAGTTCCTTCCTACCATCTCATTATCCATGATATCGATGTGAGCCGTAAATTGACGGTTGACGTTCGCCCTGGGATGCTCTACACCCATTTCAACTTTGGCTTTCTCGACTCAATAGCCGAATATATAACCCATCCAATAGATTCCCTTCGGATTTGCGCATCCCAAACAACTCGTACGAGTTTGTCCGCCTATCACGACCCCGAACAAAGGGGGCTCTAAGCCCCTGTGGCACTGTCGCCACACTCAGCGGTTGCTCTCCCGGTCTAACGTCGCATCGACCCATCACTCCGATCTAACGCGCACTCGTGCTCAGCATATCTCAATTCCCATCAGACAGAAAATGCTTCGCTATCCTGGAGAAGATGGCCTATATTGGGTGACTTCCCGTAGGATAACAAAATGTCTATTCAACCTAAAATGGACTTGGAACGTCTTCCGTGATGAAAGATCGAGGCGGCCCATTGACCAGTGGGCAACATCGGGCTGAACTCTGGGCGAATAGATGATTAGATTATCCTACGGCAAGTCACCCGTTGGCTTCCTGTGTTTATTTCTCTCTTCGTCCCGGGAGGGATCAGAGGATATGAACACAAAACCCGCCATCAAAACATTATACCCGATTCCCAGACGTGCTACCACCCTTATCCACCGTCATCATGATCTTGTCCCCAGGTCCCAAATCCTTGAACTACACCCAACAACAAAACGCAAGGATATCTGTGAGTAACCTGCATCCACGCGCCAAGCAGAGAAAGAAGAAAAGAGCAAGACGAGAAGGTTTGACAAAACGCACCGTCAACTCCCTCGTCCGATGCAAACTCTCGATCTCGTCTACCCGGTCCCGGACGCCGTCGAGTAGATCGTCGAACCCTTCTTCCTCGACGACTTCGCGGGCAGCTTGCAGCACGAGCATGCTGTCCGGTCGGACATCGTGATTGACCTGTGAGTGAAGATTGGGGTCGAGTGGATGAATGGTGAGCGGCGGATGAGGGGAAGGTGCTGCAGGGCCAGAATGAGCTACGCACGTCTATAGAGATGATGTTGGCTCTGTCGAGCTCTGTGCAATGGCGTAAGGTCGTCAGAAGTCGGACCTGAGGCAGGGGATGACGAAGAAGGTATACCTTCCAGGAAGTCCGGCCTCGTCATTATCTGTCGGCATTGATACTGCAGACAACCACCATGACGTATGATGAGTTCGTTGGGCATTAGTTGTCAAGAGACTGAGTAGAGCAGACGCACATAAGGTATTGTAGGAAGCTGCAGCTCAGGGACATGCTTCTCCCCGTTCGCGATCTTCTCTTCTCGCTCCTTCTCCATCGCTTGTCTCCGCTTCACAAACTCACGCATGAGCAACCATGAACACGAACTCCATTTTTGCTTCCCACGGAACACATCAGCATCGCCGTTCATTCACATCCGCTCATGAAAAGAAAAGCCCACCTCATCCATAACATCGTCATCACAATCCGGAATCAATCCAATCTGCGAAAGTAACCACCCTTTCTCCACACGCAACATATGTTCCGCCATCTCCTCCATGTCCTTCGCCCTGCTCACTCGGTTTAGGTACGACAATCTTCCGCCGACGAGGGATATGACGTTGTCGAGGGTTTTCGCTGTGGTTTTCGGGAGGTTCGTGTTGACACGCATGCGTGCGCAGGCCGCGCGAGCTTCATTGTTGGAGAGGTCGTAGATGGTGAGGACGTGCATTCGGGAGGCATTCTTACCTGTTGGCGGGTTTGTTGTTGAGGTTCGGATGCAAGCGCATAAACAGGGAGGACGTACGAAGGGCGAGGAAAGGCCAGAAGGAGTCGCTGCGAGTATTGCATCAGTCTTCTGAGATAGGTACAGACATCATCTTGCTTGCTTACGAGCTGAACACCATGGTCAAAATACCTGCGAACATGTGGATCTATCTTCAATAACTTATGATATCAGACGTTCAGAGTAAGAATTACCACTAGCAGCCCAAGCCTCCGCCCTTTGTTGGAGTTGCCAAAGCATATTCTTCCCACCTTCATCATTGTTGAAATAGTGAACATTGTTAATGACCAGTACGAGTGGTCTACCAGTCCGCGTGGCGGAACGAAGTGCAACCTTCTCAAGTTTGTTCATTACTACCCAGCATGAATCCGTTAGTCGGCCACAGAGAGGAGCAGCGCACAAATGTAATGATCATACCGCGCTCGACGTCCAAACCAGCTCCGCCTATGGAAAAGAATGGTCATGTCCGGGATCCCTCGCAGTATCTTTCAGAAGCGAGGAAACATACCTTCCCGAGGATCTCTTCGAGAGAAGAGGCCAGTCTGTGAATCTTCATTGAACTCGTAGTTCAAAGCTTTCCCCAGTCTCAGCCTGAACACCTCCAAGTCAGGATGTGCATCACAGAACGCGACTCCTTCAGCCTTATTAGCCTGCATGGCATCGAGTATCATACTGCCTTTCCCTGCACCCTTTAGCTCTCGTTAGTATCTTACTCAGGTCATCGCGGCTTCAAGAACAGATATACATGCCTTAGGACCGAGAAGCATGAAATAATGCCCTGTCTCATATCCCCATATGATTCTTTCGATGATAGACTGTTCTTTGCGCCGGAGATGCTCGGTCCATGGTATGTCACCGAGTTCGAGCTCGTCTATTGCTATAGATGTGCTCTCTTCATCGGATTTGGGGCGGTTAGCGTGTGTGGCGAGTTCGAGAGCTGGATCATAGCCGGGCGCAAACGCTTGCTCTATCTAAAGGAGTTTGAACGGTGATCGGCTTCAATGTTTTGTGAGAGAAAAGCAGCCACGTTCGTAGCGCACCTTGTCGAGAACATTCTTCTTGTACCAGGCATAGTATGCGATACCACCAACAAAAGCTGTTACGTGGTGATGTCCGACGCCGGTCATAGCAAAGACATTGACAGAAAGAGTGAGCGAAAAGACAAGAATCAGTCATCGTTCCACGCTTGCCAATTTGAAGTAGTCATTCTTTCTTTCGGAGACTGGATAAACATACCTAGGCCTAACCCGAACGCAGCTGTAAGAGCAGCATCCATCATCGACGAATTCCCTCCACCTGATCCCCGAGCACCAACCTTCTCAAGTAATTGAGCTACACGCGCCTCGAGTTCTTCTTCCGTCGAAACCAGCTTCGCGCGAGCCTCATCCAGTGGTTTCTTCCCTCCAGGTTGAGGTTCCTCCTGAGCCCTCAGCGTGCTATGCGTGAATTGACGTGTTCCGAGACTCGGAACGCCACGATATCTGTGCACATTATTCCTGCAGAATTTTGTGCCCGTTTTCGAGATGAGAGTCGACGGTCGTATGAAAGCTTTCATGGGAAAACCAGAACCAACAGAGATTGTGACCGGGTTTCATTATGAACGGAGGCGAAAGCGGATATCAGTGCGCAGGCCCTTGAATGCACTGCCAAGACTCAGAGTCAGGGCTGTACGCGATCACCTGACGTCACTTGAAGAAGGTTCAATGGTGCCACCAAGATTGTGGCCCATATTTCTCGCCAACAGAAACCGCCCTTGGATATTCAATTGTCTGAGAAGTACATGAAGACGCCCAGCAGCTGTAGGTAACGTTACGGTTGCAAAGAAAGAGAAGAACCTTGCTGCATACAAGCTCACCCAACGAGCCCCCCCAACACGTGGTTAGTATCCAGTCGTTCGAACAGTCCATTCGCAGCATACATACCACAGACATCTACACGGGTCCCGAGCCAGTCCTTTTCCCTACGGGGAATACCATAACATAGCAGAACTTTCCATCAGAGATCCCTTTCTATAGCCAGCGAGCTGTGGGCGTTAAATGCAGCTATGTGTTTCAGAGCTAGAACGGATATACTCACACGAGTATGTACGGCCCTACCATCATCAATGTTGGGAAGCCGTCTCTGAGTGAGGAACAGCAGAAAAGGTATCAAAGTTTGCCGAGGAATGGAAGGGTAGGCCCTAATACAGCGGTGTAGCCGAGCCTTTGTGACTGCTATGAGGGAGCACTTAGTCCATCCTTTCCTTTTCAGGCTGGTCGTTTCTGCAACGCCAAAAATGGTCAGCGTTGTGCTGGCATCGCGAATGGAGAAGGCTCGATCCGATTTTACTTACTTGCGATCTAGAGAAAGGCATTTGAATTCTTTAGAACAGCGTTGGCACCGAGTAGGACAACGTTGCTGACGATGATAGGCTGATGGTGTAGACCACGACAGACTCCGATCCGTATATCCTCGATGGCCATGGCCAATCGTTGAATGTTGCCCTATATCAGGCGACGATGTCAAACAATCAAAGTCCGCACTTGTAGTAGTGAACATGCATATCTACCTCCGCTGAAGTACCGAACAGTTCGCATCTGATCCGACCTGTCAAGATCGACAGTTACTGGAACTCTCGTGCAAACATGCGTTATAGACGGCCAAATTTCGTGGCTTGACGCTTGTATGGGACCAAGTGCTAGTGCTTTCGAGAATATGGCAGAGCATTATTTGTACAGCGGGTATTGACGGGAGATAGTGTCATTCAAGTATTCTACACAAAGCCGAATCCTCTTTCAGCAAGGGGAAAACAACAGTCACAAGTCATGGGCACACACAATATTGATATCGCAGGTACTGAACTTACCGCTAGTTGTCGAATAATTGACCATGTCCTATTGAACGACAGATAAGGCACTGTTAGCAGAATCGCACCGTCATCGCAAAGATATCCCGGCGGCGATGAGTACTAGCACCCTTGACGTCGTCATTTTAGGACTCACATGTATCTAACACCAAGGGCAAGGCACTCCTTCAGGCTCAATCTGAAAACTTTCCAGTTTTGTCGCATACCTCGCGGCGAGTGTCGGACTTCTTGGGCAAAAAGCTGCTGTACACCATGACCGCATCGAGCGTAATTTGAGCGCCACGGACTAAACCCCGAGCATGAACTACCCAAATCTGGAAGAATTCCGGATGTACGGGGTGCCACCATCAGAGGAATTGATTTAGAAGAGGGAATCAGGGCATCATCAGGGGATCAGAGATGCGTGGTTGGCGGGGTGACGATTCTACATTCTCGCGCCACAACTTGGAAGCGTCAGGTGGCCCCGGATGAAAGTTCAGGAAAGAAAACAGACCTCGGCCGGGAATAGGAGAGTGAGACAAGGAGAGACTGCAATGAGAGACGTCGGATCATCGTGGTACGCTGGTATATAGCTCAATGCATATGTGGGCTCACCAGCAGACCACATAAGTGTGGGTGAAGCCAATGATCACGGTGGAATGATAGAGAATAGATGAGCGCTTCTAGGTAGTCGGACCGACATGAGCGTGCTGCACAGATATGCTGGACGGTAGCTCACAAGTCGGAGGAATAGCATTGCGATCTAAAATTCTAGCGTTAGCGGGCAAGAAGGTTGAACTCGATCGAGACGCCTTGCCTAGATACATGATAGGAACGCGTTTCGACGACAATTCGGGCTTGAGCGTCTGAGGAGCATGGATGAAGACTGGCGTTATTGGAGGCGTAGCAGTGTTTGAACGCCTGATGCATCAAAGGTGAGAATAGACGCACTACATACTGATAGACGCCACCCCGCAAAATCGGGGCGTGCTGGATTGTGCGGATCGGGGAAGCCCCCAAATGGGCGAGTTCAAAGCGCAAGGCACTCCGGGCCACCTTGAGCCACCGAGAGTCAAACCCGCCCACCGTGATCGACGCATCGATCACAGTACTGCCAAAGACACAATCCTAACAGGCATCAAGTCACAAGTGATACCTTCGTCTGATATCCGCGTTCCCAGGCGGAGCATGCTACCGGGTCAGCCCTCGCACAGATTACACCTCATAGAGTCAAGATCGCGAGAGCGATAGATGGCGGATCCGAGACACAGATGGTAAAGCGAGGATTCGGATGTCCTTGTGTTCCTTGTGCCCGGTGCCACTCGACACGATGATGACGAGTGATAGCAGTTACTTACACCTGAAGACCTGAGGCTCGGAAGTCGAGAAGTCAGGTCCTGAGTACGCCACTCGTGAGCGCATTCAGCCCCACTTCGGGCCCCTGGGACACCCAAAGAAAGGCAGATACGTCTCAGACAGACACATAGAGAATCTTCGGTTAAAACCCCGCAGATTCTTACGAGAGAAAAGGACAAAGCAAGAACCAATGAGCCAAGGGCCATTTAAGCGGCTTGTTGTTGCCGCCATATCACGCGTCGAAGCGTAGGGTGACGGAAAGGGACAGTTATAATCTGAGAAGCCAAAAAGAGAATCGCTGGAAGATGTGCGGTGACGGCTTGTGTCTTGCCAACCTCCATGCGAAGAAGTAGGAAGGCTTGCGGAAGTGACGGACCCTGGAGCTGCGCGGAAGCATATGTATCGTGGATGGAGCTGGATGGAGGACAAAGCCATTTCCGGATTGTGATGGAGGCAATTACTCGAGCCTGAGCCTGAGGGCATTGCGCTGTGCGGACCGTCAAATCAAAGCACAAATATGTCGCAAGCACAAGGCTTTCAAGAACATTCCGTTGGTCGCTCACGTACGACAGATAACCGGACGTACCGACCGCTACCAAATCACCGACGCCTGTTGACGAGAGGAGAAGTCAGATGAGTCGTGACACAACGACGAGCGCGGAAAGTCGAACGACTTTGTCTTCGCGAGCCTTGACATGGGTACAACAAGAGCTATCCATCCCCAAACAATGCGGCAGATAGCAAAACAAGAAGGAAGAAGGGAACATGGGAAGCTCGTGGCTCGTAGGCCCGAATGCCGTAGGTATCCGGGTATTGCGACTTTAGGGAATAACACGGAAGGAGACGGAATTACTCTAGCCTCGTTTTTCCAGAAAGCTCGAGAAAAATGGTTTGCTGAGTTGATGCTGAGCGTTACCTAAAGTTGATGAAATCTTCGGGGACACGCAAGTTATCAGCCATACTGTAACATACGAAGAAGGTAAACAGGAAGCACGAAATCTTTGCTCCCGCTACCGCTATACGCCCAAACTTCGAGCGACGCTCCATCAATCGGACCGAGCATGGATTGTAGGTGGAAAGACGCTTTACATGGCGATCTTTGCAGAGGGAATGCGGCTACAAACGGGCGTAGTCAAATTTCAGGCGCTCGATATCGAGTATCAAAGCGTCAGGCACCGAGCCTCTGTAGGCGCACTCGGACACGGAAGCATTAGATGGTGGGTGGTGCAGAGCGTTAAAAATATAAGTGAAACATACTCTGTAGCCAAAAGTAGCTGGTTATGGTCAGATATGGGGGCTCCATGACTCGGGACCACCTGTACACTTATATGGGACAGGCCTCGACTGTCTGATAAAGGTGAGAAAGAAAAACAAACTGGGCAGGTTTTCGTGTGAGTTCTTGATGTGAGCTTGTAGTCATGCAGGCGCGTCATGAGCTGCTTTCGGCCAAAAACATACTGTTGGGTGTGTTCTTCGTGAGCGATCCGAATGATCCAGGTAGTATTGAGCAGACTACAGATGTCGATATGGATATGAAGTGGCTCGGGGTTCCTTACGGTAGTAGCGTACGATGAGCAGTGACAAGGGAGGATACTGATGGTGGAGTTGATAGAAATTAGGAGCAAAGGCTTCGTCCACGTCGAATTGAAGTGCCTACTACAGTGCTTGGTAAGTGCCTTGTGGAGTGGTGGAGTAGCTTGAGGTCCGAGGTACATATGTTGTGGGTCCATGTATAATCGTCGACCGAACCTGTCATCGTTAAGCCCGTGCAGATCCGATTGGAGGTGTGATACTCCATATACCTTTCGGATGAAGAAAAAACAAACATAGCCTGAAGCTCCGCCGCAGGGAGGCTGGGAGTAGGTTAGAGTAAGTGCCACAGCCACGCCAAGACCGAGGAGAAGATATGGGGCCATCGGGTGGCATGGAGAAAAAAAAGTAAGATAGAAGAAAGGCTCCCTCCAGCCGAACAACTATATGCGAACGAGCAGTGAGTGCGAATTGTAAACACCGTACGGGAAAAGTTCGCACACCATAGAGTCAAAGTGGCTGATGGGAAAGTAGAAGGTCTCGCCAGCAGGAAAATCGCCTTTCGGAGATCGCGTCGAAAGCGAATCAGACGTATAATATCGCATGGAAGTTCTGGTGTCTCATCGAGAAACATGTCGTGATCCCAAATACGTCTATGGGGAAATCGGGAATAATGTGGATGGATATCAATGAATGATGAGATCGCACGGTCAGAGGGCTTCCTCGCGTCCGAGCATGCAAGTCCAACAAACTTCCTAGAACCAAAACACCCTCGCATAAATCAGTCGAACAAAGAAGAAGGCGCACACGGGTCACACCTTGAGACCTTAGTACTATAGAAGGTTTAGATATGTATGCCCCGCGATGGAGGGCCACGGAGCGCTGAGTAGGTCATAAGGATCAAGGATACGCGGGGTTGAGACACGATGTGGCATCTTTGCTCTGTGAGTATCAAACACAGCCCTTCGGACTTATATTCTATTGCGACACACGCCGAAGATGATGAGACGAGTACGATATACTAGGATCGCACGCATCGAGGATGGATGGACATACCCGCGTAGCATTCCCATGTAACGCAACTCCATATTCATCTCCGTATACGGGCGCATAAAAATCAATGATGCCTGACCATACAACACCGCAAGAATAGACTGCAAGGACATGCGTAGCTTGAGGCAGTTCGCGGATCCTAGCACGAACGTCCCAGCCGAAGCACAAATCATCAAAGAAAAAATCAACCAAAATCATGACTCAGACGGGTTGCACACGCACCGTTGACGTTCAAGGGGTGTGCAAACCCGCAAAGATAAACCTCCGAGTACATAGGCATGCGTAGCAGCAAGCGGTACACAGGAACTCGCCGGTGATCCACGCACAGCGAAAACGACTTCGGATATTTTCCCTCAGGACCCATTCGCGTTGGCGAGGAAAGCTGTACAGGAGTGGTGTGTGGCGTGATGTGGCGCGCGGCGTCATGTTCGCGTGTGGCGCAAATTCGACAGGCTCCGATCCGAAGTCACCGAACTTTTTTTGACTTGGAACGGAGCATCAAGCACCTCCCCCACGACCTTATGGATCAGGATGCAGGCTTGCATCACTAAGCAACGTCATAGTCGGTTGCATGTATGGAAAGCATAGGAACTGAGCAAACAAACTCACCGAACAGTGACGAAGCTTGGAGAACGGGGTCTGACGAGGCGAGCCCAGTGCCACAATCGAATCGATTGAACTTGCATTGAGGTGCCGCCGATGACAGAGACAAAGGACATACATCGGGAAAAATCGGACTCGGGGGATCGACCTCGAAGCAGCCAGAACGTTCAGAGAAGGAACAACGATGGGATCAATTACCAATGCCGACGACGACGAAACATGGAGTGAGGCTTGGACAGGTTGTTGTCCGTTGTTGTGTCACAGCTCGTTGCTAGCTCGGGACTTCGAGAAAAATCAAACGGCGACAATAGCCTGGGAGGGCGACGGGTATCAAAAGCACTAGGTGAATAGATCAAGCCGGAGAGTGTCCATTGCAGGCTGTCCTGTCCATGTTGATGCTTTCACCGAGTCGATGATACAAAGTCGAATCTATCAGCAGTTGCGTGCGATAAGTATGCTCCGGATCCCGAGCTAGCTCACAGAGAGATATGGACACGGCGCTGCAGGGTCATGGAGAGTGAGCAAAAGACGGTAATAGACACCTAAAAAGGAAGAAGACGATGCGAATGCGGAGACAGTAGTATGAGCCGGTAAGAGATCAGAATGACGCGTTCAGCGGATTTGGACCTACTGGTGACCATACGATACGGCTCGATGACTCGAACAAATGCTAACGTAGACAAGGAGGCGGTGGTGGAGGCATGGACAGTGAGAGTTCATAAATTTTACAGGACGACGCGTACGCTTTATGGTATGAAAAACGAGTCAGCGGGGTATCGCACAACTGCGGATAATGCGAACGACGGACCATAAGTGCCTTTGTCAATGAGAAGTTGGATCTTGAACAGCACAGCCCTACGAGGAAGGACTACTCGGGACCCATAGCCTGCAAATAGGGTAGACGTCTTCCAGAGTATGGACGAGTGTGGACAGTTGAGAAGGCACACGGGACACATAGAATCGACATGAGAAGCTTTGTGGTCTGGAGCTGGAAGACTGGAGCATGCAATTTTGTGGTGCTACAGCGATCAAGGAGCCTACTATAGAAGGAATTGCGCTTTCTGGTGTCGGTGATGCCCTTTACTCGCGAAGAGAGCGAGAACTAGAACTTGGGGCCTGGGGTAACCTCGAACCCAGCGAGCGCAAGGCATAGAATGAGACAAGATGGCGCAGGGTAGGGCAAAACGAAATGCCCTTGGCAGATTGAGTTGAGCTTGGGGTGAATGGAGAGCACACAAGGGGGTAAGGTGTCGAAACACGGCGTAGTAGAAACCGAAGAGTACAGTGTACATCGAGTTTTCCACGCCGCCAAACAAGATCGGCCAACCTTCACTCTTTCTGTCGATCGAGATCACTGTACTCTTCCTCACAGAACATATACAAGCACGAGTATAGGCCACGCAAGTGTCAGCAAGTTTAGGATAGGACGCCGTGTTCTATGTTCTGTGTTCCAGTATTGTATCCAGAACACCTTCCCTGCGCTCTAAAGCACCCTGGGACCGGTCTGTTCATTAGACTATTGCAAGAATAAGGATAATCGCCCACCTACTTGGACAACTTTTGATCCATGCACAGAACACACACTAGGTACTTACGGCGGGGCGCACAATCGCAACACCACGAAGAAAGAGCACCTCGTCCACCTCGTGTTCTCTAGAGTCTCTTTGTGTGTGAGGTTATCGCAACACAACAGGCGACGGATGCTTTGGCTTTGAATGGAACGGGGACATCGTGATACAGCAGCGATCAAAACGCGAGGACCATTTTAGAGCGAGAAGCGAATGCCTGGAAGAGATGGTATGTGGAGAGAAGGACAATGCATTGCCGCGGCAACACAACGCAAGGATCTCAAGGATAAGATACAAGGGATTTGTTCCGCTGTAACGAGAACAACGACCAATCAGGGGTATTAGAGCTGTGGGAGCGGGCTCGCTAGCGTAGGCAGGGGACTTTGTCACGTTGTGGCCATGTTCGACTTCATTATCCTCCTTACAGTTACTTCGGACGACGAAATTAGGGGGACTGCTTGTTTGGACTTGTGTCCACAAAGGTTTGGAAGTATCAACGAATCAAAGGATCAACAGGACCTCAGATGAAGAGCGGCACAGCACTCACAACAGGAACCGAGGCCGCAAAGTACAGAGAAGACGATCGGGTGAAGCGCTTCCACACTCGTCGAGGAATGGCTCCCACAGCAGGACGGTTAATGCTAGTCATGTGGCAACGGAGATTGCGGTTCCTGTTCAAGCCCGAAAGCTTTTGCTGTAACAGTGTAAATAAAGGCCCGTGTATGCGTCTTTGCTTATCGCCACGAAGTTTCATGGATGAGAACGCCTGTACTGGACATGAAGAGCTATCGCCAGTCACCAGGCGTTCGCACGGCCTGTAAGCAATCCCTCGGAGCGAGTCGTGAAAACTGAGCCATAGTACTCTAGAGTCTCGGACAGCAGTACTATGCCTATCAGCTACCCCAATTCCGTATAATTGAGAGTGGCTAGAGTGCTCAGCTCGCCTCGATCGCACTCCACCGAGAAAAAGATCTCGGATGGATCGGGCTGCTCGCGAACGTGAATAGGTCAAAGGCTATGGCTATGGCGGCTACCAATCACATTGGCGGGGTAAAGAATATGCAGCGAGCGGTTGATACACCCGTGGAACAGGTCTGAATGCCTGTTTCGACTGTTGTGAGATGAAAACTGAAGGGTAGAGACTGACCGGGTGCGGTGGCGCTGCGGAGAGCGTAGAGACTCGGGGTTTGAACAGCCAAAACAAGGAGGTTTCGGGAAGTGTTCCTTCCTATGCGAGAGGAAAATAAAACGGACTGGTCACGACGGAAGAGTTCACTGTACCTTCGGAGTACTGTTCTCGAGAAGCGCGGAGAGCCGGAACAAGGGTGCGCGCCGCTTTGTGTCTATCAGTACTAAGGTCCGACAGATCTAAGAGAGTAGGCCAGAATTAGCTTTGATAGCTTTGAAAAATAAGCACATTGGCAAGGCACCGAGGAGGCGTTGCGCCGATTCTTGCTTTCGAAACATGCATGAGAAGAACAGCTGTCTGTAGAGTCGGCCACGTGAGAATCGTGGCAAGTCTTCAGAAGACATTGAGATTCGAAGGAATAATATGGCTGTCTGAGAAGAGTGAATCTGTTGTGCTTAGAACAGATCGAAGGCGATATCGGCGTGCTCAAGTTTGTGAACATCAAAGCGTTCTACGGCTGGAGGTCTGTGTGGCATGAAAGGATTGGAAAAGGAACATGATTGCGGTAGAGATCGAGCGAGAAGGGCTATGCAGAATAGAGTGATTGGGGCGACCAGCTGGCAGTGGACGACGCCGGGTCGACTGGGGCATATGGCGGCGATGGCACAACGACAATACGGGCCCCGGTGAAAAGGCAGAGCAGAGCACACACGGAATGTGGCACTGCTGGCGCACTGGGCGGGCGTTGTGGCGTTTGTCAGCAAAATTCCACGTTTGGCACCGTCGGGTGAGCACGGTGTCACAGACGGCATTGCCTTTGATAGCGACAGCGTTGAGCGCCCTTTCAAATTTAATAGGAGCGATGTGGATATAACACGGGCTGGCAGACGCGCTGTTTTCTGTCTCACCTTCCTCCTCCCGCCCTCTGTCAATTCTCGCTAATTTTGTGCCCTCTTCCGCACTCCTCGCCCTCTTCGACCCGCCCGGCTTCATAACCCCACTGCAACCCCTCGAAGCAGCCGGCGAACGATTGCCACCTGGCGATCTCATTTCTTACGGCTTCGGCTCGCACACGAACTTGACGAGTCTTACAGCAGTAGACTTGCCAGCAGCGCAGAAGTGAGAGTACTCGGATTGAGGTGAGTTAATTGGCCGAAACCTGTTGAGATTGCCTTGTGGGGTCGTGTCGTGGCCCAGATGAGGGGACCGGAAGCGAGGCCGATGTGGCGTGAGGGGCGATAGTAGGGGTGTTGCGCGCCAATCTGCCGGCGGATCGCGCAGAAAAGATTTTTCTCGGTTTCTGATCCTGGCAAGCGCGTGTGTCTTTATCCGGGCCTACCACGCGGCGCCAGTGCCGCTTCCCTTGCAGCGTTCCCCGCTTTATATAACGATGGACTCACCGTGCCCCTTCCTCTTCCTCACAGCTTCCCCTCCCAATCATCTTCGCCTCCTCCCGTCCTCCAAGTCTCTTTCTTTCCCCCCAATATGGCCGCTCCAGTACCAACCGGCACTCGCCACCAGAAGGTCCCACGCACATCCTCACATAGCGCGCCTACCGTACGTCGTCGCCACTGGCTACATTCTATATTTGGAACTAACACTTAAGCGCCCACAGGCGTCTGACCCCTACCACGGCAACGAGGCCCATGCAAAGTTATGCGCGCACTTCGTCTCTCACCTCTTCGCATGTCCAGAGGTACCACCAGCCCCGGCGGCTCCCTCTTCGACACCCACTCCTCGACTAGACCATTTCATCGCCTACGCTCTCCACCGTACGCGTCTCCATCCATCCGTCACTTTCGCAGCGCTATACCTACTCCAACGCCTCAAGGCGCGCTTTCCCGCTGCGAAGGGCTCATCGGGCCATCGGTTATTCATCTCCGCGTTCATGATCGCTTCCAAGATCATCTGCGACGACACCTACTCCAACAAGTCGTGGTGTATCGTCGGCCAGGGCATGTTCGCCCTTCGGGAGATCAACCAGATGGAGAGGGAGATGTGTAGTTATCTGGAGTGGCAGTTGAATGTCGAGCCGAAGATTTTGAAGGAGTTTGAAGACAAGGTCTGTCGAGACTTCGCCGGCCCTGGGCCTTATCCTCCCATCGTCCTGCCGCAACCCGCGCCTTCCCCCTTCGCCCACCCCGGTGCGAGTTCGTCGACGTCGATACCTTCGTTTGGTCATCGCACGTCGCCGCCCAAGCCGGTACCTGCCGCCATCGCCGCCAACAACACCATGTCCTCCCCATCCCCGTCAATACCAGATACCCCATCGTCTTCCCACTCGACTTCCACTTCCCCCGCATCGTCGGCCTCGCCACCCACGCCACCAGACTCGCACGCTCCTTACGATCAAGTCAAGATCGTCGACGCGTCCGCGAACTCCTCGACGACCTCCCTCGTCCCCAGCGACGCGATTATCGCCGATGCCGTCCACCATCAACATTATTACCCTTCGAAACCGTCGAAGGCGTCCCCCACACCCGCGCCCGCGCCCCAATCATCGACCTCTTCGCAGTCGTCAAAAACCAAGGCCCGCGGGGACCAGTTCGCGTTCGCTACACGGACTGTGTGGTAGTTTTTATTATTCTCCATGTTGTATATTCTCCTATGTTTTCTTTTTTTTCTCTTGTTACATAGTCCTGCTCTGGCTCTCGGCGACACCGAACACGTTACTAATTGTATGCATTACACCCCATAATTATGGACCTACGGTATCTATTCCCATCGTCACCCTCACCCTCACGACATCTCACGGGCGCTCGCATGGTCTCTTTGGTGGCTGCAAGGGCCAATGACAACTTATTCGTTCGCGGGCTACGACGCTTATTGGATTCCTTCACTGCTTGCTTGGGTTTTCGTCCATGCTCTCTCGCACGCTTTTTGTACATTCCCCTTTTTACATTTCTTTCACCCGCTGTTTTTGGGTGTTCGGGTCCACAGGTATATTTGCTTCTCGCTTCTGATGCTCCGCGTTTTTTGTCCAGTTCATCTTCACAGCATGTCCCATTTTTCCCCCTGTCCCTTGCATCCATCATCAGCATCTCTGCATTGCATGTTTGTGTCACTAGTACTTCTCCACATACACTTAGGCATATAGGCTCTCAACCAAAACAAAGCATGAACTTTTGTAATTGTCACCCTTCTCTTGTGTGCCTTGTGTCAGTTCTCGAGTGACCCCGCAATCAAGCAGCTTTGAATGTTCTGATGGACTCGACGAAATGACGGCGCGCGATTTTCGGCGACGCAGTTCGCGATCGCATTTGTCCCGCAGTCCAAGCCTTCTCCGAGAACAGAACATGACGGAATAGACCTTATATGTTTCAAGTTTACTTGGAACTCATTGGCGGAAGATCTGTCCGATCCGCCAATGAGCTTTCGCAAAAAGTTCCAAGTTTTTACTAACATATAAGCCCTAATGACACCGTTGCTTGTTCTTTGAGTGCGAAGATAGGCAAATGGGTTGCCGGTCCCGGCGGTTTAGTTGAACAGCGTAAATTCGAGGGCGCGTTTGGACTTATTGTGCTCATCCCTGCTCGTGTCGCGAAAAGGAAGGACGTCGCTTCAACTTGAAGACTTCCTCGAGCTAACGATGCGGCGACTTTGCCCTGTTGATTCAGGTTCAGTTCCTTCTTTCACCCTACTGTTTCCGAGAGTTAAACGTTGCGGCCGTTAGTTAGTGGAGAAACAACATGCCACGAACGAACAACGTGCCCTCCTCTTTTGCATCTCTCTGAATCTTACACCACACCACTTTCATTCTCCGAAAACTCAGCCGTCATACGTTCGCCGCTGCCAGCTGCGACACCAACACCACCATCGCCATCGCGAACGATCGCGGGGGTGTTCCACCTTTGACCCCTATCAATCGCTGCTCAGTGCTCACGTTTCTGTTGAACCGACCGGGTGCCTCCAGATTTCTGAATCCGCTGGCCTCGTGTTCTCCGTCCGATTACCCTATCTGGAGTTTGGCGGGGCGGCCGGAAGCATCTTTGATTCCTCCGCCGTGTTTTCGTGCCCTCGGTGCGGGGTTGGCCTGGGATGGATATCTGGATGCAGCCAAGATGAGCTCAGAGCGGATCGGGGAACGCGGGACGACCGCTTCTATGCTTCCGGGCCATGGCCAATGAGGGCCGAGGAGGAAGCAGGATGTCAATGGGGGACGGAGCCCGATCGTCCTCCGAGATAGTGCAATTTCATCGGCCGTTCGTTTCGCACACCCCCACCTGCCATGGTGGAATACTGCAAGTACGTTTATTAGCTGCGAGAAAGTGCGTGCGTTGCGGCGGGAGGAGTCGGGTGGGAGGATGTGGAGGGCGTGTTTGTTTCTGGAATGTGGCTTCGTTGCTTTTGATCACAACGTTCTGGGGAGGAAGAAAGAATCGCACGCAATAACATTGCGTATAGTACGAAATGCAGAGCTGAGCTTGTCTTCCTGCATACTATGATAGTGCTTTGCCTCGAGGGCACCATGTGCAGGGGAAGAGGCGGTATAGCGATCCGTTGGGGGTACCGGTGAGTCCCGTGCCACTCTCTTGCACTTGTTGTCTTTTCGGCGTTCGCTTTGCAATCTCTTCTCAGGCTCAGGCGACACTTCACTGCAAAATCAAAGGCGGCGCTCGCGTTGTGTTGTGCGTGTGGATAGATACGGAATGCCAGCCTCGAGGTCGTTGTGTGGTGGATATACGTACGAAGGTTTACGACAGGGCCACTCGGAGTTGTGAGAGGACACATAATTGAGTGCGGGGTGAGTGTCCTCATGTATTCTTTTTCGGGATATGGTTTCGCTCAGCGGTGGCCACGGAAGAGTATCGTTACCCTTTGATACGCGTGTCCTTCCCAGGATACGAATAGCACCTACAGCCGTCCACTACTCGGGTATGGCCACTGTGGCTTGCCTCCTCGAAATCATCGTCTCCTGTACAAGTGGCGAATGGGTTCCATTCTCCTTCAGCTGTTAGGCTGTAGGATCTCCTTACAGCTGTCTCTTCGAAAGCACTGCGCCACCCTGCGTTTGTACTCACTCTTCTATTGTCTCCGGTATTCGTTCGCCGTGTGAACCTCTATTGTCTCCAAATGCGGCTCAAAACCCCTATTCCTCCTCGCTGTCCTAGGAATCATCACGCGATCAGCCCCTTCGCGCTCCGTACGAGATGTTTGATGCTTGATTTGGATGCATCTCTTTACCTGAGGGCCGCTGGACTTTCTGTTCTATTCTATCCATCTACGCTGCTCCTACATCTCACTCAGGCTCGAGCTTCGGCTTACTTGGACTCGTACTCGGCTCGCCCGCGATCCCCAGTGATTTCCCAGATAAATCATTCTCGGGACTCGGGAATGATGAGAGTTTCGTCGGGATCCTCGAGGTGGCTTGCTAGCGAGCGTGGCGGCTGGCCCATGCATACATACGCGCTTCAGCTGCACGTGCCCGTTTTTGGCTACCTTTACCTGGAACCGCATACCTTGTTGGAGGTATTACTCTCTCTTCTTGCGTTGAATCGCATCGTACGATGTTGCACGCTTGACAGCAACAAGGGATGTTTCGGCCTGCACAATTGTTCGCCTGTCTATGCACCATGTAACATCTCAGTCTGGATGACCCGTGTTAGAGTCGTCTAACCGCACCGCCACATAGCGCACAGTACACCTATTGGTGTTACTTCGAACTCGAGCTGCAGTCGCTGTACCTGGTTGGTGCGTCGTATGACGCACTCCGACACAATTGACGCCCTGATGATTGTCGCTCCTCGGGATTGGCTCTTCCTTCCTGCCCTAGCTCTAGCTTATGTGCTTTGATTCAGATCCAGAAATCTTCCATGCTGTGGCACTATATCACACGGAGATCAGCGTCACGGTCAACATCAACTCAGGCCTTCCTAGCTCCCAGCCTGGGCTCCTAACTTAACCAGTATCCGAATGCGAACCCCTTACGACACGCTTGTGCATTCGGTGGCGATACTCTCGGAAGCGTAACGCTCTCTGAGGACGGTGTTGCGCCCAGCCCCTGTGAACCAAGGATCTCCTAGGGGGAGGAAGAATGATGGGTGACGGTGATGTTCGCTATGGGTAGCAGACTCAGAACCGAGCGGCGCCACCCAAATATTACCACGCAGTGTTCCGTTGAACCTAATAAATATGATGATGGCATAGCAATCTCGGGCTTGTGGACCTATCGGGCCTGCGATAGGCAAGTTCAATGATGCAGATGTCGTAGCTGCGCCCAGTGGTTATGGCGCTGATTCCACGAAGGTTTGGAGGGTTATTATGGAGTTGGCTGCTCTGATCCATCCTCGGGTTGATATCTGGTTCACAGCGTCGGATGAACTGAAGCTGGAAACTATGATACCAGCAGATTTATGGTGATGTGATGATGTATGGGGCCTTCCATCAGAAAGCTATGTTCGACCACATACATACATACCAAACGAGTGGCCTATTCCGCCGTTGGCGCTACGATCGCGGAGTTGAGCTCAAGTTGTTCGAGACCCGTGCGAGGGTATGTATACAGGACACAGGACGCTGGCCCGGCTCGGGACTCTCTTTCACGTACTTGCTTTGCGTGATGGCGAGGACGGTATTCATGTCTACTTTTGGACCGTGGACTGTACGAGAGGTGAAGTGAGGCGTAACGTGACGACTCGCTGCAGCGGGATGTCGAGACTCGATAGCGAGATATGTATCACCTTGCTGCTACCTGCTGCTCTGGTTTCCATACGCAAAGTTATACTTCCCGCTTTACATTCTTCCTTTCCGTCCTCCGTCCTCTTAAATATTTCGATCGGAATAAAGGACCTCACCGGTAAGCCGTTGGGTCGCCCTTTCAAACAGTCAAAGCAGTACTGAATGTGCTTTGTTCTTTTAATAAACCATGACTCAGGACTTCGAACCGGCATCTCAGGAGGAAAAGACAAAGGTATCGCTCTAGATGCGCTGCATATTTCCGAAGGCCCCCCTTGAGCCACAGCGATCCTTTATATTAGGTTCAGACTACCTCCACTGACTAGTATCACGCCTCTGAATCTTCAGGCCTCTTCTGGGTATGCTCATGTGCCACATCAATGAATGCCCGAAATATCAAGCATGCATCTTCATCTTGCCGGTCACGAGCTCGAGCTCAGAAATGTTGAAGATTGCCTCGTGTCGTCCAAGTATTATAGGAAGGGTGGCGCCGTATGCCGAAGCGTTGAAAACACTCCCGTGTCTTAACTTTACGACAACATCAGATCGAATCGCTATACCTCGATACCTGATTGGCCGCCTACCAGCTCTACGGAAACTTCCTACCCAGAAAAGAAATTACCTTTGTCCTCGTTGTACTCGCGTGGTTCATTCATCGACTCCGAGTAGCCATTTCGCTGGGCTTACTAGACTCACCAGGCCCCGGCAAGATCTGGAGGTAGCGTGAGGGACGTGTTCTCGACCTGAAATGGAAGCAGATTTATGGGAGTGACCTTCTGCGACGCCGACACGAGGCTGTTTTCATGCGCTTAGACCTTCTAGTTATTGATTCTGAATTTTCGGGGACGGCAGCTACAGCGACCAAATCGCGTGGCAAACACGGGCGACAGGCCGCGTCGTATACGCCCTGGAGGACCGCCACACGCTTATTGCTAAACGGAAGGCAAACATATCCGTCCCGTTTACTCTTTGGGGAGCGTGTTTGTGGTGAGCAGATATAGCGTTTCCACCCATGTTATGCTTCTGATTTACAGCACGGCACTTCAGTACGTCTTGCAGCCATCTGCGTTCCCCGAGCTGGCACAGGTATCCATGCGCTTGTTCTTCGCTAACCTATCTCCCGTACCAAGAATGATCAACACCCTCCAAGCCACACTTCTCTCTCGAAAGTTGCGACACGTATGAGATACTCCATACTCCACTTCCTGTGGATGATTATTTGCGGTCATAGGACTCCTCTATCCCCACTTCATTCGTGATCCACCCATCCGTTGTCTTCTTCCTGTATACTTATCTCGACGTAAGCTGACCTCCATCCCATCCACACAGGTTAATCCCCGGCTCTAAATCTCCAACAACTCCAACGCTCATCCAGCATATCTTTACCTTTGAGTCGTCGATCGTCAAGTTCCGCCTCCGCATCGCGTGGCCCCGAGGTTCATCCTCACCAGCGACTCGGTAGGTATCTTTATGTAAAACCCCTTGCCTCCTTCCACTCAGCACTCAGCGCTCCGCATATGAGCTCCCAATCCACACGCATTATCACTCTATCCGCACGTTTCTGAGCGGGGAACAGATCGTCACTTATGGGCATAGCAGGGGAATTAAGCGTTTTGAGTGGGTGTGCTCGGCTATTCCGCCGATGCGAAGAAGCGTTGTGATCTGTTCGCTGGATGACCTTTCGGGGACTTCGACAGCTTTGTGGCGCTCTGCGGGGCGCGGACATATCATAGGACCAAGGCAATGCGGGCTCATTACTTTCCTGGTGGTGGTTTACGAAGCTTTCTGCCGGGTTGACCGGGCAGGGTTGGCCATTTTCCACCTCACGAGTCTGCTGTGATCAGTGCGGTCTCTGCTGCAGACTATGACAGCTGAAATCGCTCGTTGACTCGGGAACGGCGATCATGACAGTGGTGCCCTTTACCTTGCCCTTTACACCAATTGGACCGGCGGGACAGGTCCTTCAATCGCAATCCTGACGCCTCAATCCTGTTGATCGCTGATGTGCATTTCTCTACAGCGTTCAATCAGTTTATCACGCATGCACCAGCAACGCAGTAACGTCGTGGCATTTATGTCTCGTGACAGCCTGGCTCACCTTGCCCATTCACCATCAACCTTGACGTCGTGATACTGCACAGTGACACCCGTCCGCTCGCCGTCTTGCATTTGCGCTGGCACAATCGTGGCAAGGGTACGCATAGACATCATGCACTGATGTCATTCATTCTACGCAAGCCATTACTTCAGCAAGAGGCCTCGTTTCTAGCCCGTGCGTTCAACGGTGGGATGCTGTTTGTCGATCTCTTCACGCCTCTCCTGATGGGCCAGGTCGTTTTGCGCTGTCTTTCTGGCTCATAGACCACAATTATGGGCTTTTGCTGTTCACATTGAGCAAAATGGCTGCCTATGTATCACGTCCACGCTCTGATCTGGACTGCAACCAAACCGTATTTTCCGCTATGCCCGGTCAATACTGATGGACGTTGCGGTCGTCACATTGCAGCAAGTGCGCGAATAATCTCACTTTCTGGATGCGCAGTCCACTATACTTCAATTGGGCTGTCAATGTTGATGTTCATGGTGGAGAATGAGTGCAGACCGTTCCCCGCTTTGCCTGAGAAGCATGTACTTCATGTTCGCCGTGATTTGTGCGGTAATTTTCATTGAGCTCAACCCTCACTGCAGCGGTACCTCCTGGAGGGTCGTTTCTGGTCTTTTCCCGACGAAAACCCTCAGAATATGACATTCTCTCCAAAACAATACAATGGTCGCCCGCGGTGATCCTCCCTTGCTTTCTGGCATACTTCCTAATACTGGTCTTCGCCGCCGTTCGGCCCAACGCTCATGTACGATTATAGACGAAGAATGCTCCGAGTTGGACTTCTGACCCCCGTTATTCTCTCCAGATATATTTACGCCAGGAAAAGACTGCTTTCCTCCTACGAAGCCCAGGGGTCCCTCGAACCGCAGCTCGCGCTGATTCTGATCCATTCGCTTCTCCCACCAATGTGAGTGTCTCCATTCCGTGGGATTCCGAGGACACACCGAATGTGACCTCTTCCTAGTGGAGGCCCTTTCGGCGGAACCTCATCGACTACTTTGTATGTCCATCGCACACTCATCACCCGCTCAATGCTGTACGCTTAACTTTAGACCGAGGCCAACCTGAGATGCACCAGGACCACAAGATGCAGTGTGGGACCCTCGCGAGGTGGCAAGTAGGCTGCTTTGGGCCGAGGTACCTCAAGGAATATGTCTGTTCATCCATCTCAGGCTCCTCGCTGGCGTCATAGGTCACAGACCTGCCTATCACTGTGTATTACCCTACGCAATGCATAGCCATAGGGCATTCTACATATGGTCTGCGACACCGATTTCTGATGGTAGAGGGCCAGTCGGGACGTGAATTTCACTCGTAGGTGGGGTTACTCGTCTCCTTCTCCTCAACTCCACGATCTACAGAAGTTTTGCCTATTGTGGTCTATATTGCATGGTGAGAATGTTCTATCCTCGACGTCCGGCAGCCTCAACTTTGTAGGTTGCTCCGAGTCCTTCTCGTGTCCTTCGCGTGGTCTCCTCTTGGACTTGGTCATCAATCGGAAAGGGCATACCTTGCGGGTCATTAGTCGCTACTGCTGCTCACTTTCAAAGCGGTCTACTCAGTAGGCGATGGCAAACGTGTTCGATTGAACTCTGTTGGCAGCAAATTCATGGCTCGTACGAGATTGCGAGATTGCTGCTCTTTGCTCGACATGCTTACACTAGTGAAGCTGCAGCTCAGTAGGCCTGGGATGGTGGCTAGCGTGTCTATGCTCGGCCAAAGTCGGATCGACACTCATCGCCGGATAATCTCGAAGCTTGGCTAGCGGAACCCACCAGGCTCCCTTCTGTCTTCTCTCATTGGGTCGGTATGCGGACTTCCAATACCCCTCGAATGTTTATCGTTCGAAAGCCTTCGAAAGCTCCACTCAACCGACTCGAGGAGCATCGTGATCTTCATCCCCTGGATCCTCAGGATCCTCATCTCGAGGTATTCCAGACTTGGCTGCAAGTTCTAAGTTCAGACGGGAGCGGGTCCCGGAGGTGCGTATATTTGACCGTTCTGCCCCACCAGTGTTCTGGTACCACAGTTCGCAGGCCACCCCATCCTCTGGCGATCGCACCAATCGAGCCTGGTCAGCTACCAGCTAGCACGAGCTCGGACGTATCGTCCTCTGGCCTTGTCAAGTTCAGGATCTGATTGACTCGATAGCAATATTCCAGATTTGGGTATCAAATTGCGTAGCTTGGCAGTGTGCCATGATACCGGTGGTTGTAGTCCACCACCTGATAGTCCGACGCCACAATCAACAACATCGTCTTCTTGAAGATGCGAAGAATGGCGTGCTTGCGGAAGTTGTGAGTGGTATGAAGCTAGGAGCTGGAAGGTCATTGGCTGTTGTTCGCAGGGAGTCGTACCGGATATCTGCAGATCGTGGCGTCCATCAATCATCTAATAGGCTACCGTGCTTTCTATAGACTGGTCAGACTTCAGCCACATTTGAAAGAGAGTTCAACTCACGAGAACATAAGAGGCCGACTCGGTGACCGGGTAGGATGGGCTGAGAGATGTCGCTGGCGGTACACAGAAACGAAAGGAGATTTCTCATCGGTTGCAGGCTACGGGTGGACAAATGTGGAAGAGGGGCCCACTGTCGCATATGCACAACAAATCTAAAGAAATTCGGCTCCTAACCAAGCCCTCTAGTACAATGGCTTCGACAGCAACCACCATAACAAGAGAAGATAGGGTGGGAGGCATGGCGATAGAGGATATACCATCATATACTCCAGTGGGTTGCACAATTTCCTAGGTACCAGTCGGAATACTAGTGTTCCAAAACTTTGGACGACAAAAACCGACGTACCGTCGACATAATTCTCGGAAGGCCTCACAGTTCGATACACACTAGCCTGAAAGCCTCAGTGACAGTAGCCTCAGTGGTGTAGAAGAAACATAACAGGATCCTCATCATCCCGCTGGCCGATGTACCGTTTGCGTTGCCGACAGGGAATTCTTTGGTGCTGGCAAGAAGTTGGGCAGCCCCCAAGCCCTGGTACTCGTGGCAGTCACTTTTCTGCGCCAACAAAGCCGATGGTGTCCAAGACAATTATTAAGCCTGGAAAAACGCACCAGAGCCCTCAAGCCCATCAAGAGGTTTCGACTCAGAGCTGATCCGAGTCAGGTTCACTGGCGACTAAAATATCGTGAACCAGGACGGTTTAGAATATACGCCAGCAGTAGGGAGATGCACTCGTCAACGGCTTGAGCGAAGCGGCATTATTGCGACGAGGCCGCCAAAAAGATGGAGACTCCTGGAAAAGAGAAGTGGTTGTAATAAAGCCAAGGTCAACCGTGGAGCATGGCGTCGCACGGTGAACTGAGTTCGGAAGGCTTTCGGGTGGCGTTGGCTGTGTGGCGCACTAGAGCTCCTCGACAGGACAGGAGCTTGACAGATCATGGTTTCTGACCGTTTTTGAGGCTGGAAGCTTGAAGCTCGAAGTTTATGATGTTCACAATTCGAACAAGAAAAGGGTGGGAGAATGTCGACGTCCGCGTCTTTGGCGGACGTCTTGGAAGCCGACAGCGGCGCAGAAATCTTTATTCCGCCCCGACGCACGCAATCCCTCTCCAGTCTCCCAACCGCAAAAAAAAAGTGTAAGTAAAGAGGAAAAAATCTGACTGCGTAGCTATACCATGAGCTTGAAATCATAATCCCTTGGGGCACTACAGACAAACTTCGACCGAGTATGAGAGCAGAATGGAAATAAGGGACAATATATAGCAGACGAGTTTGTTGCTGGATGGTCTGAGCGATGAGCCATGGCTATCGTCAAGAATAGAGAAGAGGGTGAGACGAGAGCCTGTACGTGGTCGTGTCGGTGAAGTGAAGGAAGAAAGAAAGATATGGAAAGTAACTCAAACAAACTGTGGATTCATACAACCTGTCCGCTCGCTGGTGCCTCAACGGCGGCCAGCGTCGCGCTCGAACTGGCCGCTCTTATGCAGTGATAGCGACAGCAGGCTTCTCCCCACCTTTAGCCGCAGCTTTATCCTCCGCCTCCTTGACCATTCTCTCCGCCTCACTCTTCTTCTCCTCGATCTCCTTCATCCTCTTCTCCAAATCCTCCTTCCCGCTCAAACCCTCCGTACTCGCGCGACTCGGTACACCACCTGTAGCAGCGTTATTGAACGTCATGCTACGATGATGACTGGATGCCCCAATGGAGCCAGTGGCCGGCGTCGAGACGTTGACCATGGGCCCGGTGGTCGAGAGACCACGATGGAAGGAACCAGGCAAGACGCGTCCCTCAGGATGTTGGAAGGGACAAGTCGCACGCGTGCAACCCGCTCCAAACCGACATTGTTGGGCAAAGTGATTGGGCTTTGTGGAAGAGGCGGGATGCTGGTAGGGGCAGCCTGTGGCTTGACGGGTGCAAGAGGCGCCGTAGCGGCAGGCGATAGGAGAGGATGTCGAGACAGGTGCGGGCGGAGCGCTCTTCGGAACGTGTTCCACGGCTAGATGATGGCGAGATGACAGTCAGTGAGGATAGCCAAAAGGGAAAATGAGAGAAAACGAGCTCACCGAGAGCAGGATTGACGGCAGCAGGGCTAACATGGCCCTTGACGCAGTCCTTGTCAACACAATTTCTGCCCGCCTCACACGCCTCGTTGCTCAAGACCACACCGCTCTGATCGGTAGCGACGGGCGAAGGATGAGCCCATCTACAATGCGCATTCGTGCACTTCATTGCGAACTTGCACAAAGTCGGAGACAAGGGCCTTTCTGGAACAGCGAAGGTAGATTTTGAAGGCTGCGGGTGGGATTGGGGAAGTACAGGCGTAGGGGCAACGATAGGAATGGCAGCGTTTGGTCGGGGTTCAAGGGATGGTTTTGAAGCCTCGTTGGCATGTTGGTGAGTGGAATGGTCGTCGCCTCCCGAGGAAGCACCACCTCGACCTCGACCAGATCCACGTCCTCCTCTTCCTGCACCTCTGCCTCTTCCACCGGCACCACCTTGGTGCTGTTGCTGTTGCTGTTGCTGTTGCTGCTGCTGCTGCTGCTGACCTGGACCTCCTTGTGGGAATCCGTTCATCCCCTGCTGGCCGTACATCCCCATATCCTGCGGCATACCAGGGAAACCCTGCGGCCCGAATCCTCCACCGTTCATCATCCCCAGACTATTCGCCATCTGCGCCATCAACGCCATCTGGTTCATCATCATCTCCTGCAACATCAAAGGGTTGGCACCCATGCCCATAGCAGCGCTCATGTCCATTCCGTTAGGCATGAAGCCGCCCTGCATAGCCGCCTGCATTGCAGCGGGATCGAGGGGCGAACCGGAGGTGATATTGTCGATGCGGGCTTGGATATCGTCGCTACGAGAGAACCCGCCGCCGCTATTCCGGTGGTGAGCTTGGTGGTGCATGTTTCCGGGAGCGGCGCCGCCAATACGATCCATCAAGCTCCTTGAACCTCCTCCGCTCCCGCTATGAGCTCCACCATCACGAAGCATTGCCCTCGGACCAACAGGTACGTCAGTCCGCCTCGTCTTTGCCGGCGGGTGACCACCGGGGGAAGGTGAACGTGCGGAGGCTGATCGTTTTTGGGAGGGGGAAGAAGACGGAAGAGCTTGGGCCATGGCTTGTTGATATATCGGGGCGCTGTTACGCGGTCCGCTTGGGGGGTTGCGACGGGCCGCATCTTGTGGTATGTGAGGGGGAGGGTCGCGAGCAGCGGGTTCGGATGGTTGGGTGGACTGGGTCTCAGTCGCAGATTGTGAGTCGCCTATAAGCTCCGAAGGAGCGCCCTTCGCAGCTTCAGCAAAAAGCCAATCGGTAAAACTGCGGTCTGAGAAAGAATATGAGTATACATTTACGGGGTCGTAGGAGATACGATGCATACCAAAATCTGAGCCGATCACTATATTATCGAATTAGCAACAGCTATTACGGACATCACATGACATTCACTCACAATCCTCCAACTCGCTGGATATTTGTGGTGCAGTCTTGTTGTTTATGATCATGATGGTGATATATTCGGCCATGACGGGATCTGTGGGCAATGAGGAAGGCAGTGTGAATGCTCGCTACTGAAATCTTAAGGTTATATTGGGCGGCATGGACGCAGATACGAGCCGGAGGCACACCAAACATGCAGCTTAGTGAGAGAGAGTGGGCAAACCTAAGCCCTTCACGGTCTGCAACGTCTTCAAAGTGGGTCATGCGCCATCAAAAGGACGCGCTGGAGTGCCCGCCGTGACAAACGTCCTCAACACAAGGGACCTTCACCGAGGGCAAGCTTTTAACTGCCATGAGCTTTGCCAACGCTATCCAACGATATCCCATCGTATCCGACCACCGAATGGCGAGAGAAGGAGAGGAATAGATGAGATGAAAAGAGATACGAACCGGCGTCTGGGCTGTAGCCCCGCTTGATGAGCTCATCTTGAATCGCGTTCTATCGCTCCTGTCAGCGAAGCCATCCACATAACTTAGTTCCAAATAAGAACGCACCTGGAGGGCTGTCGCTCGCTCCGTACCAATAGTAAGACCGAAGGGCATGTTGATTCCCAACAAACGTCAGTTATCGAACTGGGCGCGTGCGCTTAGAGGATTATCGGTCGCTTTCGAGGGATTTGAGGACGAGAGCGGCAGAAGAAGGGAAAGACTTTTTCCAATTGAGTGGAACAGAGGTGTTGGTGAACGTGGAAGATGAGAAGGGACCGAGGGGGATGGCCTGGGTGATGACGGGAGGATGGAAAGCGAGCAGGAAGCGTCACTGGGTGGCGGTGCTGAGTCAGTTATCTTTTCAATCCCCGAAAGTGTTGACTACAATTATATTGCAACCCCGACGGATACCCTCAAGCCAGCTCGCAACGAACTTGCTTCCTTTCCTTCCCTTCTTCTTCTCTTCGTGGGTCTCGATAGTCACTTGTTAATCATTCAAGCCATTTTTACTCTTGATGTGCAACTACAGTGGTATTTTGGTCTCGAAGGAAATCACTGGCCACTCATATTTTACCCTTCTTTGTTGACCGCCAGCCATCCTCACAAAATTCTAGCGTTCGAGCGTTCGGTGTTCTGCTTTCATCGTCCGCGCACCCTTCGAGTTCCATGTTTCCCCATGCCTGAATCCAAGCCCTCCTTCCTCATCTCTCCATGCCTGAAACTTCTTACTACGGTAATGTAGCCTCAGAACTACTCCATACGCATGACGCATCCTTACGCTGCTCTCCGAGTCCATTGGCTAAGTTACCTGACGGGGGCTTTAACGAGGCTATCTCACCTTATAGAGGGCAGAGGCTCTTCACCATCTCATAAGAGAGGCCTCGACTTCCATTTGCGATCTCCCGCTCATTACTGGCGATGAGAGGCCACTAGTGCGTCTCAATTCCCCATTACCGATTCAAGGTCCTCTACCGTACACACCCCGCGATATTGGAGCCCTTCGATTATCTTGCATTGGGCTCTATAAACCCAAGTTATCCTCAGCTAAATCCTACTGGCATTGAACATCCGTCTCTTTCTCCCGTCACGCTAGACCTCCTCGTGCCTTGGTTCCACCTCGTTCTGGTCGGTCGTACGTAGTCATCCTTCAACCGCCAACCTCAAGCCGAGATTCCGCGTTCTCATAGAGGCTTGCCAACACCTTCACGTACACACCGTCCGGGACGAGTTGTTGCTTTGTGACCAGCTCATCGAGGGTAAGATGATTGTTTTTAACTTATGCAGTATCTTCTTCGTAAGTTATCCACCACTCACCGCCTGCATTGGAGCCCACTTACATGTACGCAGGACCATGGTGCCGCCTCTGCCGCCGCCCTCGCGGAACTTCGCCTCTACACCCCAGTGGAATAAGTCCATCTGACGGCTTCGCGAGCTCGAAACCCTCGAGTATGCTGCTGGAGTGGATGACCACGTACCAGTCAGGCGCGCCCTTCGTACCTTTGCAATAGATGAGGCGTCCACATCTGAACGTGGAAGCTCTTGCCAAGGCGGTGCTTCGAGTTCGTCCCCCACTTGGATTTGGAGTTTCGATTGGGTGAAGCCTGAGTTGGTGAGCATAAGAGCGCTGTTTCCTGCGGAATACAACTTTTTCATCGACGAAGAGGCCCGTCGAAGAGTTGAGATAGGCTTGGCTGTTGTTGTCTCGTCATACTCAATGGGTCGTCTCGAAGACCAAGAGAGCAGCCATGATTGTGAGTCCGCTCCTCGGTTCTTTTTACCACTGACACTCTATCCACCGAGTATCTCGGGCCATAGCTATGGAACTGTACAGTTGAGTTTTTGTCGTAAAGTGTGGCCACCATATGGCCGCCCTGTGGCGTCGAACGCTGTTTTGACGCTATGGCCCCCACAACGTTAGACACATAATATCAACTTATCTTGGGCTCCAAAACATGTGTAACTGTAACCAATGTACCATGTAACTAAATTACACTTGTAGGCAGTGGGAACCTGCCCATTTCCGTATGCGACACAAAGCAGCGTCCAAATGGGGATAACACAACACATCTTTGGCCGCGGCTGTGCCTATGTTTTCATATCTGTCTCCACGTGTCTCCTTTGTGGCCACTCCCATTGTTCCCAACAGATCTAGAATCTAGATGGTCAAAGCCCTTTTGTTCTCCTTTGGCCTATAAAACTGACGAACGCCGACACTTCAGTCTCTTCTTCTCTTGACACACTACCACCACCTGCCTCATCTTCTCTTTCAACCCTTGCTTTCCACAGCGTCCCCTGGTCGCCCAATTCCAATCTGATCTGATATCTCACCACCATCATGGACTCCAACACCCTTCAAGCCCTTTCTCGCACTGAGCTCCAAAAGATCGCAAAGGTACGTGTCACATCTGGCATCACCCTTTTTGAGCGACACATGCTCATTGGTATGTGACCATTGTAGGCCAATAAAATCAAGGCCAACAGCAAATCTGCGCTCATAATAAGGCAACTCCTCGAACTCTGTCCTGATGGTGTCCCGTGCGTCTTGCTCTTTGACGTTATCCTGTTGTCCCATATTGACTCATGGCACAGCATTGAGAACGAGGACGCACCCACACAGCCAGGTCCTACGAGGACTACCCGTTCGAAACGACGATACACTCCGGTTTCCTCGACGACGCAACCTACGTCTCGAACGACCCGCTCGAAGCGACCACCCCCACCTCGACACACCCCAGCACCACTGCCTCAAACAGCCTCAGGCGAGATCGCTGGGCTATCGTCGTTGGGTGCTGCCGCTCCCCAGCAGCCCGAGAACAATCATGGAGCGAGCCCAACCACTCCATTGCTCCGTTTGGGGAGAAGAGACGTTGATGCGTTCGCATCTCCACCTCCCTCTACACGGGCACTTGGTGCGTTCTATCTAACAAACTCCTCGTTCACATTTTTATTCTGCCATATTTGTAGTCATGCCCCCCACACAACCAGGTCCTTCGAGGACTACCCGTTCGAGGCAACGATACACTCCGGTTCCCCCGACGCAACCAGCTACCTCGCGAACGACTCGCTCGAAGCGACCACCTCCACCTCGACAAACCCCAACATTACCGTCTCCAACAGCCCCAGGCGACATCGCCGGGCCATCGTCGTTGGGCGCTGCCGCTCCCCAGCAGCCCGGGAGAGATCATAGAGCGAACCCAACCACTCCATTGCTCCGTTTGGGGAGAATGGACGCTGATCCGTTCGCGTCTCCACCTCCCTCTAGGCGGTCACTCGGTGCGTTCTATCTAACATGATTATCGTCCACATCCTTATTTTGCCCTATTTGTAGTCATGCCACCCCGTACCCATCGACCCAAAGATCGCATCTTCGCACCATCACCCGCGCCTTCGCCTGCTTCGCTGGGCCTGAGCAGACCCTCACCTGAACCTTCGCACCCGGTCGCAGATGTTTCTCTGGATCCGGCGCAAGCTACCCCTCTCATCTCAGCGTACCGTGCTGCCAATGGTAGACCTGCTCCCAGGGAGTATCAGGTGTCCAGTGTTGAAGGTGTGTATCCCTATTCGTCCAATCATGAGATTTCTGGCAGTTGTACTGATCTAAAATAGTTTCTGGGGAGTCTATATCTGTGCAGTTGAGACTCGCCCACGACAGGCACCAGTCTCCGTCAGACGAGATGCCGAATGAGCAAGCCCGTGGCTCAGACGTTCAAGGTGGGTTCTCTTCTCTCTCTTCCATGATCATCAACATCTCACATTCATTGCGTTCATAGAGAGTAGGCGCGAGAAACAGGTCTTGCCAGAGATGCAACTAGACGAACCTCCCAGGGATCAGCCCGCCCCACCCGCAGAAGACCCATTTGGCATCGATGACATGGAAATTCCGGGTATGTTATCGTCTCGTGTGTCTCTGCTCATACAAGCTTTAATGTTGACCTTAATGCTCCATACATAGGCCTCAACGCTGCAGAGCGTCTGGAGAACGGAGCGAATCTAGAAGGATCATTGACGCAGGATGGTGCTCTCGCTCTGGGTTCGCCTTTGTTTCCTTATTCCTCTTGTCTCTCTAGAATTTAAACGGTTTCTGTGCAGGCAGCCATGATCTGAGAGGACTGCCGTCAGTGCATGGATCTGCGCCAGCCTCACAGGGAGCAACCCATGAGTCACGGCCTTCCCTCCCACGACCCCAATCCCGACCTGAGGCACGGCGGCCTCCTCCAACCCAACGTCCAGCTCCAGAAATGCCCTCTGAGCAGCAACCGCAACAACAAGATATCGACACCGGTGTGCCTCCACTGGCTGCTGGTGGCGAGGATCCAGACGTCGATCTCGCAGAAGATGACTCGATGGTGAAGAAAGTCGAGAACCTCCTTCAATATATGAACAAAATTGTGGACGACGACGACGAAGCCGTGAACCCTGTCCTCGCGGAGCTGCCGCAGATCGCGACCCAAATGCACGCGCATCTGAAGAAGTTGAACGACCGGCTTCGTGCTTCACGCGCTGACCGTGAGCGGCTGGATGCCCTCCTGGAAGGGCGAAGTACTGGCGCCTTGCCGACCCCAAGGAAAAGAAATTGGTACACCCAGGTCTGGAGGCGACACATTAATACGCTCCCAGAAGGAGTGTATTGCAGCGAGGAGGAAGGAGAGAAGCTTGTCCTGGTGGTGTTACATGAGGATGAAGAGCCTTTGTGCGATGATATAGTTTGTGGTGGAGACTATGAACGACCTTCGGATCAAATGGAGGCCGAGCGGTGCGTATCCTTACGGTCCTCATGCTTTGTAGTCATACAGCTAAACCCAGTGCATTCTCTCGATGTTATGTCTCTTCTAGGTGCGAGCGCATGCAGCAGGGTGAACCCAACATATATCCCGAGTGGCCAATAAATGAGACGATCCTGGAGGAAGTGAAAGCTTATCTATTTGAGCAGTCTACTCGCGCGGTGCCACCAGGAGCTGGCCCCTCCCATCACCTCACTGTGTCCAGCCTCCCCGACCCGCGTCGACCACCACAGGCTGGCCCTTCCAGATTGCCTCCACTGTTAGCTCCTCCTGTTCCTAGTCCTTCTCGCCTCACACCAGCCCGCCCACCCAGGCAGCGTCTGCCCGACGCCCATTCAAATCTTCCTCGACCACCGCAAGGTCGTCGCTCCGAACACCCACCTAATCCTCGCCAACCTCAAGGGCCCCACCGCTCTCAACAGCCACCTGTCCGTACCCCGCCACACCCTGGTCAGCCTTCGCAGTCCAGACAATCAAAACGTAGTCACTCGTCCGCATTCGCAGACGACGAAGAATCTGACTACGACGAATCTGACTACGAATCATCTGACTACGATGCAGCACCGCGTCCCGGCCCCACCGAACCCGACCACACTTCTCGGCGCACCTCGAAGCGACCTCGCACGTCCTATCATACACCCTTGAGGCCTTCCCCCGCCTCCGGGAGCGGACAGCCACGGTATTCTAGCGGGAGTAGTGAGGCAGAACAGTCACAGGTCTATGAGATGCTCAGCCATCCTGGGCATATGTCGGGTGAGTCAGACGAACATTAAGGGGAAGGTATGCATCTGGACGGAGGTGATCGTGGATTGAGATGAAGTACGTTGAATTTGTGGTTGATTATTTATTTTCCCTGTGGTTTTGTATTTTTGCCCTGCCGTCTCGTTTTGTCCTAGTCTCGGAGTTGTCAGCACCTGTATTCTCCTTCATCCATGTATCTTTGCTGCTTCTTGTTGCTGCCCGGAATTTTACCAAAATATGATACCATCGAAACACCTGTAGGTCTCGCCGGCTAATGCTTCAAAAATTAAACGGTGTGTGAGGGTAGCTTTGTATTGCTTGCATTGAGATGGCAAAAACATGACAAGAGCGAGATTCGAACTCGCGCCTTCATACGAAGATGAGAAACCTGATGTTTTCAGGCAAGCTTTCGCTTGAGTCACACGCCTTGGACCGCTCGGCCATCTTGCCATGCATGGTTGTGCCGCGAAAAATATCTGATTCAATTATACCATCGGTTTGACTAGCGGCGCACCCCCACCCGACTCTCTCTCTTCCTCTTGCTCATCATAATATCCTCTTTGCAATATGTCTCTAGTATTCAAACGCGTATGGCAAGCTTTCAGACGTCCCGTGAGCTAGAATATCTCTGCGTGCAATTTTTGGTTCTTATATGATCCCTTAGACCTATTTTGTTGGCAAAGACCTTGAGGGTCGGTGGGATCATGCTCTCTCCTTCATGCGCTCTTCCTGGTCGGTGACTGAGTTCCTTTGTGCAGGGAATAAATTCTTTGAGTATCCCGCGAATGCAGACAGTGCGTTTATTTTTCTCTCGTCCAGTCAGTCGACTCAGCGGGCAAAACAGCTTCAATGACCACGAGAACGAAGAGGAAGGTGGTTTACAGGGATGGGTCGGACATGTGGACGTATATAGGTGGACAGAGAAGACTACCAAGTGCGTAATCGCCTCAGTTTACCGTATAGCTTGTGAGTCTAATATTCCTCGTCGGTGCAGTCCAATGGTCTGCATGGCTGTCACATACGCGGCCTGATCCTCCGTCAATTGAGGTCAGTTCTATTCATCCTAAACATAGGCCTTGGTACTGAATGTCTGGTGCGGTAGGAACTCGAAGCCGATATTATCCGCCAACAACGCGTTCTACACAATGCCAGAGTTATTGAAGCTCGGATAGCCCAGGAACGCGTCCAAGCACAGCTCGCAGCCATGCCCCAGCCCAAACCTCAACTGCTACTCTCGGAGGAAAGAAACACGCCCGTTTCTTCTCAACCAACACCTTCTGTGCAGGTGGGCCTCTCCCAACAATCACCCACACCAGAGCCTACCGCGCAAGCCAACGCTGTCGAAGAGCCCTATGTCCCGGAAGCGCCTCCACAGCAGCTTAGCTACGCCACACCGAAAAGATCAGGACTGCCGAAGACCGGCAAAGATCAAGACTGGCAACCTCAATCATGGCAGCCCGCTCCTGCACGGAAACGCACTTGATACTGTAGATGAGTGGGTTCCCCTCGACAGGTAGAAGAGCTGTACATTTTACTTGTAATATATATTCATTTTGCCACGCCACCGCTCTGAGCGCGTCGCGCGTTGAATTTCACATCCGGCACGCGTCGCGTCCTTGTGTCCGTATTGGCCTTTTGTTGCCTTCTCGCTTTGACCCAACTCACATCTTCTCCACCACCCACTACCATCGCACAACTACAAACGCGTTTGCTCTTTCCCATTCTGACACCATGGCTATCTCTCCCGCCCCAAACAACACGACAGCCCCTTCAAGGCGCTCACAACGTCTTCACAAAGCACCTCGATTGCCTCTGCCCGACGCAAGACAACCCCGGCACAGCCGGACACCTGCTCATGGCGGCACAGCTGCTCGAATGAACAAGAAACCTCAACCTCAACCTCAACCTCAACCTGAAGCTAGTCCCAGCCGGCACCCAATATCCAACAGGAGCAAACTGGTGAGCATTCGTCTTGGTTAAATACTAAGAAGACAATCCGCATCGCCTCCAAGGGCTAACTCTTGTGCGCGATAGCCCTCGTTCCCATCACGCGCCCCAACACAATCCCACAATTCTTACTCCCAAGATGAAAGCCTGTACATGGACGGTTCTGTGAACTCCGATGGTCGCTGTTCATCGCAGCCCAGAAGACCGCCGAGTTCAGTGTATGTTCTCATTTTCGACACTGTTCCCTTTCTTCGTGCTGACCAATGACTATCCTTCAGAGTGAGGCGCTATGGATTGATACCTAGAGGTGCCGAAAATCTTATCAAGCAAGAATCAGTCGAAGGTACGTCGCACTTCTCGTTTGTAGTGATCTGTGTGTCGATTCTTAGAGGCCTGACTAAGTTACATTTCGGTTGACGCTTACAGAGACACTACATCCCGACTCTCACCTAAGAGAGCCTTTAAAGAAGGCGTTCAAGAAGGTCAAAGCAGTCGCGAACAAACCAGAAATCAAAGAAGGCTTGGAGAGGGTGCACTCCCTTCTCTCTGGGTTGAAGGCAGACTTGCGCGAGGGCGAGAAGACAATGAAGCGCCTCACGTATACGAAGAACGAGATCCACAAATTCATCAAGAGCGAGATGCGCACTGGAGAGATCAAGGAGAGACCGGAATGGTGGCAAGCCCACTCGGAACGTCTCCGGGAATATAAGTGAGTGATGATCTATCCCGTATACCAAGATGATTTGCTCATCCAGCTTGTGCAGGAATAATCCAGATGCGGCCCAAAAGCTTCTGAACGCTGAGGAGCGGAGAAGAGCTGACCTGCACAAGAGAAACGAAGAAGCCGAAAAAGATCAGAAGACAGCACAGAAGAGAGCAGATGAGGCAAGAGCGGAGGAGGCCCAGTGGAATGCGGAGATGGAGAGGAGAGCTGAGGCACAGAGGGAAGCTAAGGAGGCACATGATAGGGGTCAACATGGGCTGGGGTGGGCTCAGCAGAGAGGTGGGAGTGTTGAGCTGGTGCTCGGGGGAGCTGAACAAACGAGGGGGTCTAAGCGCAAACGAGAACGTACGGGGGAAGAAGACGAGGAGACTCCCCGCGAGGATGACCGAGAACCAAGTAAGAGGACCCGGAAGGAGCTGTTTGTTTGACATCGAGAGTACGAATGAGGAGATCCTATATCTCCCATGGTCTTGTGTTGTGTACGCTTTGTCCCCACAGCGAGAGGCTGTATTGCATGTAGAGTCCAGCGACACTCAATCGGCGTCGCTGGTGCTCAGGAATCGTCCTGTATTACTTATTCGCTCACTTATTATTTTGTTTCGGAGATATTTCACGTAGGGCCCAGCGACACTCAGTCGGTGTCGCTGGTGCTCAGGAATCATCATGTATCACTTATTCGTTCAATTAGCATACATATCTTCTCGGGGACTTCGTAGCACTAGGCGTCAGAGAGCGCGGGGCATGTCATGTGAGTGGCCTTTACCGACTGCTCACGTTGACATTTTATGTTCTAAAGTCCTGAGCTGCTGCCGACTGCGTGAAGCATTAGTCTACTTCACTTAGCATCAATCAAAACGTACCGAGAGAAGTGGAAAGGACCACGAACACGATACTCCTACAGCATTCTAAACGCAAGGCAACAATCTCCTATACATTAGCAACTCCAATATCTTCCGATTCAGACTCTGTCGATACCGTGACATACATAGGCTCTTCTACACTATCAAACCTTCAAACCTTCACTCCATTGATTCCAGTTACAGCAGATTTGGCCACTGCCGCTGCCTTCCACTTCTTCATAGTCTCTTGTATATGCGGCAGTTTAATCATGGGGCCTTTCAAGTGTCTCGTCGATGGATGTATGGGCGCAGGAAGGCCTGTCTCCTCTTCACAGCGTGAAATAATCTCCTCCAACGAGCCGCCGGTGTTGAACAGCATCTCGTCGACACCTGACGCCGCGCGTACAACAGACATCTCAGCGCGGAGAGCCTCAGTTGCCGCCTTGTCAACGGTAAAGTCATCGTTTACGACCACTCCATAAGATCTCGCACCGTTGACAGTGACAAGGCGGCGAGAGACCTCTAGGGCGACAAGCTCTGGATCGCGCTCAAGTGGGTTTCCTCTAAAATGCATAGATCCATTAATGTTCAGTGCATAGATGAGAGCAGGAGCTTACTTTCCGCCACCTCCCCAGGTGCAGGATTCTAGAAGATCTCCAGGTGCAACAATAACGGCATCCGCCTTGCTGCTGCAAGGGATGCGGGTACCATCAGCCTTGACGAGTGTCTTGGTAGATCGCTTCAATAAACATAGTTAGTCACGTTGACTTTCAGGGGCAACTTCGATATATTTACCATCCCAGGCTCTCCGCCGGTCACCCCCCAAGGCTGATGGTCGTCAGAATTCGAATTTGGAAAGAAATAAAATCATCACTCACTTTCGTCAACCATCTGTCGTCGTGAAGCCCAACCTCTCCATGCGCCAGGAACCGGTAGTGAATTCTGAGGCCGTTCCCACCGCGGTAAAAGCCGGGGCCACCAGAATCTTCGATAGACTCGTAACGCTCGACGATGAGGGGGTAATAGAGCTCCAAAAATTCGTTGGGGACAGATTGCATGCTTGGCCACAGACTGTAGCATTCATGAAGAGCGGTGAGCTTTGGGAGGCGACATTGATATAGAGATAAGACTGTACCTATGACCATCAGGACCATCGCCCACAGGCCGTGCTGGAATACCTCCCGTCGAGATCTGGTACAGGAGGTAATATTCGCCTTCCTCGTCATAGCCGCTGAAGAGGTCTCTTAGGCACAAATACAAAAGAGGAAGAGACAATACAATCTTACGAATAGTATAGATGAGGACTGTCACTGAATCCGGCCGCAGTCAAGAACGCTGGGGCTTTCTGGCCAAACAAGCCAGTCAACATGTCCATGACCCGTCCAAGCAGGTGAGTCCTGCACGACAGAGCGGCGGGCCGAATTGGGTTAAGAATCGTGCCCTCTGGGATGTAAACTTCCATGAGATCGTTCGCGCCGTCATTGACCAAAATCGACGGATCAAAGACAGTGACAAGGTAGATATTGGCGAACATCTTCCACATCTCTGGGGACTGGAGTCATTCAGTTTAAATGATAAAAACAGTATACCAGAGAAGCCGACGTACAAGGAGGAAATTGATTGAGCTATCCGACTGAGGGTCCGTTCCTGACCAGTCAAAAACGAGTTTGTCGACGCCGTGCTCGTCCTTCTTTCTGAACATCTTGCAGGCGATTTTCCACGGGCCATACCCGAATCCCTGAATAACGAAACCCCAACTTTAATCCGGGGAAACTGAAAAGAAAATTAAGACGCGCTCACATCATCGTCGATGTAATCCTCGAAGTAAACCCCTTCCTCTGGTATTTGGGAGAGGATTAGGCTACCAATCGCGCGCTTATTTCGATCTAAAAGAGCGGCGAAGGCGGCGTTATAGACATCGATTCCGAAACGACTACAAAGGTCTTGCATCCTAGTCCCAGCAGTTCTACACGCTGCTATCAAGGCCTGAAGATCGGACTCAACGAAGTGCGGCAGGCGAGAGTTCCGATAGGCGATTTGGAACACCTAGTAGAAATGGAAGTAGTAAAAAAAAGTCGTGGAAGAGCGATCGTTAAACCTTACGGCTGTATTGGGAACCCCTCGTTCGAAGAGCTTGATGATCGGTATCTGTGTACCATCACCGAAGATGTCCACAGTCTTGTTGCCGAGAGAGCCCGCGACACGCCCGCCGACATCACTGAAGTGGCCCAGATCGGCAGTCCAAGCGATATGTTGTCCTTCGAAGAAAATCGGGATGATGACCACTACAAGTTCATGCGTCCGTTAATGCACTTAGACAGGGTTAAGAACGTTGACGCACGATAATCATTCAAGTGTGAGATACTTCCGCCCACTGAATATGGGTCGTTGGTGAGAAAAATCTATAGGAGCAAACGGTAAAACCCCTGTGACATGATAAGATGAACTGGATTGGGACTCACGTCGCCCTCCTCAACCGTCCCATGGTAGTTCTTCAGGAATGCCGGAATGAAACTTCCGAATTGCCCAGCCATCATCTTCCCTTCTGCGTTTGCAATCATTGGGAAGGTATCGCGCTGTTCACGGATGGCAGGACTTTGTCCAGGAATAAGCATCCGAAACAAGCGGTATTCATCAACAGTTCCAACTCACCTCATAGCCGTCCGTATGATAGTGGTGTCCATCTCGGTACGAGCATTCTAGGATGGCAATGATAAGCGTGAAAGATAGTACCAGCGGTCATGATACTGACCCTCAATGCACTCTCGATAATGTCAATCACTATTGGATCCAAACCTTCCTCGACGGTACCGCTGCCTTCAAAGCCACTCGCTGCGGCTGACGTCGTAGGACGGAGAAGTATATTACCAATCTGGTCAACTTCTCCTGTATAATCAGGCGTAACGAGGGTATTAGAGTCCAACTCAGTGACGATACTATATTAGGAGAATGCCTTGTCAGCGCTGCCAGTGTGCACGAAAAGAAGAAGTGATCCGAGACGAACCAAGGGCCCACGAGTTTATCGCCGGCACGTAGAAGCGACCGCTCGAAAATAGGAACATCTGTGTACTGAACATAGCGAAGAGCCTCAACATTGATTACTGTCCCTGTCTGACTGGCAGATAAACTGACCTCTTGACCAGCATAATAGATATGAGTCTTCTCCTTAAGTGCCTCGGTGACTGGTTCACCGGTACCACGAGGGAGTGGCAGTGTGCCCAGTTTCTCTGCCTTCTCTTCAGTCTTGACCCTGCAGTTGACAATCTCCATGGCGGCAGGAAGAATGAAGGTGAATAGTTGCTTGTGCAGACTCTCGAAGCGGCTCGCAAGCACGGTAATCCCATGCTTTTCCAGCTCGGATACCTGGAAAGATATTGGCAGTGTAAGTGCCTGACCACTGTAACGAACGTCCGCTTCATAGACGAAGACTTGATGAGCATGCTCGATGCCCTGCTGTTCAAGGACCTCCGCCCCTTTAGTAGCAAGTCCTGGGATCGCTACTTGTGAGTATAAATTTTCAAGAAACGCATATCATGATTACAGCACCTTTGAAAGCAGACAATATCTCTTCAATTTTGACTTCATTGAACCTCCGTATGAACGTCATCTTGAAACATTCGTAGAGGAATCGGTGAGCCGGTGAAGGGCCGCAATAGATAAGAACTCACTGATGTTTCATGCCTCAAGGTGGTTGTCGCATCACCGAAGGCGCAAAGCACGCCTGGGCTGGGTGGCACGATGACGAGCTTGGAATGCAGCAAACGGCCAAGCGCACAGGCATGCATGGGGCCAGCACCACCGAATGCGACTAAAGCGAAGTCACGGGGATCATATCCACTTTCGATACTGACTACACGCAGAGCACCAAGCATGCTCTCGTTCGCGAGCCGAAGTATGCCTTCTGCAGCCTCCATGAGCCCAATGCCCAAAGCGTCAGCCACGGTCATAACAGCTTTCTTGGCTGCATCGATGTCGAGCTTGAAATCGCCTCCAAGCAAGGTGCTAGGTAAATAACCCAGGACAGCATTAGCGTCCTGGACCAGAAAGTTTTGAGGTTCAGTTGAGCCACATTAGCATGGGTATGCGGATGCGAAGAACGCACGGAGACGGTGGGCTCCACGCCACCACGAGAATAGCAAGCAGGACCTGGGACAGCTCCTGCAGACTCTGGCCTATACCAGAAATTATGATGAACCAAAAAGTATAACAGGGACAGGCTAGACGCACCCCACACGCAGAGCTTTCGTGAGTTCAGGGACACGGGCAATAGAGCCTCCACCAGCCCCCACCGTCCTGACGTCTACACTCGGGGACTTGACTGTGAGATCGCCAACGACGGTATTCCTTGAAATATGAGGAACACCATTCTCTATGAGCGCTACATCGGTCGATGTCCCGCCCATGTCAAACCTTCGTAGAAGTCAGCATAGGCACGTCAAAGCACAGAGGGAGCGTACGTCAACAAGTTCTTGAACCTTCACGGCAGTCAGCATAAGTTAAGGCAAATAAAGAATGGAGCGTACTCGGTTTGCTTTGCTATAAGATTGGCCACACCAGCGACCCCTCCACTTGGGCCCGAAACTAGTAGATTCACTGGGAATTGGGACGCCAGATCGACGCTTGCAAGACCTAGATGGGATTTGTCAAAGCTGCTTGAGTGGCGATCTCGCCTTCAGAAATAATACCTCCATCTGAGCGAAGCACTCGAAGATCAACATCTTGGCCCAGCATGTTCTGAAAGTTATCGAGGTATATTCCGACTTTGGGCTTGACATACTGTGGCGAACGTCAACAAGAGCCCTCGAAATAAAATAATTCTCTAGGCGTACGCTGTTGGCAACGGTGGTCAAGGTTCTTTCTGCCGGGTTCTGCATGAGCAACTCCATCTGTTATAGTTTTATGTGGATAGCACGAACCATATTCCATAAGCTCTGGTAAGACCTGCGAACTGATTGAGATGGGCACTCCGGGGAACATCTCCTTGCAGATCTCGGCAGCTTCTACTTCATGAGCTGCATTAGCAAAGGAGTTCATCAGCGAGACTGTAATCGCATCCGGCTTGTATCTCAGGAGAGATTGAAGGCGCTGGCGAAGAAGAGGTGCGTCGAAAGGCTTGATCTCGAGTCCCTTGGTGTTCACGCCTGCAGGCTAATATTAGTGTTCAGCCGTGCGACGGTGGGTCTCGAAGAAGCCTACGTCCGGGAGTTTCGATGGTAAGCTCGAGTGGCGCTAACGGCTCAGGTTTGGGCCACACAATCCACCCGGCGAGACCACCTTCAAAGAACTGCGTCAGCAATTATCTTGACAACAGTTAGTAAACTCACCTGGAACTTGTGAGCGGCGAATCTTTGATATTCGCATGAGTCACTACTTGCACGCAACTAATGAGAAAAATGTATACCTGAAGTATGTCTTTGTAGCCCTCAGTAGTGAGCAGGGCGACTTTGGCGCCTTTGCCTTCAAGAATCGCATTGGTAGCTGGACAGAAAATGAGACCTCCGACAACAGTCGCAAGATCTCACCGGCGTACCAATAGTTGTTCTGGGGCAAGTCATAAACAGACGTAACTAATAAATAGTTTTGTGAAGTACATACCCATGGTTCAGAACATCGAAGTGGAGATCCTTGCCTTTTGCTTTGGCAAGCTCTCGGAGTTTGTCGATTCCGTTCTTGACTCCTATGCTCTGGTCATGAGGAGTAGAGGGGACTTTCGCGCGAAGTGTCTCCCCAGTCGGTGCTAGCCAGAGCAAGTCGGTGAAAGTACCTAAAGGGTTGGCGTCAAGTCAGCGCTAATAAATGTAGTGCCTGCGAAGACTTGGATACACGCCTCCCACATCGATTCCAAGTTTGGAAGTCATGTCTTTCAGCGGGTGTGAAGGATTTCTTCAGCAGATTCTTGATGAGCGACGTGGGGACGTCGTGTCTGATATCAGGAAGGTTCGACTAGCTAAGTATTTTATGTCCGAGTTAGCACCAGGAAACCGAGATTCTGGCGGTAAATTCAAAGGTGGATCTTCGTAGATTAGATAGTTCCCAGGACGGTTTGAAGCTGGAAAGACGCGTTAGTAGATTCTTGGCACTAAGCGGACTTCAGTCACAGGTTGTAGAGACGATCAATCAATGATAAGTTTCTAAAGATGCAGCGCCTGAGGGGAGAAGCAGTAATCCAAGTGGATGCTACGGCAACGCAACAGAATAAGTACTCAACTTGGTGTGTGTGTGCGTGTGTGCCGTCGGTCCGATTCTATGAGCGCTGAATGGTATCATATCTTCGCAAGCGATTACAGGGAACTCATGGGTCTGATAAGGCAATGGACTCCACATACAGCCTGACCGTCTCGAGATAGGGGTTGACGGAATGCACGGTGACCTTAGCGATATCATGGCGGGTCACAGCCGGAGAGTCTGTTTGCATCTTGGATAGTCTATAGAGCCGGTATTCGCGTCGCGTATAAGCGTTCAAACTATCGAAATCCTCGACATGAGAGTTCTTGAGACACCTTCCGTATCACTTGTGCCGGAAGGCTCTGGTAAACAGATATCTAAACAAAGTCTGTGAGATAGTGCCGTACCTTGGCGGAATCGCCGCAGGCAAACATTCTTGATTCAGCCAATGGGAGCATGCACAGAGAATCGGAGTCAGTAACAAAGGCAGAAAGGGATCTAGTCGACGCGAGCGGAAGTTCTAGGACAGCGGAGGGCCTTGACCTACACAACTGACAGTTTCCATTACCTTGAGGAAAACATCGAAAAACAACTTCTTGTATTGCATCTCTATGTCGCTAACATGCTAATGGGTGTATCAAAAGGATGGCCCGTGTAGTCCTTATAAACAACATCGCATGAGAACGAGTAGATCTATGATTCGCGGCTGATAACGTGTTAAAAGATGATGGTTCTCAAGGTAGGAGGACTTACTCTTCGGAGACCGTCACCATCAGCGTGAGCTAGGGCCGGCCATGCGGTGTTTCGTGCAGACGTCCCGAGTCGAGTCAGAAACATCAACCAAGTTATACTTCCACTGCAGTGGCAAGAGTGAGTGTCGTGCACTCTCGCCCTCATGTGCTTCTGGACTTACCTCTGTCAAGGTAACATTCCGCCCGTCCCGGTGAATGGCGAAGTCTACGGACAAAAACACATGCTCCCAGTTGGTCTCCTCGCAATGCAGTGTGAGCAAATTCGAGAGCTTGATCGAGGACAAAGTTGGGGAAGCTAATGCAAGGCGCTCGGCGTCCGCTCGAAGGAGAGCCTCTTTCCGGAAGATGTCGGTAATTGCAGAAGGGTAGTCAATATTGCATTGTAGTCTCTGAAGGTGACGCAGCGAAGGAAGGTGTTCAATGAGATGCGTCTGAAAACACGTCAGCACCAACGCATCAGGGAATGGAGTGATGGGTCATGGGGACGAATGGGAATACGTACAATGTCCTTGTCTTTCAAACACCTTTTCCCTCGAATGTTGTCGAGGTCGCCCAACATACCTAACCGCAATGTCTTGAGGCCAGGCATGATAGAAGCGAGCTGTGACGCCAATTGTCCACAGTGTTTCCGACCATTTCCTTCCAGAGAAAAGTCCAACATCTGCGCTTCGAAATCCACAACCATATCGTAGCACCCGGACGACAGGATAGCTTTACGAGCGTCCGCATCGAGATACAAACCTCGTTCTGGTTGTCGGAAGGCTTTAAAGGTGTTCAAATCCTGTCTTTCAAAGGGGGGAGGGGGGGATCAAATCAGGAGGCGTCACAGATCAAAACATAACGGAAAGGACCCAGACGTTCAAACATTCTTTGAGCATCAAGGCAGGTCCCGCCACTCCTATCCTTCGCAAGGTCTTGGGCCACGCAGAAGGCACACGGTCGGTGATAATTAGGGCAGTGGCGAGGTGATGAGCACGCGGTATAATACGATAATAATCTTCCATCCGTTCCCAGGACGTATAGCCGTCGAGCTTCAATGAGACTTGAAGATGCTCTGGGACTTGCGGACAGTGAAGCGGTCCTTCGCCCCAAGCGTCCATAACATGCAGATATTGAAGTTTCGGACACCGGAATAACTTGGATATAAGATCTATACCCCCTTGAATGTGGGGGCATTCGGGCTGAAGCATGTCGAAGCGGAGGCCGGTTAGTGACGGAAAAGGAGATGGTCCATGGAGGTAGGTTACGAGTCGCCTTGCGACGAAATCGCAATGGGAGCAAAAAGGGACCAAGGGTTCAGAGGACTGGGGATCATTTTCAGCAAGTGCAGGCCACCACTCCTGGCCTAGCCCGAGGTTGAACTCAAAGTATCGGGTGGAGTCGAAGTATTCGTCCAGATTTGGCATCTCCTCGAAGGCTTTATTGGGACACAACTCCGGATATTCGGTACAATCCGCAGCAGGACACGAAAACGGAGGAGGTCGCAGAAGATATGGAAAGGTATATGTGTGGAAGGTCTTGCAGGTTCTCGAGAGCGCTAGGATACGAGGAGATGGGAGTCCATAAGTGCTGGTGTCGTCGGCGTGTTTCACGATTTCCAGCAACATTTCTGTTGGAAGTTCTAGGAGTTGGACCATCTTGAAATCTGCGGCAAGACATTAATGAGACTGCCTGCAATATATCACGGATTTTTATACTGCTGTACCTTGTACTTGGATGAGCGTGTCAATGTCAAGGTGAGCCGACACAAGCACAATGCGGCGAGGCAAGAGTCGAAGGTGCGCCCGACTCGGTTGTGTTCAATTTGATAATGATGTAGTTCCAAGTTGGCCAACTTGCGCAAGGTTTCCCAGCTCTGTGAGAACGCCCTATGGAGGTTCAAGAAGGGATGCACCAACTGACTTCGACGAGGAGGATGTTCAAATGATGATGTTCCCCGAAGTTGACAACCAGGAGCCTCCCGGGATTTCCCGGCGCCACACTTCTACCACTCCCGCCAGTGTGGTCCAAGAGGAACGTCGCCTTTTGTTCAACTTTGAATTGTCTCTTGTATCACCAATACGCATTTTCCAACAAGCTATGGCAAGTACCAAACTAGAATCGCAGAAATAGATAAGAAATTGAGCAAAGCAAGACTACGTATACAAAATCAACAACAATCAACACCGATCGCTTCTATGTACTATACCGCTCCCCGCACCGTGTGCCTCATCCGGGCCTTCAAGCTCTTCTTCTTATAAGCAAGTAAGTAAATGATATGTATAGAGTACTTTCACCGCATGAAAACAACGTCCCAACGGCCCACCTCCCGGAATCGTAATCATAATCGGTTCCGGTGGGTCCACACAGCGTGAGGCGGTTAATTTTTTGTTGATCCCAGGCAAGGAATGGAAGGAATGAAAGGACAAGCAAAAGGATGGATCATCATGCGCGGAAGCCGACAAACTCACGCCATGACTTGACCTCGGGGGGTATCCTTCCTTCTGTATACTTCCTCAATCCGCCCTGGGGGATCTTTTTCGCGAGACTGTCGACGAAGAGCTGGGCCGTGCGCGCGTTGTTGAGCAACGGTAGTCCAAAGTCCACCGCATTCCTGAGTAGTAATAATTCTGTCAGCACCTCAAAAGCGAGAGAACCAAGAAAAGGAAAAGAGGCTGACCTGCGAGCGACATAATCCTCATCCATCACGTCCACCGCCCTCCCTTTCGCGAGATTCACCACCATCTGAATATCATAATCATCAAACACCATCCTCAACTTCCTCTTATCCGTCCTCGGGAACATGATCCTCTTCGCGCCCACATACGGCAAGCCATTCAAGAAGTCCTCCACCGCCGGCGACGAACAATACAGCTTAAACCCAAGCTCGGTCAACTTCGTCGCGATCTCCCTCATCTCGGGCTTGCTGACATCCCCACCGATCAGAACGCCCGACTTCTCCTTCGGGATCTTGAACCCAGTGGTACTGAGCAGCGAAGCCCAGTACGCCTCGTGCACGTCCTTCCCGAACGACGCGACCTCGCCCGTGCTCGCCATCTCGACGCCCAAGAACGGGTCCGCACCGCCGAGACGCGTCCACGAGAACTGCGCGACCTTGATCGACGTGTAATCCCTCTCGGTCGCCATCACATCCACCGGCTCCGGGACATTCCTGCCTACGATTGCCTTCGTCGCCGTCTCGATAAAGTTATGTCCCAGCACCTTCGAAACGAACGGGAAACTCCTCGACGCCCTCAGATTACACTCGATCACCTTCAACTCCGCCTCGTCCTGTCCTTCTTGCACCGGCTTCCTGATAACCTGCATATTGAACGGCCCCGAGATCTCGAACCCAGCGGCGACCTTCTCCGCGATCGTCTTCAGACGGGCCATATCCGATTCCGGGAGCGTATACGGCGGGAGGACGAGCGTCGCGTCGCCAGAGTGAACACCCGCGTTCTCGACGTGCTCCGAGACGGCGTGGACGATGAGCTTGCCCTCGTGCGCGACGGCGTCGACGTCGATCTCCTGTGCACCGTCGATGAATTTCGTGATGACGACGGGGTGGAGGGGCGAGACGTCGGCGGCGGCGGAGAGGTTGTATTCGAGGGTGGATTCTTCGTAGACGACGTTCATGGCGGCACCGGAGAGGACGTACGAAGGACGGATGAGGACGGGGTAACTGGAGTGCAAGGTGTTGGATTAATAAGAAAAGAATAAGTGTTTGGTACCGGGGAAGAAACATACCCAACACGCTGAGCGAATGCCTTGGCGGCTTCGACGGAGCTGACCTCGGTCCACTCAGGCTGGTCAACACCGATCTTATCGAGGATCGACGAGAACTGATGACGGTCCTCTGCCTTATCGATATTCGCCGGATCCGTACCAAGAACGGACACACCGCTCTCCTTCAGCCTCAACGCGATATTCTGCGGCAATTGTCCTGTTCAGCAAAAGTCCACACCAATCAGCCCTCAGTTCATCCCATTAGCAAACTGAGAAGGGGAACGTACCACCGACGCTGACCACCACACCCTGCGCCGCCTCCAGCTCATATATATCCATAACCCTCTCCCACCCCAACTCCTCGAAATACAGCCTATCCGCCTCATCGAAATCGGTACTAACAGTCTCCGGATTATAATTCACCATAACCGTCCGCATGCCCATATCCCTTAACGTCCTACTACAAGTGACCGCACACCAGTCAAACTCGACGCTGCTCCCGATTCGGTACACGCCGCTGCCGAGCACCATCACACCATGCTCGTCGAACTCGACGTCGTGCGAGGAGGCGTTGTACGTCGTGTAGAGGTAGTTCGTGTGTGCGGGAAATTCGGCGGCGAGGGTGTCGATACGCTTGACGAAGGGGGTGATGGAGAGGGATTTACGGTGTGCGCGGACAGTGGGTTCTGTGACAGGGCTAGAGGCAGAAGCAGAGAGGATGGAGGCGATGTGAGAGTCGGAGAAGCCCATGCGTTTGGCGGTGGTCATGAGGGTGGCATCGACGGCTTCGAGGGAACCGGCAGCGCTGAGCGCCTTGTGCGTCTGTACGATGTTGTCGAGCTTGTACAAGAACCACTATGAAAACAAAAGTCACACCGACACCCCAAATCAATCAGCAAGGGTCCACAAGGGAATAAAAGCAAAAAAAAAAAACCCCCCCGACCTTATCGATTTTCGTCAAATCATGCACCTGGTCCACACTATACCCCTCCACATACATCGCCTGCGCAATCGCAAAAAGCCTCATATCCGTCGGATTCGCCAGCGCATAATCCAACTCCTCCTTACTCATCCTCTTCCCAAACACCTCGAACCCGACCCAACGCGGATCGACCATCCTGACCGCCTTCATCAGACTCTCCTCGAACGTCCGCCCGATCGCCATCACCTCGCCGACGCTCTTCATCGACGAACCGACCTTGCGGTCGACCTGCGCGCTGAACTTCGCGAGATCCCATTTCGGGATTTTTGTGACGATGTAGTCGAGCGAGGGTTCGAAGCAGGCCGTCGTCGTTTTCGTTACGGCGTTGGGGAGTTCGGGAAGGGTGTAGCCGAGGGCGAGTTTGGCGGCGGTGTAGGCGAGGGGGTAACCTGTTGCTTTCGAGGCGAGGGCACTGTTGGCGTTACAAAAAAAAAGGTCAATATACTTTCCAATATGTTGGCCTGGCGCCGGTTATGTGACCAACCTGGAACGACTCAGACTAACAGAAAGTCAGTAAAAGATTTTTTTGAGGCAAAAGGGCGAAATCGACATACCGAGCATTGACCTCGATGACACAATATTCCCTACTCTCGGGATGCAGCGCATACTGGATATTACATTCACCAACAACGCCCAAATGACGGATGACCTTCAGGGCCGCGCTTCGGAGCATATGGTACTCGTCGTCCGTGAGAGTCTGCGAGGGCGCCACGACGATGGAGTCACCGGTATGCGTGCCAAGCGGGTCGAAGTTCTCCATGTTACAGCAGATGATCGTGTTCTATTTTGCGACATGGATGGTGAGCTTTGGCGTCATCTCTGATTTTGAGCGGAAGAAGGGATGAAAGTACGTACATCAGCACCGTCACGGACGACTTCATATTCGACCTCTTTCCAGCCCTTCATGCTCCGTTCGACGAGAACCTATAAACATCATGTCAATGAAACGGTCTCGGTATTGCAGTCAATTTGACCGAAGACGAACCTGAGGGGAAAGAGAGAGACCACGAGCAGCCAAATCACGGAGTTCATCCTCGTTGTAGGCGAAACCAGAACCGAGACCACCAAGAGTGAAGGCAGAGCGCATGATGACGGGGTAACCAATTGTTGCCGCGGCATCGAGAGCGTCATTGACGGTAGAGACGGCGGTAGACTGTGCAACGGGGATGTCGATTTCTGAGTCATAAGAGAACGACAGTTAGCCATAAGCGCCGGAAGTTCAACATTCCAGTGCCACACTACTTTGGGCCACAATGCGTGGGGCACGCGGCGAAAAAAAATCTCCCGGACGGAACTCCCAACCACTGCACCCAAAGGATTTGTTCGAGAACGAGAGGACTGCATTATGAGGAATTTCAAAAAGAAAGGACGGGTACCTGCCAAAGCCTGAACGAACAAGTCTCTGTCTTCCGAAACCTCCAAAGTCCTAATCGGCGTACCCAAAACCTTAACACCAAGCCTATCCAGGACACCCATCCTATCGAGCTCAATACCGACGTTCAAAGCGCTCTGACCACCGAAAGTAAGCAAGACACCGTCCGGACGTTCCTTTTCAAGAACGTATGCGACGTAGTCGACCGAAATGGGCAAGAAGTAGACCTCCGAGGCGAGATGGTGACTGGTTTGCCATGTAGCGATGTTAGGGTTAATGAGTACGGCGTCAATGCCCTCCTCACGGAGCGCTTTCATAGCCTGTGAACCGGAATAATCGAATTCTCCTGCCTGGCCGATGGAGAGACCTCCCGAGCCGACCATGACCACCTTCTTGACATCTGCACGGGGTAGTTTTGGGAGTACCTTTGCCGAGATCCTGCGAGCGAGTTCGGAGGGCGAGTTGAGCACACGCTCGCCGTCCTGGGGAGCATAGTCACCGACGATGGGGGCAGCGACGGCGCGGGCAGGGAGCGAAGGGTGGGTGAACCGGCGCGCGGCGGAGAGGTGGAAGGCGCGCGCTGTGGTGGATGGCTTTGGAAGGGTATGTACTGGTGCTCGCGCGAGGGAGTGTCGGATGGGACTGAAGAGCCCCATCGTAGGCCGGAGAGGAGAGCGTTGGTAGTGGCCGTTGGGAGCAAGAGGCTCTTGACTCACTCAACTTTCAACTTTTTCTTCCTTAGAGCGAGCCACGCCCTCGGCCGATCTGCCCCTCTCTGGTGGCGTAATAACCAACTGTGGCCCACGACTCCGGCGAAGCATGACGGCGATCACTGGGTCTTTCTTTCCACGGTCTTCACGGAATTCGAACGTACTTCATGTGCTCTTCTCGCTCTGCGCAGAACAGCTGCCAGCGACTCAGTCATGCAAATGTCAAGTGGGAATCCACCTCGCACAACACGACGCAATCGTGACCATACCGCACCCGTTTTTTACAGCATCTACATAGCACAAACACTCTCCACGAGCCGTCCTCATCGCAAGATTGCCCAATCATCCCTCGCAGGATCCCCAACTGGTGGGAACAGTCCCCCCTCCCCCTGAGCATTACCTCCACCCCCAGCCTGCTGCTCAGCTCTCCTCCTCTCCTCCTCCCTTAACCTCTCCACATTCCTCGCCCTCACATACAACAATATCGCGACCCCCATGAGCGCGCCCACCAGGACTGTCGTCTCCCAAAAATCGTCCATCTCCTCGTCCTCCCCTCCTTCGTGCCTGTACCCACCCCTCAGCGCACCTTCAAAATAATCTTCCGGCCCGAAATCAGAGTCCCTGTCTGCTTCTGCGTTGCGTCGGTCGCGGGCCCACTGCCGTACGTCGATGGTCATGATTAGTGAATAGGAGTACGAAGACGAGAAGAGAAAGAAGAGAAGGCTGTACGCACTTGGACAGGGTCTTCGTCGTCTGGAGGGACATCGATCCCTCTCCGCCTGTTGAACTCGTCCCTAGCCTTCCCGTAATACCACGGACTGTTGTCATCATCGTCATGCACAGGAGCCTGCTGTTCTTCGACCGCAGCGCCCCCTCCTCCAGTCCGCGTATCCTCCTCACTTCTCTTCCCCTCGTCCAGTTCTCCACGAGTCTCCTGAGTGGCTGCGGACTCGTCTGTGGATGGGTCAACGAGGAGTTCAATGAACATGTTATATCACCAAATGATAGCTGGGGAGGAAGGACGAACCATATTCGTCTTCATACTCAAACAAACTGAGCCCGCCCTCGCCACCCATCGCCGTATGCCAAATACTCCTCAAATGCAACTTAACAAGCGAAAGCAACACCGGCAAATACGCCTCACTATTCGTCTCCATCGCCAAATCATAATGTCTCTTCGCCAGATGGAAATCCTGACCCGTACAGAATGAACATTCAGCAACTCGAACCGTCAGAAGGAAGGAGGGGGCAGAAAACGCACCTGCGGCACCCCCAGCCCATTCTCATACATCCACCCCAGATTCCACATCGCCAACGCGCTCACCTGCGTCCCCGCCGCGCTCTGATAATACCCCACCGCCTTCTCGTATCTTACCTCCTCCGGCTCGTCCGGTACGCCCAGCCCATGATAATAATAGTCTCCGACCTTGACCAGCGCGTCGACGTTGTTCTGCGCGGCGGAGCGGGTCCATTGGGTCAGTGCGAGGCGGGCGGTGTCGTTTGAGGGGGAGAAGGTCTTGAAGCGGGTGTTGCGGAGGACGCTCTTGTCTGTAGTCGTAGATATTGATTTCATGAATAAGGGCGTGGAGATCCCGCATGTTAGGAAGAGGAAACGCACCCTGATCCAACACATACGCCAGATTATTCTGCGCCATCTCAATCCCTCTCTCCGCCGCGATCCACCACCGCAACATCGCCAGCTCCCTCCCCGCATTCGTCTCCAGCCTCCACGCGTCCTCGCCTGCAGTGAGTAGATCATCGTCCCAAGCACCCCGTTCGGCCACGACCTTGTAGAACGAGACTGCTACGGAACATGAACCCGTCCTCATTGCTTGCGGTAGCATCTTCAGTTGCTGGGCTTGGATCTGGGCGAGGTAGTAGTACGCTTCGAATGGCGAGCCATGGCGAAGTGCGGTCTCGAAGTATGTCGTGGCGAGCTTGATCTCCTTCCTCTCTATACCTCCATCAGCAATCCATCTCAATTTGACAGGAATAAGGAGGAAAGACACTCACGCAAATGATACTTGCCCATATTCACCTGCGCCTCCGCCAACTCCTGCCCCGCCGCGACCCCGAAATACCCCACCGCCCTCTTCAAGTCCCTCTTCCCATCCACCAACCCATCCCTCCAAATAATCCCCAACCCATTATGACTCTCCTTATCCGCATACTCCGCCCCCCTCTCAAACCACATCCTCGCCCTCCCCGCGTCCTGCCTCAGCCCCTCCCCCCTCAAATACATCCGCCCCAGATACCCTGCCGCTGCCGCTGCGTACCCGACCGGGCCCGCGCCCTCCTCGCGCGCCGGAGAGCGGTGCGAGAGCGGGTCGACGGGGTCTGTGGGCCAGATCTGGCGGGCTATGCGCGAAAAGTAGTAGTATGCGCGTTCGAAATCGCGTGGAATGCGCGCGACGCCTTCGCCGCCTGAGGCGGCACCACCCTGTGCGGCGTAGATGCTGCCGTGGTAGAAGATCTTGCCGAGACGGAAGGCAAAGTCGGTTTCGCCGCGGTCGGCTTGGAACTGTTTTGGGTTTCGTTAGAGACGGAGACGGAGACGAAAACAGAGACAGAGACAGAGTGCGGTGTAGATGAGGAAGAAAGCGTACGATGTAGTACTCGAGGATGTCTTCCCAGGTTTCTCCCGCGGCGTGCGCGCGGAAAGCTCGGATGGCAGGTCGTTGGCCGTTCATTCCTGTCGAGGCGACGCTGGCGCCGGGACCATACACGCCTCCATCCATGTCCGACAATCGTGTAGGTGTGAGCGGAAGCGTTCGTCCCCCAGGAGGACCAGACATGAACTTTGCCATAGCTACGGTTCGGGTATTAGCCTAGAGTTGGGAGGACTTCTGAAAGGCTGGAGAAAGACGTACTCTGTTCAGCAGCCTGTTCATACCACTCCAAAGCGCGTCCACAGTCCTCGATGGCGCCGATCCCAGACCAATACCTGTAGCCCAGCGTCATCTGTGCACCTTTATCTCCTCCATGGGCAGCAAAAGTGTAGTAGAGCTGAGCTTTGGCCTGGTCTACGGGGACGACGTCATGGTACCCAGTGGCATGCATGAACGCGACGAGTGCTTGTGCCGTTGCGTTTCCCGTCGAAGCGGCATGCGAATCGAAGGCATCGTAGGCAAGTGCAGGATTAGCTCTAAAATTCGGAGTTGGCGGGAACTGGATGAACAAAGCCAGGTAATGAGCGTGTATCTTTGACCAGAAAAAAAAAAAACAAGAGAAGATACTGACTAAAGTGATCCTTCCAAGCGTATACAACGCGTCCATGTTCCCTAGATCAGCAGCGTGCTGTAAAAGATCCACGACCTTGATCGCCTTCCTCGTCATCTCCTCGTCCCGTCTTCGGGCTCTGTACTCCTTCCTCTCCGTCCTGGCCATCAATATCTTCGGTGGCCATACCTTCTGGAACAACTTGATGCCGATACGGATCGCGCTAGAGAAGGGGCCTTGGCCTTGAGCATTGAGGATCACGGAGAGGAGGGAGTTGGAGTGCGGAGTGGTGGACGGCCAGGAGGATATTGGGGCGTTGGAGGGTTGGGAACTTGGGAGAGAGGTTAGGGTGGCGAGGGTGGAGAGAGCTTGTTTATATGCCCGGGCAGCTGGAGAAAATGGGATGATTGTTAGGTATAGCAAAGATCTACTGTGATTGACACTGACCCTCTGCCTCCGTATCAATCTCGGCTTCTGGCTGTAAACACATATCCGTCAGTTCTGATACCACAAGAATATTGTGTGAAGGGAAATTGTGGCCCAGGCAGGATAAAGCACCACGGTGAAAAGCGTTATGAGTCTATAACTCCATATTCTTTCCAGAAGCTCTTGGTGCAGCGATCATCATACTATTTTGTCTCTCCACCCGAATTGAACAGGGGCTGTCCAGTTGTTAAAGGTGATGATGCTTGCGCGTTAAGGTTAGGGTTACACGTTGGCCACCTTACGCCACTCATGATGCGCCGCCACGTAGAACTGCCCACTCCAATAATCTTGATACCACAACCACCAACCACCCAATAAATCATAAACAAGGCAGAAGTTGCTCACCTTTCCCTCAAGAGTAGTCTGAGACTCAGAGGTGGACGCCGCACCAGTAGCAAGGCCCGTGGTCGTCTATACTGTACATTAAGGCGAGAAGTAGTCAAACTTGAAGGATATTATCGTACCTCTGGTTCTGCCGGTTGTTCTAGAGTAGCCCCAGCTACTGCTGCTAGTGCAATAAGACCAAAGGCGAGCCACGTTGCTTTCCTGGTGCGCGCATTGCGCTTCGCCGTCATTGAAACGTGAACTTGCCGGATGTATGACCCAGTAAATATTTAAGACCGTGTAGCCTGCAGAGCACAAAAACAGGCTTATATAGGTCGCCTTATTATGTCCAAGAATGAGTAGAGCACCGAGTTGTGGGGGTAGAACGCGACCTGCGGTGAGAGGGGAAGTTTCGATGACCGAGCGGCAGCCACACGAGTTTACTTTACACGTCGCGTCGGGCCACGTGAGTTTATCGCATCTGATGTTCACTGGATCGACGCCACTCGTCTTCGCTTTTCTTTCACAGCAACCACCACATCGATGGATCCGGACAGATTTACTACTCTACCCCCAGAAATGCTCCTCGAAATCGCCAATTATGTAGAAGAAGAAGGCGGCTCCTTCGAATTCCCTTGCTTGGCCACACTAGCCCTCTCCCAAACCTGCAGAACCCTTAACGCCTTACTCGAGCCTTTCCTCCAACGACCTCATTCCCCGAATGTCCTGCTCGACATTCCTTCTGATTATCATATTAATTTGCACAAGGCTGGCCTGTGTCGCAGCCGCAGAATGAAATTTGAGGCGTATGCGAGCCCCGACGTATACTTTCATTCTGTTCGTTGGCTTCAGCTAGATTTCTCGCAGGGAGGTGCAAGCCAGAGATTTTGGCAGGCTCTCGGTGAATATCAGCTCGATGATGATGAGCCTCTGATCTCTTCGTGTAGCGATTGCGATTTCATGACGAGAAACCTCGTTCACCATCTGCAAGGCCCTGCGCCACTCCAGCGCCTCAAAGGATTGTCCCTCGGCCTACCTAACTCAGATAACAATGACTTCCTTCAATCATCGGTAGACATCATCGAGAAACTCTTCCGGTGCCCAAAGCTCAGATTCCTCTATATCACGGACGTATCTGAATGGAGCCCATTGGTCTATATGCCCGAAGTACCGGAACATCTCATAGTATCCCTGGACGTGGCAGCCTTCGCGAGGGAAGGCAGGATGGAGATGTACTATAATCTCGTTCCACATCCCGTTTCGATTAAGGTCGAGCTTTTTCAAGCCCATGAATGGCCGATAGAATGGAATGAATCCATTCGGAGATTTCATCTTCACGGGGGAAATGAAGCCTCCCAGTTACTGGCCTTTCTGAGGGTAAGCTTCATGCTGAGGGCGTCTTTTTCTGATACAACTATTGGCTGACTCACAATCTGCAGGGAGTTGCCGATGCCGAGGAGTTCAGAACCAACGGCCTCTATTTGGACCAAGATATCATCTGCAAAATCATCGCACGATCTGGCTGCTGGGAGATGATCGTCGATTTCGATACCAAATCCCTGACGTTCACTTTCGATGAGCCAAGCGATACCAGTGGATATGATTATTTGGAAGATGATTCCGATCCTGAGGAGGAGACGAAGAAGGTAAAAGAGCCGGAGGAAGGGTTTCATATAATAGAGCTCTCTCCCCGCATCCTTCAGATCATGCCGGACGTTCAGATACTTCGCCTGCGTCTCGATGGTCGATGCGAGGAAAAGGAATATGAGAAGAAATTCGGGATGGACGACGCTGATATTGTACGTGTCTCCGCACATCCGTCTTGACTCGATAAATGGTCATCATCTACATACTCTACCTCGCAGATCGCACTCATCCAACACCTGGGCTCCCTCCGATCCTTACGCAAACTCGAAGTTGACCTCGAATACCCCTACAACTTCAGCGTAAAGCGTCGTTTCGTCTGGCTCGAAGGAGACGCTAAGATGATCGCTCAGGCTGCCTCACCCTCATTGACGGAAGTAACGCTATCATACCTCAGTCATGCTCCTGTTAAAGAAGAGAACCACAAGCTGGATCGCATAATGTCCTCGTGGAAAGTAAGCCGTTATGGAGACAGCTTGTGGCTCGATAAGATGGTATGTCATCTGTCGATAACCGATATATTCACGACCACCGAAACTAATAGATCTCTTAGATGCCAAGTTTGCTTGGAGGGCGTTGGCAGAAGTTCTGACCGAGCGGCCAATGAGCGTTAGTGAAAAGTTCCAAGTTTTCACTAACATATACGCCCTGATGATGCCTTTACATCTAGATTCCCTATTTATCAACTGGGACGAAATATAGAACTGCCCTCAGGTAGAATGGAAAGGATCGGCTGTCGCTTCTCCGAAGTTGAGGATGAGTACAGCTATATTTATGAGAGAAGGAGATCGGATAGGCGATTTGCTGGATTGTTTCTGAAATTTCTGTCCTTCTAGAGTCTTTGACGCAAGCACACGTAGATTGATTATGCAATGATTCACTCTCGACGTGCTTCGGATGCGTTCCCTGAGCACAGGATGGTCTGTGACGAAGTTCCAAGCGTCACCTTCGCGAGTACGGCACCCGTAGAGCGGTGTCATAATTTCAATTTCGGTCTCGCCTCGACCGTTGTTCCATCCTTTGTTCATTTTCCCAGTGAGATAGATGCCACGGCGGACATCAAGCTCATACTTGTAAGATCTTCGAGCATGTTTAGTATAGCCGATATCGATGCTAGGGCCTTTGAGACGATCGAGAGCCTTGACGACACGATGCCTCCTATTTCCAACCGAAGAACAATTGGACGACCTGTTCCAGACGGTGTCACTGTGTCTATCTCGAAACGGCCACCACAAGATATTGACACATTCGTAGAACCTGAAGTTGAAGTTGAAGAACGCAAGATGATTCCTGAGTAATTGATACATATTGACGTGCCTCTGCTGCTGTCTGACTTTTCATTTGCTCTATTTTTCGTGTTTTGTTTTGTTTTGTTTTGCATCTGTCAGTACGGAACGTGCCCGTGAATTGATCGAGGCGTGGCAGCAGGAGTACGAAGGCGGCGCCCTGGACAACTTCTTGGAAGCAATAAAGTGGTACGAATCGAATTATCGACCCAAAATCCACTACGGCCGTACGATCTCCATATTGCAGTCGAGTGGCACAGGCAAGTCGCGACTGGTTGATCAGCTTGCCTCGGTGGTACGTCCCGCAATTTTTTTTCGGCAACCTCTGTCAAGACGTTATGCAGACGCTGAACGTAGGTGTTCCACAGCATCCTGTACTCAGTGTAGTCTTCCGAAAGACGGATGACGTAACAGAAGGCTGGCCACCTAGGGATCGTCCAGTTCTGGAGTTCTTTGAATATCACTCTAAAGACGATGACACTGTTCCGCTTCGAGTCAAAGAGATAAGGGTAAGTGGCTTCTATCTCTTTGTTCGACAGGCTCTTACTAGAGAAAACCATTTAACTTTCGATAGGGCGAGGAGATGTCTGCCGCATTCCTCGGAGCGATGATAGGAGCCGTTGCCGATAGAAAGGATATCTCGCTCATCAAGGGTGAAGGAACAAAGCTCAGCTACGGTCTCCCTGGAACCGCAGAGGGAGCGCGGCGACACGCATTCTTCGAAGTCGTTTGCGAAACTGCGGCGGCCATGCTTGACAAGGAAGATGCGTTCCTTGTTCAGAAGCGTAGGTGGATCGAGTCACTCAGTTCCTCTCGGCGAGAGAGTGATCCCGACAAGGTGGACAAAGAATTGTCGAAACGCAGCCCTCAGTGGCATGCCGAGCTCTTTGCGAAGTTCTGCCAGCCAGCTTTCGATCGCTTGAGTGCCATACTTCAAGCCGCCGGCGAGACCAAGTTTTTCCTCGCATTGGACGAGTGCACCATTCTCGGATCTCCGCTACCGAATGAACGTGCGCCTTCCCGCAAAAGCTCCTTGATCGCTTTCCAACGGATCCTCAAAGCTGCGGAGCATATGACATCGCCTGTGTCTATCTTGTTTCTTACTCTCGACACTACTTCCTCTGCGTCCAAGCTGGCTCCTCAGGGCCCCCATGCTCCGTCGCGACGGCTTACCGTTGATCTAAAGCCGCTACCTCCTTTCACCTACCTGGATTTCAACCAACTCAAAGACCGCTTCAAGAGGCTCACAGCCTCATCATCGCTAGACATCGATAACCTGAAATATCTAGGTCGTCCAGTATGTTTCATCTTTCTCTCTTGTATTCTAGAGCGTTACGCTGAGACTACTTGACCGTCATAGCTGTGGTCGACGTTGACGGCATCCGAGGTTGTGACTTCGGCGAAGGAAAAGCTACTAGCCGCTGAAGAATTCACTCCAGTGGACCTGAAGCAAGTCCTGGCAGTGTTCGCATCCAGAGCATGCCTCAAACTGGCGGGGAACGACGCTGCCAATCGGATCGCCGCTGACGCCGTCAGCCATCACATGCGCATCCTCGTCTCCGTGGCGAAAACCACCCTCATCACCACTGTTCCCTCCGAACCTATACTCTCCATCGCCGCCGCCGTCGCGCTCACGGAGTCCTTTCAAACCTACCACAATGCCCTCAACACGTTATGCGCCGAGTTGGAACGCCAGAATTCCGTCCTCGCACCTGGAGAGGCGGGGGAGCTCTGCTGCCGTCTTCTCCTTCTCCTCGCTCGCGATAAGGCTACTACCGACTTGCATGGGACCTTCGTCAGAGAGAAGCCGGAGATGGACAGGTGCTATATCCACGCCATTGGATTGCACGACTTCTTATCGACCCTTCTCGGACAGACTCGGTATGGATTTCAGGCGCAGGAAGAGGAGGAGTCAGCGGAGGATCTTCGGTCGCTCTGCGAGGGCTTGTCTATCAACTTCACTCACTTCATACAATACGAGAAGACGATCGAGGAGCTCACTCTGGACGAGCTCGAGCACGCCTGGTTCTCTGGCGCCGCCATCCAATGCTGCCATAATCAGCCGGTCATCGACGTTCTCATTATTTACTACAGCGGGCCTATCGACGAGCCGTTCAACCGGTCAGATCTCGGAGTAGTCGGCATTCAGGTCAAAGCCAGAACCAAGCAGGCGTATGGTGCGGTTGGAGAAGGCTTGACCGTCCCACCCATTCTTTACCCGAGCGCCAACAAGTCCGAGGCCAGAAAGGTCAAACATCCGACAATCGTCATGCTCATGGACCTGAGCACCGAGAAGACGTTCCAACAGAACGGAAGGATGAAATTTTTGGTAAAGAGAGCGGCAGAGAAAACGATCAGCTGGTCGGGGTACATCGCGGACGAGCCTGAGAACATCTTGATCAACGTTCGCGGATGCTCGGCGTTGCAATATCCTGTTCTAGATCGATTCTCGGAGCCGTTTGGGAAGATTTTCAAGACCATGAAGGCAAGTCAGGTACCGGGGGTTTTGGGTGACCTAGAGGAGCGGATGATGGTTGCGATGTACCCAATCGAAAGGCTGTCGAAAGTGCAAGAGGCTGAGCAAGAGAAGAAGAAGAAGGAGAAAGCGGCGGAGAATAGGAAGAACAAGAAGGCCGCGAATGCTGCGAAGAATACGAAGGACGCGAAGAGCACCAAGAGCGGGAGGAGCAAGGCTCGGGCGCCGAAAGATGATATACAGAGTGAAGAAAGCTTCCCAGATCTTACAGACATGCGAGAGGCATTGTCGAGTGCGGACTCAGAGTAAGTCCTCTGTGATCTGGCTGCTTCGATGAGTACGACTTTCTTCCATTATGGCATCGTAGTAGTATATTGTTCCTTGTTTGTGCCATGTCATATAGTTGCATGAGAATCATCTATCCTCCGTAATTCATGATTACCGGTTGTCATAGGCTGCAGTTGGGTGAAGAAAACCGAATGGGTGTTTCTTAGGCCTATCATACACAAGATATGGCTGTTTTCTCGGGAGCGGTTTTATATCGCATAGAAGGCTCGCAGCAATGAAGACGTATCCAAGTTATGTGGAGCACATCATGTCTTTCCGAGATGTACTCCTCAAGAATGGCAAGGACGACTTCTTCCGCGATAGAATACACCTTAGGTCAGAAGACACTGTCAAATCCTCATGCAGGAGAAACATTACATACGTAACCTTCTTTTAAATTTGATTCAAGGTCTACACGAGAAAGTGTCGCCGTTTAACGTCACTATCGAGTTTGGAAAGAACGCTTGGTGCGATGACTTCAATACACGTAACTACGTTATCGCCGTTCGTAGGGTACAGCGAAACCGTGACGGTATGGACATCGATGTACGATGTATAGGCTTCGTCAGCGGAACGCAACAAGCCGTCAACACTCGAGGAAGTATCCGTTAGAGAAAGAGCTGCGAGCCGCAAGCGATGACGATGACAGTGAAAGAGGGAAGGAATGAGTTTATTCTTCTTCTGTAACCGTCCGTATACGTCAACAGGGGATAACAAGGACACCAAGTGAGCACCACGACCGATCCTACAAATAAACAGAACAAGAAGAAGGCACACGCATCGCAGATCAAAACCTCTCACCCGTTGATTCGTAGGACTTACAACGTTTCACCCACTCTTCTATTCTTCTGGTCTGCGCCACTCAGCGCACGGAACCCCCAACTCTTATCCTCACACACGTTTACATCCTCCCATCAATACTCTCCCCCTCACGATCCCTTGCTCCCATCCCAAGCAAGTCGTGCTATCGTGGTGCTCGACTCTAGGAAGATGAAACTGGGGCCCGTGATTCTTGTCATAGACGATATCGGACGTGACTTGCTCAGCGTATTCGATGTCCATGGGGCCGATGGCGGGGACAGATAGACTAAAGGAGACAGATCCGGACCGAGACTCCTGCTGGAAGGCAATTGCGTTCCATGCAGACGTCTTTGCATGGCCGTAGACGAGCAGTAAGTCATCGCAAAAACTGCGAATGATATCCCAGCGAGGACATGAACTCCCTCCGTCCAGGTCCCCCAGAGTGGTCGGGCGTAGTCTGTGAAGCGCGACACGGGCTGAGCCCACCGATCCTCCCCAGGCGTTTGCATGAACAGCGCTGCCCCGGAATCTCGGCTGGAACTGAACTCAAATTTACCTCCCAATCCGAGAGGACTTCATGAACCAGCAGAGATCAGACTTGGTGAGTAGTGAGTTGTAGGGTGAGATCCACGTACATATTGGGAGGCTGAAGCTCTGCGCCTGCCTTTGACCTCTTGATTAGCGTGTTGTGCGATGCTATTGGCCCATCCAGATGTGCGTGAATGCGAACTGCTGACGTGGAGATCTCTAGTGGCTGATGTCCACTCGGTACGCCATCGGGATTGGGCTCGAAGAGTATGCTCTCCCCGGGGTGGAAATATTCAGATGGCCCACCAGACCCGGGGGAAGGCGAGTTCAGACGGGAGAGACTGCGACTCAGTGACGGATCCCTGGAGTCCTCGAAGAGGACGTTGAATACTCGCTCAAACCTTCCATCACTAGGGCAAGGTCCATTTAGGATACACCACGAACGCATATACAACGATCATAGAAAGAACGTACGAGATATATCCGACATCTCCAATGTGGACTTCTCTGCCATCGCCATTAGGCTCTGCATGCCATATAGGTAGACCATAAGCACGAGGCGTTAACTCGCGTTCTACAACTGCCAGTAGGAGAGGGGCATGAAAAATGTAGAGAAACGCGGTGGGTCTAACCTAGAAGACGCTACACGTCTTGAGAGTGTTGCTTTCTGTACAATTTAAAGAGGCCCACGGGCGCAGCTTCCCTCGAATGCTTATGTGGAAGGCTGTACCAAATGCACTGCTTGTTGTACAAGATCAGTAGGACGGGATGACATCGAGCGCACGAGACTTCTAGTCTACACGAGGAGCCTGATGAACATCCTCCATTACGATGCGAGTGCAAAGAAACATAGCAAGACGAACGGTTAAGGTATGGAGTAGGTTGACTCGCAGCAAAGCAATGGGGTTGTAATATTGCCCGTGAGCTAAGGGCCTTACAAACCGTGTAAGATGCGAACACACAACAGGTCCGGGGTGCATGATTTGGAGATGTGAACGTGTCAGGCTATGTGGGCGTATCCGACTATACAGACGGAGGAAATGACGTTTAGAAGGGGCCTGGAACGCTCTTTCTGGTCGCAGTTTGAGATCGACAAGGCGGAGTGCTGCTCTGCTGTAGTCTCACAAAGGAGTGGTTCGATGTGGACAGTCTACACGTGAACGGACTCGGGAGCTCGCCGTGCCATGCACAGGTCGTCCGAGGCCCTGTGGCAAAAAAGTGGACGACGGCCCATATCGCCCCGGAACCAGGATGATACAATAATGCAACAAATTTTGCGCACGCAGTGAGCTTGGAATCGAGCGGCTTGGCGTGCTCGATAGAAGGATGTGAGCAAGTCAGAGTTTGGGCCACATCGTCTTGTGCACCATAAGTACTGGTGCTCACGTTCGAAAGGTACCAGACCGTATATCACTCACCTGTACTCATGACCCACTCGAGCACGCAAAAAGGAACGATCACGCCAGCGCAATGCCGGAAAGAGCCGACGCGAGTGTGTCCATGATGGTCATGGTCCCATCTTCCCCCTCCTCCTTCGCCATCTGGATATGCGTCATCTGAGACGCGAGCGTATCGATTTTGTCATCTAGAGTGATCGCTGCCCCGTTCGCCAACGAAACACTCGCAAGTGCGCTCTCCAAAATCTCCCTCACGGCCTGGTGTTTCCGGGCCTCCTCGAGATATACTTGGTTCATCAGACCAGAAACGAGAAGTTTGTTGTCGTCGAGCCATTGGCCCCATACAGCGTAGTCGGACTCCAGCAGCCGGAAGACGTCTTCCTCATAGACGTTTGAGAAATCGATATCAGATCTCGAGAGGATCGATCGAATCTTTGGGAGAATGCTTGAAGGGAGGGGATCCGTCAGTGTTAGGAAGTCGTCGCTGGTGAAAGTGCGGGCAGGGAAGGTTGTTGGTCCATGTTGAAAAGGTTCAGGAGAGATCGGAGACGACGTGCCCGATCTGACTCTGATATGCTCGTGCTCTTCCTCAGAGGGTGAGTACCTAGACCATGACAGGCTGCCATCATCGTCTTGCGGGTAGTGGTTAGGCTCGGAGGGGATTGGGAAATTGGCGTTCATGGGTACAGGTAGTTGGGGTCAGGGGAAACAGAGGGTTGACAAAATACGCCATACCCACACTCGCCAGGCACGGACAACTTACGCCACCTTCCGTTTTGGGCACATCTGCGTCTGCTTGTCGAGGACTTATCCCGCCCAAGAGAAACATTCTTTTTTCGTTTATTCTCGCATTAAATCTCGGTGGATCGCGCGCTCGAGCTAGGTTCCGCGTCAGCGGAGACCTAGCTCGAGCGTGCGATCCACCGGTTAGGTTGGTTAGGTTCTGGTTAGGTTCTGGTTAGGTTCTGGTTAGGTTAGTTAGGTTCAGTTAGGTTCAGTTAGGGTTAGGTTCCCCCCGAGCGTTAGCGAGGCCGAACATAAAAAAATGCCCGAACGAGTCTTTAGTGTGCCCACCTGAGAGGATCCGGCTTGGGGGACCCCCCGAGCGCAGCGAGGGAGGGGAGGATCCTCGAACGGTGGGTACTCTTCGGGCGCAACAACGAAAAAATTGTTAAACAATATCTCAGTCTTCCCAAACTGGTGACAGAAATGAGCAGTTAAATTCTCTGATAAGTGTCGATGTTGCCCACTGTGGCGCATCTCGTCGTGTGCCTGGTGCCCCTGCCGAGTATGACTGTGGCGTATGTTGTATATACTCGGGGAAACAAAGGGAAATGTTATGTGAGGTTCGAAGCTTCCGGGTGCCTGGTTTATATAGACAAGGAAGCGTAAGTCCCGTGACTGTAAAATGAAATCAGCGGTGACTGGGCCACGTACCAGTACAGGAGAGAAGCAAAAGACGGGCTAGGGGGACCTTCTTATGCATTTCGATGATGTCTTCTCTGAATTTCCTCTGAGTGCCATCCTTATCAAACAAAGCATCGTAGAGTACGGTGGGTGGAACATCGACATGGACTTGAAGCTGCTCAGGACCGAAAGGAGTGAACAGGAATTTGACGCATGCGCTGAAATTCTGTAGAGCCTTTACAATCTGATCTGTAGTAGCCGTTAGCACTAACGTGATTGGCTTCCAGTTGTTGGGAAGGCTCTGAAGCCAAGCCTCGACTTCGCTTTCTCCCTCCAACGCCGACTCGAAGGATTGATCTGCGGAATCTGCTGGCATGGGGTGAGAGATGGTGTTGAGCGGAGGCGTTACGCTTGAGAGAGGTGTTATAGTGTGAGGGGAAGAACGAAAGGATAGGGACAGCGTCGCAACTGAAACGAGACCTTATATACACGTGTGTCAGTTTATTGTTCTGCCCCATCAGGCAGATCAACACGATCAATATCGTCAGCGTGGGAGTGTTCCCACGCCCGCTTTCCCGGATTCCTCTCGGACTCTGCTTTACCAACGGTGTCTCATTGTGAGTCCTGACAGAACTAAAGAAGCTCCACATGCTGTGGCACTGACCATACTTATTTACTCTAACAGCTGGCCCTGTTATTTAAGCCGTAGTTTGCCAGTGGGCCCATCAGCTGTCGCTGGTATAGTACTATGTCTGTTCCGCTTACTTGTATACTCTTCTTCAACAATCTCCTGTAACTATTGTGAACACATCGCGGCTTCTGGGACAGTTACTCTGATACGGGCCTGTTCAGCATGACGTAGCCTCGAAGCCTCGAGGTGGTGTTGCTGGAGGAATTGATCTTCTTTCCTTTCTTCCTCGAACGAGGGCTACAAAGATTATTTGATGTCTTTTTGTTATCGAGCTGTTGTTTCCGGTAGGCGCTGTGGCCCTCGCTTCTTTGGTTCCGGAAAGCGTACGAGTACAGTAGATATCGCACGTTGTCCTAGTTGTCTTCCTTCCTCTAGTTGTGACACTGTTTTTAGAATACAGCATCATGTTGATTTGGTGTATGAAGACTGTGGAGAACAACGATTGGTAGACAACAGCGCTGTTCAGGAGGACAGTCACCCTCCGGTGTTCAATTTCGCTATCAAGGTCCAGGCCGGGTATGTATACGACTCACCAGGACCCCTGCATATGCCGGAGGAGGTCCCATCCGAAATCCCCAAATTTTGCCCTTTTTGTCGCACGATTTTGGGCCCATTTTTGTCCGCATGACGATGGTACCTCAGGATTTTGACCATTAGAGAGCGTGAAATCGCCCAAAATCGAAACTCAAAAGCCGAGACTGGAACGGTTGAGACTCCAAACTCAGTGGTGAGCGCTCGTGCCCGTGGAGCGAAACTCAATCGAGTTTCGCTCCAATCTCCGAGTTTAGATTCTCGCGGATTTCACGCTCTCTTTTGTCCAAGCGATGTCGTCCTCGTTGGGGGTTTAAATCTCGAAAGAAAAAGGTGATGTACACTGTCAATAATTCTCACAAAGGATGCTTGAACTGACAGACTTCTGAAATTTCAGCCTTTTTTGAAGGCTGACTGCACGAAGAAATATGGAGGATGAGAGAGTCGTATGCGAATCGTAGGACCACTGGCGGTAGCGGAAGGAGGGTCAGTACTGATGAAGGGATGTGATGATGTGTGGTGAGAACGACGAGTTGAACTTGAAGGTGTGCACTCAGGAGGACGTACTTTTTTTCGATTATTTTCATTCCTGGCTTTCCGTGTTTGCCGCCCGCGTTAGTTTTAAACACCTTCAACCTGGCCTGCACTGTTAGGTTTGAGTCTATCTGGCCTGTATCAATATGTATTGATATTGGTGCTCGTACACGCTCGACAGAGCGATGCACGGCTTTTTATTCTTTGTGTCAATAATCATGATTTTAGTTCTACGAGTCGGAGACACAGACCCAGCCTGAGTGGTGTTCCAATATAAAAGCATGAACCCCGTCCGAATTGAACTTTTCGCCTCCCTTTGACCCAGTTGCTTATTTAATTTAAAGATCAGCCTTCAGCGATCCAGCCTAAGAAAAAGAATCGAAAATAGTCTCACAAAAGGAGTTCGCGAACAAACAGACACTGTTTTTGGAAGGCCGAGCCGAAGGTTCCGCGCTTATTTCTTGACGCGACTTTGCACTTCTCCGTTCACGGTCACCCTCCAGTCGTCCTTCCTCAGCCTCTTGTTTTCTTCACGCTCCTGTCCACATACCTCAGCTCTTCGTTATCTGTACCGCTTGTCTCTCTTTCGAATCAATACACTGCGGCCTCTTGGTTGAGACTCAGCCAACCTTATCATAACAAAGGCTAAAACCATCTGACAATCTTGTTTCACGCCACAACTCCCTCCTGAAACCGAGAAGGACGCGACAATGGATATACAAGACCTCGAGCCCAAAATCCGTGCCATCCTCACCGCACCGGGCACTGACCTGAGCACCATCAGTGCCAAACGCGTCCGCAAACAGCTCCTCGAGGACGGCACCGCGCCGTCCGCGTTCATCCGCGAGCGCAAACACGAGGTCGACGAATTCATCGGCGACGTCTTTCGCCGAGTCTCCGAAGAAGTCGGTGAAGCTGGCGGCGGCGATGAAGACGAGGTAGACGACGATGTAGGTGACAAACGCAAGCGGGACGAGGAGTATGAGGAAGGAGGACTGGACGGTCAGGAGGAGGAAGAGGAGGTAGAGAGGCCGAAGAAGAAGACGAAGGCGAGTAAGGCTGAGATTGACGATGAGGAGTACGCGAGGCAGCTTTCGAATGAGTTGAATGGACGAGGGCGAGCATCGCGTTCCGGCGCGTCTTCCGGTTCTACGCGTGGGCGAGGACGAGGACGTGGTGGGGCGAATGGCGCGAAGCGTGGTCGCAAGGTCAAGAGTGCGGAGACTGTCAACTCTGGCGATGAAGGCGAGAATGGGGAGCCAAAGAAGAAGAGAGGTGGAGGATTTAAGAAGGTACGACCATCCTGCCGTTCGCTGGCTACAATCAATTGACATACACATCTCTTTACGACCACAGGAGTATCTCCTTAGGTATGTCGATAACCCTGTCTCTACATCATTTCACAGCTCACGCCTTATTATCTTTATGTAGTGGGCCATTGCAAGCGGTCCTGCAAGTTGACAAGATGGCAAGGCCGCAAGTCGTCAAACAACTCTGGGTTTACATCAAGGCGAACGACATGCAAAACCCCGCAAACAAAAAGGAAATCGTGTGTGACGAAAAGTTCCGTGCGATGTTCAACGTCGACAAGATTGACATGTTCAAGATGAACAAGGTTCTCAGCGAGTGCGTCTTTTCACCTTACTCTACAGCTGCATTCGCAGTGCTCAGCCGACTTCCTACGCGTAGGCACCTCCACGAGCCCGAGCCTTAGGCAGAGCCATGTACTTCCCCTGGACTCAGTCTGTGGCGTCTATTCGCAAACCCAAACCAACATCCCCTGTGTCACATCCCTCATCTCTTCTCATGCATCTCCTCAAACCATCAAAATCATCATTTTCTTGTTCATCGGTGGCTCGGCATGGTTCCACCCTTTCAAGCTCTGTTCTCGGTTCAGCGTTCGTCCCTGGCTGCAATTTCCTCTTTTTGTTCAATATCGTCTATATCGTTCCCCGTCTGTCTATATCTTCAATGTGTTTCTAATGATGCAGAATAACTGCGCGTATTTAAATACAGCGATTATCATCCTTTCCCCTCCCCTATCCCTATCCTTCCCGGTCGTTACCGCATTATTTTCCCCTTGTTGAGTCTGTACAAGCATTTCAATATCATCGTTTTGGGTCTCGGGCATACATAGAACCAGCTGGGTTGGGTCACGGTGTCCAGTATAGGCGTATGGAATTGGAAGGTCAAAGAAAAGGTAGTGAGATGAGGTGGTGTACAAAGCGTGCAGGATGCATATGTGTGGTATTCTACAGTTTTGTCAAAGGTAAGAGATATATTAATAAGATGATGAGAGGACGGTATGCAATGGAAGAAATGTAGGGGCAAGTATAAGACGGCAGCGACAGCGAGCGAAGGACAAAAAAGCGAAGCAAAACCCCGGTCAGTCGCGTGAACTTGTCCAATAAATGAACCGTAGCCTTAATCGCAAAAGAAACAAGAAGCATCACAGAAAGGGGACCCAATACTTCAACCACATAAACCCCCCACCACGTCATACCAACTCACCCTCTTGCACCCAAAGCACGACGTCAACTCTTCAGTTCAACGTCTGCAACTTCGTCCACTCCTTATCATTCGCGTTGAAATCCACCCCCTTTTTCCTCCACCACTCCCTCGCCTTCTCCCCTCCCCCAATCGCATCCTCTAACGCCTCCTCGATATCGCACATCTTATACTGCACCTTCAACCGACTCTGATCCCACCACTCCAACGACTCAGGCTTATTATGCCTCGTCGCGCCCACCAACACCTCCTGGTCATAAAACAGCTGCAACCCACTATTCAACCACCACTCCAGCACCTCCACCCTCCCATGACAACTAGCATGATACATCGCCTGCTTATCATACGTATAATCCAGCCCCGAATGCGCCCACCACTGCAACGCGGAAACGTGCCCCGCCGCGCTTGCGGTGTCCATGACCCTCCCGACCTTAAGCTGAATATTCTCCGCGTGCGACCTCCACCAGTCCAGGACGTGGAGCTGATTCTTCGCGGACGCGTGTTCCAGCGCGGCTTCGGTGAACTCGAACGGCAGACTCGACGATTTGAGCCACCAATCCAACGAACCGACCTGTCCCGCTTTGGAAGCTCCGTCTATGGCGTATTTGATGGATTTTATTTCCGAGACGACGAAGTCGTTGGGATACTCTTTCCGCATCCCGGCCCACCACTCTAGCACCTCTACCCTTCCGAACTCGCTCGCCACGAGCAGGATCAAGTCATGTTTGTACATTTTTCGGAATAACGATCGATGATTGAGGAAGAGGTAGGTGAGGATATGTGTATACGCGAAGCGGATCGTGAGTCGTGCTCCGATACTGGTGGGTGGGTTGAGTGACGGTTGGGAGGATACGAGGAGGGGAAGGTAGCCTGTGAGGAGGGCGTTGTCTGTCGGCGAGGCTCGAGTCCAGTATTGCGGGCGTTGTTCGAGAGAGGTGGGGAGACCGACGGCTTTGGTGAGCTCCCAGTCGCCGATGTGATCCATGATTTCGGCCATCAACTCGACAGGTAGAGGGGGGAGGCGACGTTGTCGGACCTGGTGCGTCGAGGCGTTAGTGCCTAACCGTGGCCGGCTGGATGTTTTTGGAGCCTCGATGACTGAGGGTGCGTGTGCGCCGTTGGCCTGACTATACTCGGTCGCGGACGGTGAAGGGGATGGGGTGGTGATACCGTAGAGGTTGAGATCGTGGTCCGCGAGGCGCGAGGCAAGATCTATATCCGAGCCAGTAGACGATAGCGACCTGATAGAGCAGAACAGACGTAGTTGCTCGTAGGTGAGACGTCGGTAAGCGTTATGTATGAGCTCGGCAGATGAGCCTGGCACAATACATGAGGATGATTGACCATTCGATTTCGTGCTCATTGGAGACGATTGCTACGAAAACAAGAGAAGATGAGTATGAGTACGAGGAGTGTAGTGACCGAAAGCTGCATTATATTGGAGTCTGCACGAATACAACAACAGCAGGACAACAGGACCCGACAACCGGACAGTGCCACTTGGCAGCAACACTTTTACCACTGGCGGCTCACTACCGATACACGTTCGTCCCGCAAAAACGACCCATCCCTCCCTCCCTCCCGCTCACCGACTACATCACAGATCTGCCGGACTATGAAACAAGAGTGAATGCGGAAGATTGCGACGAACCTGAGACACTAGACCCATGGAGGTTTCCCCGTCCCACTCACTGGATGAGCAGTATACGGTGGGTGATGGTGTTATAGGGCTGGCAGTGTTTGAGCTTGGATACTTTGATGATGTAGGTGTCTGTAGCAAAGACGCGTCAGTGGCTTGTAGCGAGTAAGGACAGAAGTGGGAAGTCAAGGAGAAGAATCGGACAATCAGGCTCAATCGAGAAGGTGCTATACCCGGTGAAATACAGGTGCATCGGAAGGACGTCATATCAAGGGTATCACGTCGCTAAGAACAGTTGAATGCGTAAAAGGCCTGCTTCTGTGCATCGTTGAAGAGGAGCGGCAGCGCAAAGGTACGCTATGGGCCACATCTGGGCCGACCCATGGGGCTTTGCGAACGAGAAGATGCGGCCGAGACCAACCTGTAGAGTATATGGGGATTGAAGAAGAGTTGGGGTAAAACACACCTGAGCCAAATCTCCTATGCATCTGCAGCACTCAGTACACTTTGTCCTCATCAACCCCACATGCATCTGCATGAACTGACCGCGAGCGTGAGGGGCCACAGTGAGCTTCCCTTGATGCCAGAAAGATTGGGACAAAAAAATAGATTAGAAGAACGGAGCTACAGAAGGATTAGGGCGATTCAGGTGTTTTGATAAACTATCAGGGCGAGCAAAGGGAGAGAGAGCTAGGAGTGGTGGTGGTTGAGAGAGAAATGCGTTCTGCATGCGACGACCGCGACTGGAAATTGCGGGGGCAAATTAGGTAAGCGCTGTGGCGTCCACTGACGTTTGTACCATTCTTGTCCAGCAACACTACGTTTGCCAGGCTACGTCGACTGTAGTCCACTAGCAGCCATATCGTAGCCCTCTAGGTTTTACTACGCTACGGCGTCGGCTTCAATTCTTCCTTTCTCCTCCCTTCACGTTCCGAAAGAACCGAAACAACTCTATGTTTAGGCCTTTACTCTCTGGGCCTTCTCGCAGAATATGCAGCTCTCTCCGCACACGACCAAGTCAGAATTATCTCCAACACAGACATTACAACATCATGACAGGAAACATGTCAAAGAAGACCAAGCCTCTCGACGTCAACTGTGGCCCACTTGTCTGGATAGACTGTGAGATGACTGGGTTGGACTACCAAACCGATACTATCCTCGAGATTGCGGTGCGCTTCTTTCTCTGCCTGTGCTCAACTAAGATACTGACTGCGTGCGTTTGTTGTATTGAATAGGTGCTGATCACCAACGGTGAACTCGACATCGTCGACGATGGCGTAGAGTTCGTGATCAAGAAAGACCGGGCTGTCATGGACAAGTATGTAATACCGTATAGTATACCTATAAACATACTGACATATGCAGCGATACAGCATGAACGAGTGGTGCATCAAACAACATGGTTTTGTAAGTTCCTTTTTGCCCTCAGGATTGACGCATTGCAACTCACGTACTGCCTTCTCCAGTCAGGACTGACCGAGAAATGCCTCGCTTCCCCCTTCACGTTAGACGTCGTACGAGATTCCGTCCTCCACTACATCAAGTCATGGATTCCGGACCAGCGCGTAGGTGTCCTCGCTGGCAACTCCGTGCATGCAGACAGAGCATTCCTAGCTCGCGAAATGCCAGAACTAGTAGACTGGCTTCATTATCGGTGCTTACATTCCTCTGCCCGTTCTTCTGCACCCGTTCCTAAGACATGACACGCAATATGGCCCATTCGTCTCACATTCAGTATAGTTGGTGAGCAGCTTCGGGTCCGATAAAATAAAATAGTTTGGCTTATGGAGATTGAACTTCGAATAGATGTCTCCTCAATCAAGGTATGACCCGCCTATTCTTCCTCGTGCCGAACATAATCTGATTGCATCATCGTAGGAACTACACAGACGATGGTACCCCACAAAATTCATCCCTCAAGAGCAATGGGGAGAGCAATCCTCACACCGGTACGCTCTCATTCCCTTGCCTCAACGTAGTAAAAGCACAACAACCAGACCTGACCCCAACCCTTGTGACTATCCTCCGCAGCGCCCTCGATGATATCAAGGCCTCAATACGAGGTTCGTTCATCCAACCTTGACTTCGTCTGTGCGCATGAGCGACCCGCTGACGGATCTATCCTTGACGTGGTTGGTAACATGCTCTATAGAGCTGAAATGGTACAAGGAGAACCTATTCCTTGCGCCTGAGGCTGCTGCGCCCATGCTTCGACGGCCTTGATCTCCACCTCTTACTCCAACTCATCGGTCTGTCGGTCATGGAACAACCGACACTGCTCTCTTCAGCACGATATTTAGGCCCATGGTCAATCCGAATGGGGATCGTAATTCTCCATACTCACTTGTGGCTTTCGATCCGTGTATTCTACTGTTTCCTCAGTTAACGAGGTTCACGGCGCGAGTCATGTCGATTTCGTGTGGTCGGTCGAGTCTATAATCGCGACCCCACCTAGACTCTTACAATTCACCCAATCGCATACACTCTTTTTAACCATCGCCTACCCAGCTTTTCACAAAGTGGCCAAGTATCCCCGACTCGACCAATCTTTTCAACACAACCAAAGCCCAAAATACAGGACTACCAACCTCCACACCGATCCCCGGCGTGCACACTCGCCGGACCGCCCTAATACTTTCATGCATGCCTCTTTCTCAAGCATCGACTCGGTACCGCTGCACTGTTCTCATCGCACATTTTCGTCCTTGTCCACGAGCAGTCCATCTCGCCACGCTACACTACCTCAGCTTTAACTAGCTCCTTGAGGCTCACGAACACCTTAATCTCCCGGCTCCCAAACTCTGAAAGGCATCACCACTTGCGCTAATCTGAGGCATTGACACGAATACAGGCGCATTGCTCGCGTGTTTCACTTACCGCTGTTTAGGTGTTGAAGTCGTAGTGGAGTTCAACTCACCACATATGGTTTGCAAAACCGCCTTTCACCCGCCCTATCCCTCTCCTTGTACTTTGACTTGCTTGGATACACGGAAGTGAAGATGGGAGCTAACGAGCACAGGGTTCAGAGTCTCTTAGGGCATCCACGATGAAAGCGCGGGTTTGGAAAGTGTGGCGCAATGTGGCGCAGCGTTTAAAAGCCGCATACCGTTCTACTCTGCCAGGGCGATAGCGTATCACAGAAACCGTGCTTTAATTTTTTTAACGGCGCTTTACAGTGCTTGAACTCGTCCAACATTCAACGGTCCCGTTGAACGTGCCCCACATTTTGGGAGCAGCGAGAGCAGGAGTAAGTCATTTTTCAATACGCAGCACCAACACTCAGCTCGAACTACTCCTACTACGCATAGCACGCGAGCTTACCATCGGCCAAGTCTCGGAATATATCCTATATTCGTTTGCTCAGTGACGACCGACCGCCGGCCCAAGCTACTAATCTAACCCAAACACTAAACCCCAAACGAGTTCATCATGTGAGTTTCCTCCTCCTTCAAGCCGGCTCCTCATCGGTCCTTCTACGGCTGGCATCCTCATTTTCTCCTCTCCAGAAGATCCTCTGGCTCGGTATCACCATACACCAGCCACAAAACACAGCGAAGCGGTACGCTCCTTCATCATGGGAACAAGACCCGCACAAATCCCACCTCCGCATATTTACCTTCCACTCACCGTCCGGCGTTTTACATCCGTGGGCGTGACCCGCATCGTCGGGGGTCTGCGTGAGAGCTTGCTCTCAAGATCTGAAGCTCCAAGCTCGAGAATGAGATGGGATAACTGATACCCAGCTCGCGAGATGTGATTATTGGAGGCGGGCGAGAGAGTGCGCGCTCAGGATGAGTCCGAGTGAGTGGAAAGACTGGCCGTAGGCTGTGGACTGTGTGAGTGGGGGCCGACACACTCACTGCGTACTGCTGGGTGTGATGTACGTATGAAAATCGATGCATACATATGGACACACGATTTACTCGACAACTCGCCAGGAAAATAAATCGGGGTAGAAGTGCAGCAAAACAATGAATAGCGGAAGAGTGAGCGCTGGCGAGCAGTCGATTCTTAGCCTATCAGACTTAAGAACAAGAACAAATGGAGGACGTAGGTAAAGATCGCAAATCGATAATAAAAACAAACACACGCTGGTGAAATATAACCCCACACCCCATCCCAATCGCGCCCGAATGATACCCAAGCAACGTGCACAGCGAGAGGCCAGAAAAAATGGGAACCTAGAAGTCCCATAGTGTACCCTGGGAGACCGATGGCCGAATGAGAATTAGTACACGGTCCCACCAGATATCGCACTCCAACGGCGAACAGAAAGAGGGTGCGGAGTAGTGGAATATGGGAAGAATGGAGTGTGAAGCTTGGGAGGAGATGGAGGGAGGGAAAGCAAACATGGCCGGAAGAATAGCACATATGAAGCTATTTCCCTCGTCGCGGTGAAGCAAAAAGAGAAAGAAGAAAAGGAGAGGAAAAAAGGAGGAAACAAGACGTACGAAAGCTGGTATGCCCGCCTGCTTACATCCCTCCATAAGGTCTGCATTGCCCTGGTAGTTCGACGTGATGAAAACGACCTCGGCATTGAAACTCTTATACGCGTCCTTCACAAGCTTCATCACATCTGGTCTCCCGCCCCTCTGTTTCGAGTCCCAGAGAGTCATCCGTTCTGGCTCGATACCCTTCTTGATCAGCCCAGAGATCGTAGGCCCGAACGTCTTTTCTTGTTCTGAGCCGATCCAGATGAGATACCAGTCTTTGCTCTGCAGACATGTTGAGAGGGCGGCGCCGAGACCGGTACCGGTGCATACTCTGATCCCGCGTTTGTAGAGCTTTGAGGTATTTGAGACGCCGGGGAATTTGAGTTGACGGGTCCAGACGTGTGTTGGGGGGTTGGTGACGAGGCTGCGGGTGAAGTCCCCTTGAACACCACAGATTAGGTAGTGGTACTTTGCGTGACGACCTTCGCTGTTGGTTTCCGGGACATTTATATTAGTTATGGTGTGTATAAACCACGTCAACAGAGATGACTCAGGACGTACGATATGATGCCAAAAGCATGGTACTCCATGATGGACGAACGCGATATACGGGCAAGAAGGCCTTGTTGCATACCGCGCTCGAAGCGAAGGATAGCGACCTTTGGTGACGGCTGAAAACACATGCATAAGAATAAATGAAAGATTGTGCGACGCGCTGACGCAGACTCACGACTTCGATATCGACAGCAACCTCGCGTACAGTAAACCAAGGGATCATGATACTAGAGAGGTGTCATCAGTATGGCCCTTAGAAAGATCTTAGAAGAAGTTCGACTCACAAGACTGTCATACCGAAGGCGAACCAGAAGTCTTGCTGTCGGAGAACACGGCCGCTCGGGTTCCACGTGTGCGTGTCAAGGTCGTATGAGTCGCCCAATACAACGAATATCCAAGCTACAGCATCGTCAAAGTGTCAGTTCATTATCAAATTCAGCCGAAGCGTAGTAAAAGTAACATACTAGAAAGAAGACCGACCCAACCGATGAATCGATGGTGGCGCTCGAAGACGTTATGATGCGTATTCCTGACCCACGGGAAGGCACTCGCGATACTGATGGAGACAGCCAAGTTGGTGATAACTCCAGTGATGAGGATGGAGTTGTGGACGTCCTTGTGGTCGATGAAGATCAGGACGACGCGGAAGATGAGCCATGCGAAACCAGAAGTGGCGCAGCCTGAGTGGATGCCACCTAAATGTTGCAGGGCGGATGTGCACCCTAGCCGGAACCATAGTGGCGTGCGGTCCTATCCGAAAGCGAATGAGTGTGAATAACATGATTTGGAATGGAGCACACGTACCTTTGCGAAGAGGGAGTTTACGATGAGATAAAGAACACGTCCGAAAAGCTCATTTCACATGAGGATGGCGAAGAGGAGGTTACCGAGCACGAAGGCACCAGTATAACGTCGTGGATATTGCCAGACGCCGGTGGAGGCGAGGACGAGACCAACAAGGTTTAGTGACGTGACGAAGGCAAAGAATTTACTGTGAGTAATATGAGTATGTTCCTCGACAATAAAATATATGGAGACGGTGACCTACCGATAAGTGTTGAACCAAAGCGCTGCTCGTACTTTGAACGGTGCTCGCTTCTTCTGTGGCGGTTTTCTCTCTATCTTCTGTGGTGGCACAGGCGGGAGCAAGCTGACCTCGGTGACAGTCTTCTCATTGATGTCGTTCACGACGGTGAGGCGGGCGTTAATGGCGACATGGGTGGGCTTGGGCTCGGTGGGGAGGACAATGTCCACTGTGCCCTTCTCGGGATCATCGACGAACTTTGGGTGCGTCATGGCGGCGATAAAATGGCGTGAAATAGACGGAAGAAAGGGAGGCGGGGAAATTAAGAGTCGCAATCGAATGTGGGGGGCTTTGAAGCACGGGTGGACGGAGAGAAGGGGTAAAATAGGGAGCGAGCGGGTGGTGGTCTATGTCACCGCTTGCAAATCGATCAACGGAGAGAGCGAAGAGAGGAAAGCAGACGTCTGTCTGCGGTGCACTGGCGGGCTAGAGACACGGAAAAGAAGGGGGGAGATTCCAGAGAAAGGCCGAGAGAGTTTAAAAGAGTGACCGAAGAGGATGCGATGTTCCGGGGGGTACGCCACACCCGCCAGCCGGGGTGAGAAAATAAGGAGAATTGGAGTGAACGCATCGCAGAGTCGCTATTTGAGGATCGTCCGTGGAAGTCGATCGGGCAAAGAGCCAACAGTCTCTCGTATGTCTCCAAGCCTGTCTCCTTGCGTGAGAGTACGCTCGCCGACTTTCTCATCGCCTCCGAGATATCTATCTGGGCCGCGTCCCTCGGTTGCGCACCGTGCCTAGTAAAGTTGCCAGGGGAGAGTATTTTTCATTATTTCCAGTATAATGCCCGCAATTCCTCCGCCACGTTCCATCCCGATACGCTCAGTCCGCTCGAACAACAGATGCAGTCATCGAGCGCGTCAGTATAATGCTCCCCGAGAAAGCCGTGACGTTGAAAAGCTCCCCGAACCACCCGAGAGATATCAACTAGTTCAAGTCGATACCCAAAACGGAGCACATTGGAGGCCGAAGAATAAACAGAACATTGAGGAGACAAGGATAGCAAAAAATGGGATGGTCGTTTGGTTGATCGTTCAAGACTGCTAAAACGGATCCGGAGGATTCTCGCGTGGCGTCGCCCGGGCCGCGTCCGAGCGGGCGGTTCCCTGTCATTCTTCCACCAAACCCAAACCAAACCTCAAGCAAACCTTCACGAAGCCATTAAGCCGTCTTCGACGAACCCTTTAGCTGGTCAGTAAACATTCTAACATTTGAACTTTTCTGCTCCATCCCGGAGCGAGGCTGACTATGCAAGCTCCAAAAGAGCCACGTCTGGATGGCCTAATGATCTTGGTTTAGGTCACAATGCTTCATCTGGGCAAGGCCTCCATCTCGGACGCTCGTCACCTTTCCATTGCACTTGGCCTCTGTATCTCTTTTGACCGTTCCTTAAAATATATTTCTGGATTTTTTGCGCACACCTGCATGCCCACGAGATTGTCGGACCTCCCTTGGTGGTGGTAACCGTTAATGGTCCTGGGATTTTTAACCCCGTCATATTGGTAGCGCTCGAACCACAGATCTAATTTAGTCTTAGCTGGGCCGAAGAGGACTGGCTGCGTACGCATCCTACCTCATTGCGTGATTCTAGGCGACCTCTCGATTCTCTGGCCTGCTCTCGACGTCGACGGTCGACGACTACGTCCCGAACGAATTGTCGATGGGAGCTACTGTACGTCCCCGTGGTCAACGCCTCCCGAAGCTTTCCCATACTCCTTGCGCCACCCAAACCCCTCCCCAGCCTTTCCCCAGATTTTCCCGGATTGGGGACGGAGCCTTGTCTCAGGATAGCTCACATCCGAGGCATCCGCAAAAGCGCGCTATCTTCATCATAATTTAATCACAATTTACCCCTCGGTCACCAAGCGCTACCTTCCATCTTCGTCTCTCGTCCCGGAGAGATATGCTTCTACACGCGAAGTCAAGATAATCCGTCGATAACCCGTTGCGTTTTCCTTACTTTCTGTTTCGGAGATAGTGGTGCGTTCGACGAAGTAGCATCTCTACGAACAAAAGGTGCGTCATTCGAAGCCTGTACATTGTTGTGATGTCGGGATGACATATTGTAGCTATCCCAGTATTATACGTTTACATTTGTAGCTCAAGAAGCGCTTCACCGAATTCACGCCCACGAGAATATCGCAAGCCCGGCATACTTTCGACAGACACTTACCCGAGGCAACTCTCAACTCATTCTAAATGGATGGGACTCAACCCTCCACAACGCTAGTAGCGCTTGAATCACAAGTTCGTTCCTTGGCCCCGCTCTAATAACCTGCTTTCAAGCCTAGACGACGATTCTATATCTCTAGCCTGTTCTCGCCATCCTTGGTCGTTAGTCGATGGGATCCTAAACCGCCCTCATGATACAGTTTCCCCCTACTTTCCCTCCGAAGCTTTCCCATCCTCTGGTCCAAGTCCGACACCCAGTACCTCCCGAGCTGCTCGCTCGAAGGTCACTTACCCCATACGCACGGGAGGCAAAACCTTACGTCGGGAGCTTCGTCTTCATCCCGACGGTATCTTTACATAGATGTGCTATCCCTGTCCTCATCATTCAACCCATATTTATCCCTCCGTACTCCACCGTTTCTGACCTCTCCAAACGCTTCTTATCACGAATAGTTCCTCCTTCTCGACAAACTGACATTATCCTCGGCATGGGGAGAGATACGACGGATCATCTACGGGACGTATTCACTTCCGGAGTATATCCTGCGGTACGATGTTTATTGATCGTGATATCGACAAGGGGCATCTTCACGGAGTGTGGTGCGTTATACAATTCTCGGTTCGAAGCTTTGGATGCAGGTCGTCCATGGTGCTCTCTTATCAATATCGGTGTTCACGAACGTCATTCCCCCACGAGCAGGCCGTGATGTAATATAAACTCCATGCGTAACGATAGGAATTCTCGAATTTCTCGAGTATAACGGAGGGCGAAAAGGAACAATCCGCCTCAAGCGACTTGAAGAACAAATAGGGCCCAAGTAATCCGATTTGTATCCGAGCTTATTTCGACGTGGCCTTCACAGTAAATGCATACAATATCTATCTATTATGTTCAAGATTGAGGTCGCATATGTCCCAGTGAAAGTCTATCGTAGTTCAGTTGAACCGAACGAACGTCTAATAGTGTGCAGATATTGTCCCAGTTCGCCATATCAGCACCCTAGCTAAACTCCCGTTCCGATTGTCATAGTTGTGGTTTGAAAAGTCCGCACCGCACCCCTCAAGGCATAAAAGTATGCCGTTTCAGCTTTGACCTCTCGAAAGCTTTGGAACCTGGACGAGCGCACTGACCTTCAATTTGTCTTCTCCTAGCTCTTGACCCTAGTCTTGACCTCGACACTACCGTGGCCACTGGTGTGGCCACTTGCGGAATTACAACCGAGGACGGGAAAGCACAGACGTCAATGCCTTGTTCCTTTCACAGTGTCAGCGTTCTCGGTTTTGGAAGCCAGCTGAGCTCCAGCAAGGGCAGACAACAGCTCTTCCATACTCGATTGCTCGACCTCCTCCTTCTCACTCAAGACCTCGAAGAGGATCTCCCAGAGCAGGTCGTCGATAATCTTCTCTTTCTCGTACACCCAAGTTTGCGGCATGCCGTGCTGCTGTACGAGCAGCGTGAGGACGCGTTCGGTGGTGATGCTTCTCAGGTCAGTGTTGGGTGCGGTGAGTATCAGTCGGATTTGACGTCGGATATTCGAGATGGTGGACATGATGACGCCGATTGCTAAATAGAAGGAAATGGGTGTCTATGGTTGGTGTTTGGGGACAAGAGGATAGAAGTCTTTGTCGCCGAGTGTCAAACGATCAGACACGTAAGTAACGTGACCCTGGGAGCTTCGACTCATCATGTCGCTATTGTTACCCCTGTTTGGGAATCCTCGTTTCGTTGACTACTGTAGGTAAGTTAGGGAGGGTTTGTCGATGTTCAAGAGGCCTTGCCAAGCAAAGTAAAGTTTAGACTCTTCTGTCAAGCACACACAAGGCCTCCTACAAGGCAGCATACTAGTAGCACTCGCGACCAAGAATATTCTTGATTGCCTGTTTTCTTACATCACCCGAGTCTCACTTATCATTGTGGATGTCACACGTCCTTATTTACGGAGTTATGGTACATCATTGAGACGAAACTAAAACGAACCAAGAGAAAGATGATTCAAAATGTTCAAATATGCAAGCCATGCCAGATTAACTTGAACGTCCAAATCCTCGCCGTACCTTATCACCATCCGTTATTCCGCAGATCAAGCCTTCTCTCCATCAGCTGTCTCCACTGGAGCTGAGTCAGGAGGGGGAGCAGCAGCAGTAACAGGAGTGTTCTTCTTCGTCCTCTTCCTCTTGGGCTTTGGACCCTGCTCCCCATTCACGCTCGCACCGGCCTCGTCCTGGCCATCACCGGCCTGCTTCCTCTTCTGTCCTCTCTTGCCCGTGCCAGCTTTCCCTCTTCTCGTCTTCCGCCCATCCACCTCCTCAGAATCAGCCTCATCGCCATCTCCATCCTTGGCCGGATTGTACGCCGCCGCATCCGGATGAATCGAGCGACGCTTACCTCGCCTCGGTCTCGTAGGCTTCTCCGCCGTAGGTTGTGAGGGTGTATCCCCTCCGTCTTCGGAGGCAGCGGCAGAGGGTACAACAGAAGCCGAAGGAGTGGGCACTACAGAGGGAGCAGCAGAGGGAGCAGCAGAGGAAGCTGTCGAGGGCAGAGCGGGATCGACGGAGTCAACAGGCAGGTCAGAGACGACGGGGTTCTGTTGCTTCTTGAGCGCGACTTTTTTCCTCCCCCTCTTCGAGCCTTCCTCTTCACTGCTCTCCTCTGCTTCTTCATCCTCAGCACCGGGTTTGTACGCCTGGGCATCGGGATTCAGAGGCTTCTTGAAGGACCTCCGACCACGGGGCTTCGGTCCCTGAGATGGTTGTTGAGATGAAAGACTAGCTGAGGCTGAAGGCGATTGGGAGTCCAAGGGCGGAGACGAAAGCTTGCGCCGTTTAGCCTGAGGCTCGTCTTCTTCCTCCTGTTCTCCTTGCTCGCTGCTCTCCTCTTTTTCCTCCTCTTCCTCACGGCGTGCGATCCGCTCTGAGACGGGGCCGTCTCCGTTCTTGAGCTCCTCTTCCTCCTCCTGGCGGGGAACCTCTGCGGCAGGGTCATCGCCATTCTTCAGCTGAGAGGGTGAGGGTGAAGGGGCATCATCATCCCTCGTCGAGAGGACACTAGGAGTCACAGAGGTAAACCTTCCAACGGGTGCCGAGGCAGAGGTATCAGCGACCTCTCCGTTTCCAAGGCCATTCGCGAACGCCCGTAGATCCATCGAGGTCATCGAAGCTCTCGATGCATTCGCCTTCTTTCCCGCCGCCGCCGACTCTTTCTCCTTCCCTCGAACACTACCTCCAGCACTCTTGCCCAGGCTGCCCTTCGCCTTGTTCACACTCTCCTTCCCCAGCCCGATAGCGAGGCTCCCAGTCATCCGTCGTCGCTTCTTGCGCTTCATCTTTTCGCCAGGCCCAGGTAACCAGAACACCTCGTTCTCTCTCAAGAGGTCGACGCCAACGAGCTGCCTGAGCACGCCGATGGGATACGCATCGAACTCGAGGTCCTCGATGCTGGGCACCATTCGTCGATGATCATCCTCCGTGGCAAGTCCGTGGTCCTTGATGTTTTCCTCCTTCATGAGCTCACCGTCGCCGAGGGAACAGCCTGGAACGATAAAAGTGAAACGGGCGACATCCTCTTTTCTAGGTCTAGAGGTGGAGGCCTGGGCTTCGTCATTGCTGTCGGTATCGCTGACCTCGATGGAAGGGAGACTGATCACGTGGAACCGGCAGTTGGAGCGAGTGACAGGTGAATGGTAGCTGGGAGGACCACGCTTGAGGGGAGGATCGGGTTGTGAGCGACTGGGAGCTTTGATCTCAGTATCAGCCGAAGCTTCACGCGATGTTTCCGCGGGACCTGGGAGGGTTTGCGTGCGAGCGACGACAGGAGGCGGAGGTGGTGGTGGTGGTGCACGGCCATGATGGTGATGCATGAAACTGTGATTATGGGTGTGAGAGTGGACGAGCGAGGGTAGAGCAGTCGGCGGGGGCCTGACGAGCGTCGTCGGCGAGCCCAGTGAGCTGGCCGAATCCGATCCAGCCACAGAGGCAGCACGAGAGGGTTGACGAGAGCCGACGTCTTCACCATCAAGAAGTTTAGCGGCAGAAGTTGCGCTGGAAGCACTTGCGACGCTTTCTGGTTCGGATTCCTCTTCCTCCTCCTCCTCCTCCTCCTCCTCCTCGACCTGTTTAGCCTTCCCTTTGCCTTTCTTCGCTGCCGCTGCTTTGCCCTTGCCTTTGCCCTTCGCCTTTTTATCGGCCTTGTCACCTTGTGAGGAAGTGGTCGTAGTCGGACTGATCGTAGCGGAAGGCTGGGTCTTGTTAGCTTTCGTTGTCCGTGAACGGGTGACGCGAGATTCGAGAGTCAATGAAGGCGGCTCAGCAGAGCCCCTCTTGCGTTTCAAAGTCTTGGGCGGGAGCTCTGGTGAGAGTTCGACTGGCGTCAACTCGTCCGACGCATCTGACAATCCATCGACCTGGGTGGCAGGTAAGGCATTATCCTCGAGAGGCTGAGCGAGGGTCGCTTCCGTGACAGAGTCAACAAGACCTGGCAAGCCAGCCTCTTGTGATACGACGGCCTCGAGTGAAGTTTCACCCACGACGACTTCCTCGACGGGCTCTGTTGGCTCTGCGGTCTCCGTTGGGACAGGTTCGGAAACACTAGATCACGTTTAGGTCAGATATACGAGAGGGGATTTCATAGGGAAGGAGTGCTCACGTTTCTGCAACCACAGCCTCGCTTTCAATCACGACTTCATTCTCTGCGACAGCGCTAGTGGTGTCGACTAGAGTCTCTTGCACGATCTCCGTTGCTTCCACAACCTCAGGTTCCTGCACGGTTTCAATCGCTTGCTCTTCAACTCCAATCTCGGGAGAAATCGAGCTACACCAAAAAAAAGTCAATAAAAAGAAGGATTGTGGAAGGTAACGAGAGCCAAATCACTCACCTCTCAGCGTTATCAATCGTCGGCGTCATCGTCGGCGTCGTCACCGGTACCCCATTCAAATCAAATACCATCACCTCCTGTCCCCCCTCAATCTCAACATCGCTCTCCCCCTCCGCGTCCTCGTCCCCATACTCCTCCTCGTCGTCCAACGCATCCGCCACAGCGGCGGTCGAGCTGGAAGCGGCGTATGTTCCGTTCACTGAGGGGAAGGTGATGGAGGTGGCGGAGACTGTGCCGGACGGGTAGGCGAGCTCGAGGTCGGAGGTCGTGGAGGATATGGCTCTGGATGGTGAGATTGGTTGGGTGGAGGAGGAAGGCAGTTCGGTGTCGACGGAGAGAAGAGGGCGTTCTTGGTCCTCGTCGACCTCACGAGCGTCGACGTCGTCCGTTGGCCCTTCGGCTACATACTCGTTGACTGCGTCTACTGCTTCAGTCGCGACATCCGGACCCTCACCCAGGCCTTCAGACTCCTCCTCAATCTCACTCGCCACAATAACCGGTGCAGTACCCAATGCCGAAGGGCCAGGACCACTCATCACACTTTCTCCTACGAGCTCTTCCCTTCTTTCGCCTACATTCTCTTCCCTAGCAACCTCGCCATCCCTAGGAACACCTTCATCCTCATCCGGCGACCCAGTCCCGTCCCCAACAGGCGTGAATAACCCACTCCCCATCCCAGATGCCGGGGTTCCAAGTCCACTCCCACCACTGTCAAGCTCCATCGCCCTCCTAACCGACGCCGGAATAGCCTTCAATGCCTCCATCCGTCCATCATCCGAAGCAGATGACGAGGGAACAGCCGGCAACGCAGGCTCAAGTGTAAATACGACCTGCTCCGTGGTTTCCGTTGCTGGCGCAGGTGCCGGCGTATGCGGAATGCTCGCAGGATCATCGACATCCGGGTCCGCATAAATAGGCCCAGGGACGCTACCTCTCCCTTCCCCATCGCCATCGCCATCCCCGCCTTCCTTAGTTTCGGTTTCGATTTCTGCTTCGTTCGGTGCGGTTTCGGGACCCAAGAAAGCGAACGGCGGTTCCGTAGGCGCATCCGGGAACAAACTCCCGTCGTTCGTATGTCCTTCGTGTGCGCCCTCTGCCTCTGCCGCAGTAAGGTCTGGAGGGAGTGTGGAGCCTGCCATAGAGTTTCGGTGTTCGATGGGAGGGGGGAGAGACATGTTGAGTGCGGTACGGTCGTCGAGAGCGGCTGAGGCGTCGCTCTGTACGGCCTCGCGAGAAAGGTCGGGCGATTCGATGATAATTTCGATGGGTGCAGAAGATGTAGCGGCGGTGGGAAGCGGGTTTAAGGATGGACTATCGGCTGGGGCTTCCGGTTCCTGTGTATTAAAAAAAATTTGAGCATTGTGAAAACATTATGATTGCTAGGAGCTCGTGGGCAAACGCTGAAAAAAAAACATACCTGAGTCAATCGTCCCTCCGTTTGCGCTTCCTCAACTTCGTAGGCCTGATCGGAGGTGAGGAAAAGAGTCTCGCCCTCGAGGAACTCATCGGCCTCGTCCTGGCCAACGTCCTTCTCCTCGGGCTGATGTATTTCGTCTTCCTCGACGATATACACCACCTGCTCTTCCCGATGGACAGATCCTTCTCTCGACGAAGCGATCGAATCGTCCCTCTGGTCCTTGTCCACAAGATCTGCAGCAGCACCAACATCGATCATATCCTCCATACTAAGCTCTGCCCCTAGTCCCTCACCCTCACCTTCCCCAGACCCCTCAAAGAAGGCTGGCGTATTATCGGCCGCGGCCGCTCTGGCATCTTCCTCATTCTTGGCTTCGCTATAAATCCTCAAAAACTCCTCGATCTCCGCTTCAGTCAATGGCGGAGCATCAGTCTCTGCTGCTCCTGAATCGAAGTCAGAGGCAGCACCAGGGAGAGGTGTGTCGGAGCCAGAGGCAGCACCGGGAAGAGGTGTGTTCGGCAGTACGCCGAACGAGTCGTCGTCGAGGGTTCTTGAACTTGCACCGAAGCCAGAGGCAGCACCAGGAAGAGGTGTATTTGGCAGTACGCCAAACGAGTCGTCAGCAGTGAAGCGAGTAGGTCGTTCTTCTATATCCGAGTCCGAGTCCGAGTCCGGTTCTGATTTGGGGGAGGCAGCGTCGGGTGATGGGGGACGCACGCGATTACGGAGCCAGAAAGACGACATTGAGGCGCCGGGGTTTGCCTCCATGTACGATATGTAAGCATCTAGTTGTTCTTTCGTTATGCCGAAATCGGTATCGGTATTGGTATCGCCACCGCGATAGGGAGTGGGGTGGTAATAAGTTGAGTCAATGTCGTTTACTTCGACGGTAGGCGCGTCTCCAACGGTAGGAACTGCCACTTGATCAGCGTCCTGAGGAATCACTGCGCTCGGTCCTCCCACTTCCTCGATCTCGTCGTCTTCCACCTCCACCACCTCCTGCGGAGGCTCCATCACATCCGCCTCCTCCTCCTCTTCATCGCTCGGCACCCCCCTCGCTCGCCTCGCAGCTGCCGCAGCAGCCAGCTCCTCCTCGACTTTCTTCCTCCTCCACTCCTCCAACCCCCTCACTTCCGGTTCCTCCACCCTCCTCTCTTGTTCCTGGGCACCCTCCCCATCTTCCAAATCCGAATCGGTCCCCAAATCCACTATGTTTTCAGGAGATGGATATCCACCCGGGTAGGTGGAGCTGAACGAGTCCAGGTCGACCGTCGGGTGATTAGGGAGACCTCGTTCATTGACGGACTGATGCTCGGAACTGGAAGGAGGCGCATGTGTGGGCTCCCCGTCATCCCTGTTTGTTCTGGTGGCGGGTGCTGGTGAAGAGGTATATGAAGGGGTGAAGTGCACATGCGGTTCGAGCTGTGGCGAGGAAGCGCGATGTGATGTGGGAGGAGGTACTATAGGGAAGCAAAAAAGTGGTGGAGGTTGTTTAACGTTGTGAGATACACTGTGCATAGATAGGTCGGCGAAACACATACTCTCTTGAATTTCTTCGTCACTGTCCTCTTCGCCCTCGATGGGTTTGTACATATCATCCTCATCCTCCTCCAAAATCTCGTCAACTTCTTGTCCTAATATGTCCGGAGGAAGACCATCCAGCTGATCTCCGCCTGTGTACAAATCTTCGGCGTAGGTCTTAGGTAACTCCCAAGGATCGGCGATCTCAGGGGACGGCGAGAGCGCCGAGTCTGCATTTTGTGGCTGAGGAGGGAATTCTATAAATTTGGTGGAATGGTGGAAGGCGTATCAGTATGAATATCAAGTAGTGCACGATAAATGTATGGAAGGAAGAGGAAAGAGAACAAACCTTCGTAGTCCTCCTCGTCTTGTTCTTGTTCATCTTCGGCATCGTCGTGTTGCTCCGGTGCAGGTGGTGAGGATGTGATTTCGTTGATGTCCTCTTCCTCGTCGGAATCCAAGAGCTCGTAGACCTGTGGTTTCTGTTTTGACTTGATGGGGCTTGAGCTCGGACCAGCACGAGCATGAGACTGCGTGGCGCGAAGATCCTGGTCGTCCTCTTCCTCGTCCTCCTGGCCATCTTCATCGTCTTCGTAGTATTCCTGCTCGGCCTCCTCGTCGTCTTCTTCGTCATCGTAACGGAGACGTCCGACGCCGTCGTCACCATCATACGCACCCTCGCCCTCGTAATCTTCCTCGTCATACTCTCCGGGCTCCCCGTCCTCCTCTTCCTCCGAGCCTGACGAAATCTCCAAAACTTCCTGCTCCTCATCCTCATCCTGTTCCTCCTGTTCCTCGTCTTCCTCCTCATCATCGATACCCTCAATCACCTCCACACGAGTCCCAAACCCAGGACCTTCCCTCGGATCTCTTCCTTTCCCCTTCGCCTTCCTCCTCGCCTTAACATGCGCAAACGAATCCTCCAAAATATCACCATCATCAGATGATTCATCCTCCCCATGTGTAACGGCACCGTTCTGCTGCACTGTAGTGGTTGTTGTGATTGTAGTAGTGGTCGTGGTGACATCTTCTCTCGCCCGCAAAAGCGCGTCCTGCACACCCGTCTGCTTCTGCGCATCCCCATTCACGAACAACTCCTCCTCCTCCCTTCTCGCATCGCGCGAAGGCTCCTCATAATTTCCCTCCAAAGCCCTCCTCAACACACCCGTGATATCACCGATCCAAGCGTCGAAGTCCGGCTGCGTGAACTTCTCATAAGGATTATAAGCCGGCGCGCGAAGCGGACGCGCGCTCGGGCTCGTGCTCGTATTCGTCTCGACAGCTGATTTCGCACCGAGGTTGCCGCTGGTGCTCATAAGTCCATTCACAGTGGGACGCGACACGGAAGTGGTGGAGGCAGACGTGGGGGACGCGGCGAAGAGGTTTAGGGGTTTGGTGGGTGTCGGGTAGGGCGCTCGTGGATAGCGCGAGCTGTATGGAGAAGTCATGCTCGCTGTATTTGCTCGCTTTTCGTCGTCGTCGTCGTCGTCGTCGTCGTCGTCGTCAGCAGCGACGAGGGCGAAGAGTTCAACGTTCAAGGTTGAGGTGGCGAGTTGGAGAACAAGGCGGGACAAGACAAGCGAAGAATTCTGTTTCCGACGCGTGACGCGCGACGTCGCTCCAAAGGGAAATTTCAAATGAGAAAGAAAGTGTCTGGAGTCACGTGGATCTCCTTACATCTCCCTCTTTCTTTCTCTTTCGTTCTTGTTTGCTATGGTAGGTCGGCCTTCATGGTATCAGGTCATCTAGAAGTTTGCTGAACGATTCATGTAGGGGAAAGCCAAAAAGACGCGCAAGTTTGCACAGGTGAAGCGTATGCTGAACCCGAATGACATTCGCCTGTGCGTACACTCTGTGGCCTTCTCCCGTATTTGTTTTGACGATTTACACTACCACAGAAAAGAGAATCAAGCCAAACAGGCGAAAAAGGAGGCAGAGGCAAAGGAAAAGGCCGTTCGTCGAGTGTACGCTTCTGGTCTTATTTCCTACTTGTGTCCCTGCTTTGCTCATATGCTTTGACTTGACTCTATGTGCGTGCAGCGACCCGATGCCCTCCTCCCTTTTCTTCTCCCACAATACAGCCCTCGTCCCACCCTATCGTGTCCTCGTCGACACCAATTTCATCAACTTCAGCCTGCAAAACAAGCTTGAACTCATGAGTGGCATGATGGACTGTCTATACGCTAAATGTGCGTCTACGCTTCATCTCGTATAGCTTGTACTCATCACTGGTGACTCGGCATTTGCGTATAGGCATACCGTGTATAACGGACTGTGTAATGGCAGAACTCGAAAAGCTCGGTCCAAAATACCGCGTCGCACTCCGGTTCGTCTCTCGCCCACTATCATCCAGTCTTTCCATCTCCTCATCTGTCCACTCTCTCCCTCCTATTACTCTCCTTCCTATTACTCTTCGCCATCTCTTTCCTCCCCCTCTCTCCACCACCTTCTAATCACCCCAACTCCCACAGAATCGCCCGCGACCCCCGCTTCGAACGCCTAGCCTGCACCCACCGCGGCACCTACGCCGACGACTGTCTTATAAACCGCATCACCGCCTCCAAAGCCTACATCGTCGCCACCTGCGATCGCGAGCTGCGTCGACGAGTAAGGAGGGTGCCGGGCGTGCCGTTAATGTATATCGTGAAGAGGAGATATGCGATTGAGAGGTTGCCGGATGCGGGGGCGCCGGTGTAGGTGTTGCCGGGGTTGTTGAGTAGCGGTTGGATATTGGATGGTGGTATTGTGGTCGGTTGGTATTGTGAGTTTTCGGCTACGAGGTTGGGGAGTGGTTGTGCATCGGCATCCTAGAGGATGTCGATGAGGGGCCACACATGTATTTATATGAGCACGCTCAGTGTTCCGCGTCTGACCTGTTTCCACCGCTGTATCCTAGTTGCGCCTGACATATAATCTATCTCTGTGAAACCCTTCCTGCGTTTCCCCCATAACTTGTTCCCTCCCGCCAGTACTCTCTGTGATGTCTCACAATTTGCAGGTTGTACCCGCCCCGGGGAATGCCGGAACGCCACTTGGCCCAAGCGCTTCACCCTGCTTCACCGTCTTGTCTTCAACGCACAACCGCCGTGAGCAACTCAACTCCTGTCTACTCGTGCATCCATCTTCTCTTTAGCTTCTACCCAACAATTATCTCGAACCCAAAACCATGTCCTCAAACACCGGCGTCTCCCTCCTCCAACAAGGTCTCGTCGAGTTCCAGCTCCGCGGCAACCCGCGCTCCGCTCTCAACTACTACACCCTCTGCATCAACCGTATCATCCAGCACGAATACCCCACCGCCCGTCTCTCCGCCCGCGCGACCACCATTCTCACACAGCCCAGCGCGCAGGACGAATACATCCCCGAACAGGTCCTCGGGGTCGCTTGGGCTAGTTTCTTAGCTATCCTGAAGGACCGTTCGCTTGGGATATCGACGGTCGAGTTTACCGAGGCGGGGAGGTTACTCGAATTATTCAAGCCTGAAAAGGGCCCTGAAACGAATAGTCTTCGTGGTCAGAAGAAATCCAAGGGAAATGGCAAGAAGAACAAGGTCGAATTCCGACGATTCGAGATGACCGACGCCGGGAAGTTGCTCCTCAAAGGCATGCAAATCACCGCCGGAATAACACTCGGGATCCTAGCCTGGGACGCCCAAGACCGCGCCACCGCCGCGAAACGATACTCCGAAGCCTTCGCGCTCGCTGCCACCCATACGCCCTACGACTCCGACCCTGCGCTCGCTCGGACCGGGCTGGAGAAGTACGTCGCGAATGAAGTGAAGACGGCTAGGGAGAACTACGCGACGTTAAGGGAGAATGACGTGCTGAGGGCGGGTGTGGTGGGCAGGGAGGGTGATGCGGGGAGGAGGGAGAGGCTTGAGGTACCGAATTTGAGGATGGAGGGGGATGGGAGGGTCGTGCTGAGGGAGGAGTTCGAGGTGGCGACGGATGTGTGTGCGGGGTGTGGGAAGAGGGAGGTGAAGATGAAGCAGTGCAATAAGTGCCATAAGGTTTTGTGTAGGTGTTTCTGTTTTTATTTTTTGAGTTTTGGATGTTGTGTTGAACTCGGGTTTTATGATTGGTAGATTGTGGCGCTGTCTGTCTAGAGCAACACTGGCCGTAAGTCCTGTTCCACTCTGGTCGCTCTATCCGGATGCTTTGCAGTCAAGCTGACCTTTCTCTATCGTCCAGAACGCACAAACCGATATGCAAGCAAAACCGTGCATAATTATCTGTGTCGGTTTAGGCTCGCGTATATATATGCCTACTTCTCCATTGAACAATGTATCAAGAGACATTTTTGGTGCTTGCCATCATCTGTCCTACGGCTCTAAGCTGTCTGTCTTTCTCTAGTACAGACGTAGTAGTTCCTGACTTCGAGCAATACAGACTATGGCTTCGTCTCTGTCCGTTCAATGCTCACGGTACGTTCTCGCCATCAGCACGCTGCGTGAGGGTCAAAGCACAATGACGACTCCAGCGCTCACTGAGGCCGAGCAATGCATTGTATAAGTGTTCTGATAGGTCTGAACAGCAACCCGTGGCCTTCGCTTTGTATCACTTTGATGAGCTTTGACCGAATTCTTTGTCAGTTGGCATATGCGGCCTAGTTTCGCTTTGCCAACTTGAACTTCCTTCGCTTTGCCCTTGCTGGACTGACTTATAAAAGGCCTGGATGTATGGGCGTTCAACTTCATGCTCAAACCCCTCCTTCGAATTCATCACTCTCCTCCTCCTCCTCTCCCTTCCTCCATTTTGTTGTTCTCTGTCTCAACCGTCTCTGTCTCCCAATGCGCAGGATGCCGGGCCACAGTGCACATTCCCGCCACAAGTGCTCTATTCATCTATCTCGATGGCTTAGTCAAGATCCTCATAGAAACCGCCCTGAATTTGGATTTAGAAGCGCTTCTAGCACGTTTTCCGCACGTGTAGAATGGAGCCTGGGCGGACTGCGGACCAATCATCCGACTATCGAACGGTTGTTGTTCACCTTTCTAGGACGTCCCATTGTCCCCTCGCACTGTATCCTGGGTTCCTCGCGCGGATCCCGTCCGTCTTATCCGATGCGCTGCCTCCAGTGAGGGAAGGGCATTTTGATTTCCCTTTTCCTTTTTCTATTTGGTTGCGCGGTTGAAGAAAACACAGCGCGATACTGACCGACTGAGCCTGGTGGTCGCGTCTCTTTTAATGGTGCAGAAGACGTAAATTTCCGATATCTGACTCCACCCACATCGTTCACATTCTGTGATATTCTACAAAAGAAGGCGACTTCTAGCCGAGGCGATATGCGCGTACGAGATTTCTCACACGGGTTCCCTCCACTTCCCGCTCGCATGCCGGCATCGTCCTTTGACCTTATCTACCCATCAGCAAATAACGCCATCGATAGCATTACGATGGACACAAACAGCAAGCCATCCAAACGGTCGACCAAATGGGGATAGCGGCCGTCTGGTTCTCGCCCCGCTAGTGCGTATTACGGACTTATTTCGAATTCTTCGTTGAGTTATTTGTGAAGGTTGTGACTCGGGGGGATCTGCGTTTCCTGCACGGGACTTTCGTCGGATTTTGCATATAAGGCGGGCTGGATGAGCTGGTTTTTCCCCAACTCCCCTCTTCCCTCCTTCCCCTCCTTCCTCCGCCTGCTCGCCCTCCCCCTCCTCCTCCTCCCCCTCCTCCTCCCCCTCTCTCTCCTCTCCCCTCCTCCTACTCTACTATACTCTACTATACGCTCTCCTCTTCTTCCTCGCCTCCTCCTCCTCTCCTCTCCTCTCCTCTCACCTTCTCTCTTTAGCTTCTCGTCTAGATGCCCATCCTCTTTGGCCATCACCTGTCATGGTCATCAACATCAGGTGCGTGTTGCCACCCGTTCGCTGTCGCCCTCTTCCGCCACTGACACCTCGCTCGTCTTTATAGCTCCCTCAGCCCCATCCACCATCATCGGCTACGACCCCCAGCCTACTTAGTCACGACATATCACGGTGCGCACCCTTCATCTTCTCTTTGACATCGTCTACATGCTGACTGACTCCTCCCTTCTCCTCCTCCTCCATCTACACCTGCTTGTCCTCGACCACCATCGACCACCGCCACCACCGCCACCCTCGGACACCAACGCCACCCTCGACAACCACCGCCACCCACCACCACTACCACTACCCTCGACCACCACCCGCACCTCGTCTTCGCCGACACCATAGATCATCAACGTCATCAAGTCAAGTCAAGTCGTCGAGTGCCTAGGTGGGCACAGGTGCGTTTCATTTCTTCTCTAGGCTGAAGTCTCTCGTGCTGGGGTGTCTAGGGTATCTTGGGCTGGGTCTCTGGGTTGCTGGGTGGGGCTTTGCTAGAGCTAGGCGACAGCGACATCGACACCGACATCAACACCGCCAGCGACAGCGACATCAAGCACGACATCGACATCAAGCACGACTTCGACTTCGACTTCCACGATACCGACTTCGACACCGACACCGACACCGACACCGACACCGACAACCGTCACCAACACCGACATCGACATCGACATCGACGCAAACACCGACACCGACATCAAGCACGACATCGACACCGAGGGTCTCTAGGCTATCTCGTGCTGGGGTCTCTGGGCTACTGTCACTGGGCTTCGGTCTCTGGGTTGCTAGGCTGAGGCTGTGCTAGAGCTAGGCGACACCGGGCTTCAAGAGCTTCAATACCGGTCCCCTGGGATAGCGTCGACCTTGTCGTGGTCCAGGGGCTCTAGTACCCAGAGTCCGATCCTCTGAGGGAAGCCAACTGACGCTACTAACAGGTGAGTGGATCGGCGCTTCGCTTCGCATGCATTTTCTGACGTGTCTGGTGCAGTTTCTTTTTCAGGTGTGAGAGTGTGAGTAAGCTGACCTCAAGCACAAGACGCTCGACGCTCTGATCACCGGCATCATCGTCTTCAACAGAGCGACCCCTGGGAGAGTGTCGACCTTGACGTGGTCCAGGGGCTCTAGTACCTCCTCGGAGGGAAGCTAACAGACGCTCGCAAGGTACGTTTCTTTCTTAATCCTACGTCGCTGATTTCCTCTAGCTTCTATGACAGTCATGTGATTGTGCGACCACGATAATATATTAATGTTTCGGTGAGTCTTTTCTTCGATATAAGCGTCACGACTTCGCTGACAGTGTCTTTAGTTTCCTACAGATGTGTGAGTGTGAGTAAGATGACCTCAAGTGCAAGACACTCGACGCTCTGATCATCGGCATCATCGTCGCCAACCGGGCGACCCCTGGGAGAGCGTCGACCTTGACGTGGTCCAGGGGCTCTAGTACCTCCTTGGAGGGAAGCTAACAGACGCTCACAAGGTACGTTTCTTTCTTAATCCTACGTCGCTGATTTCCTCTAGATTCTATGACAGGCATGTGGTTGTGCGACCACGGTAATATATTAATGTTTCGGTGAGTCTTTTCTTCGATATGAGCGTCACGACTTCGCTGACAGTGTCTTTAGTTTCCTACAGATGTGTGAGTGTGAGCAAGATGACCTCAAATGCAAGACGCTCGACGCTCTGATTACCGGCATCATCGTCGTCAACCGAGCCTCCCCTGGGAGAGCGTCGACCTTGTCGTGGTCCAGGGGCTTTAGTACCCCGGAGTCCGATCCTCTGGGGGAAACTAACCGACGCTCGCAAGGTACGTTTCCTGCTTGATAATTTGTCGCTGATTTCCTCTAGATTCTCTTACAGGCGTGTGGTTGTACGACCGCGGTAATATATTAATGTTTGGTGAGTCTTCTTCTTCGATGTGAGCATCACTTCGCTGACAGTATCTTTAGTTTCCTTCAGATGTGTGCGTGTGAGTAAGACGACCTCAAATGCAAGACGCTCGACGCTCTGATTAGCGGCATCATCGTCGTCAACCGAGCCTCCCCTGGGAGAGCGTCGACCTTGTCGTGGTCCAGGGGCTTTAGTACCCCGGAGTCCGATCCTCGGGGGGAAACCAACCGACGCTCGCAAGGTACGTTTCCTGCTTGATAATTTGTCGCTGATGTTCTCTAGATTCTCTTACAGGCGCGTGATTGTACGACCACGGTAATATATTAATGTTTCGTGAGTCTTCTTCTTCAATATGAGCGTCACGACTTCGCTGACAGTGTCTTTAGTTTCCTACAGATGTGTGAGTGTGAGTAAGATGACCTCAAGTGCAAGACGCTCGACGCTCTGATTACCGGCATCATCGTCTTCAACCGGGCCACCCCTGGGAGAGCGTCGACCTTGACGTGGTCCAGGGGCTCTAGTACCTCCTCGGAGGGAAGCTAACAGACGCTCGCAAGGTATGTTTCTTTCTTAATCCTACGTCGCTGATTTCCTCTAGATTCGATGACAGGCATGTGGTTGTGCGACCACGGTAATATATTAATGTTTCGGTGAGTCTTTTCTTCGATATGAGCGTCACGACTTCGCTGACAGTGTCTTTAGTTTCTTTCAGATGTGTGGCAT